TCTTTCTTCTGCTGTCAGTATCAATACTAGTATTACATTTCTTTCTTCTGCTGTCAGTATCAATACTAGTATTACATTTCTTTCTTCTGCTGTCAGTATATCAATGTCAGTATCATACTAGTATTACAGTTCTTTCTTCTGCTGTCAGTATCAATACTAGTATTACATTTCTTTCTTCTGCTGTCAGTATCAATACTAGTATTACATTTCTTTCTTCTGTTGTCAGTATCAATACTAGTATTAGTATTACATTTCTTTCTTCTGCTGTCAGTATCAATACTAGTATTACATTTCTTTCTTCTGCTGTCATTATCAATACTAGTGTTACATTTCTTTCTTCTGCTGTCAGTATCAATACTAGTATTACATTTCTTTCTTCTGCTGTCAGTATCAATACTAGTATTACATTTCTTTCTTCTGCTGCCAGTATCAATACTAGTGTTACATTTCTTTCTTCTGTTTAACCGTTGGCCAGTCTATCTTCATCAAATTGTTGTACCTGGGACTTGTCTGGTGTTGCTGATGTCACATGTCTTCCAGGACGGAGGTGGCCTTCAAGGCTCCCCCTGCCACATCTAATCTTTCCCTACGTCCATATAATGAGTGACATAGGAAGGAGCATGTTTCTATAATGTTGTCATCACAGTGGCTTGTAACGAAAACTAACTGACTGAGTTTGGTTTTACGCCGCTTATAGCAATATTCCAGCAATATCACGGCGGGGACACCAGAAACGGGCTTCACACATTGTACCCATGTGGGGAATCGAACCTGGGTCTCGGCGTGACGAGCGAACGCTTTAACCACAAGGCTATCCCATCGCCCCTGTAACGAATAGAAAACTGGCAACAAGATATATCTTGTCACGGACGGACAATGTTATATAGTGCTAAGACTCTGTCGGTGACAAGATATACCTCGATGCTTGTTTATATTTAGAGGTCCAATCCCCTGTGGTTGTCATGGACAGTTTTTCATGATAAGCCCAGTTTCTGCAAGTACTTGGTCACAGCACGGTCCTCCCTCAAGTTTGCCCAGAGGTCAGCGACTTGTGACAACGAACCAGTTTGTTGGTTGATGCCCACAACACAGGGCTTCACTACCTCTAGGACATCATATAATGCCCACAACACAGGGATTCACTACCTCTAGGATATCATATGAAGCCCACAACACAGGGCTTCACTACATCTAGGACATCATATAATGCCAACAACACAGGGCTTCACTACCTCCAGGACATCAGATAATGCTCACAATACAGGGCTCCACTATACAGGCCTCTAGGACATCATATAATGCCCACAATACAGGGCTTCACAGGACATCAGATAATGCCCACTACAGGGCTTTCACTATGCCCTCTAGGACATCATATAATGCCCACAACACAGGGCTTCACTACCTCCAGGACATCAGATAATGCCCACAACACTGGGGCTTCCACCACAACACAGATAATGCCCACAACACAGGGCTTCACTACCTCTAGGACATCATATAATGCCCACAACACAGGGCTTCACTACCTCTAGGACATCAGATAATGCCCACAACACAGGGCTTCACTACCTCCTAGGACATCAGATAATGCCCACAACACAGGGCTTCAATGCCCACAACACAGGGCTTCACTACCTCCAGGACATCAGATAATGCCCACAATACAGGGATTCACTGCCTCTAGGACATCAGATAATGCCCACAACACAGGGCTTCACTACCTCTAGGACATCAGATAATGCCCACAACACTGGGCTTCACTTCCTCCAGGACATACGATAATGCTTACAACACAGGGCTTCACTACCTACATGATATCAGATAATGCCCACAACACAGGGCTTCACTACCTCTAGGACATCAGATAATGCCCACAACACGTATCAACAACCCACAAGCGTCGTAAAACAGGGGTAATTAATTAGTTAAATATCGTGATTTACGTTTATAACGAAATGACGGACATAAAGAACATGTTGTAGGTCCTGACCACATCCTGCACGTTTTAGTCAAAATGCGTATAACGAACTACGTTAATAAGGAACGCTCATTAATGGTCCCTTTGACTTCGTTATAAACGAGTTTACCGTGTATCGTATTGTAATATTGACTTCGTTATAAACGAGTTTACCGTGTATCGTATTGTAATATTGATATCTCTATAACCGTAGTTTACTGTGTATCGTATTGTAATATTGATATCGTTATAACCGTAGTTTAACGTGTATTTTATTGTAATATGGACTGTTATAACCGTAGTTTACCGTGTATCGTATTGTAATATTGATATCGTTATAACCGTAGTTTGCCGTGTATCGTTATAACCGTAGTTTACCGTGTATCGTATTGTAATATTGACTTCGTTATAACCGTAGTTTACCGTGTATCGTATTGTAATATTGTATATCGCTATAATATTGTATCGTATTGTAATATTGAGATCATTATAACCGTAGTTTAACGTGTATCGTATTGTAATATTGACTTTGTTATAACCGTAGTTTACCGTGTATCGTATTGTAATATTGATATCGTTATAACCGTAGTTTACCGTGTATCGTATTGTTATATTGATATCGTTATAACCGTAGTTTACCGTGTATCGTATTGTAATATTGACTTTGTTATAACCGTAGTTTACCGTGTATCGTATTGTAATATTGATATTGATATCGTTGTAACCGTAGTTTACCGTGTATCGTATTGTAATATTGATATCGTTATAACCGTAGTTTACCGTGTATCGTATTGTAATATTGACGTATTGTAATATTGATATCGTTATAACCGTAGTTTACCGTGTATCGTATTGTAATATTGACTTTGTTATAACCGTAGTTTACCGTGTATTGTATTGTAATATTGACATCGTTATAACCGTAGTTTACCGTGTATCGTATTGTAATATTGATATCATTATAACCGTAGTTTACCGTGTATCGTATTGTAATATTGACATCGTTATAACCGTAGTTTACCGTGTATCATATTGTCATATTGACTTTGTTATAACCGTAGTTTACCGTGTATCGTAATGTAAGAATGACTTCGGTATAACCGTAGTTAGCCGTGTGCCGTATTGTATTATTGATTTCTCAGTTATCCTATTACACGTCACTTTTAGTGTCTGCGTTTGAAAATATGTGTATTAATATTAATTAGTCATCTGAATTTATTAATTAGTCATCTGAAATATACAGAAAAAGCGTGAAACTGATCACACACCAAATTGAGTAAAGGTCATAAACAATTTGGTGTGCTGTTGTTTAAGCCCGCAGCAATATTCCGCCTCGTGAATGCGGTTACGTCAGTGATTGACAACATGGGCATCGATCTACGCAACTATGAGTATGAATCACGTCAGCCATTAAGCATGACCACCCGATTATTTTAGTAACCTCTTAAAACAAATAGGTTCTTTGAACTTTCACTTTGATGAACTATTTTTTTGAAATATGCAAAATCGTCCGACACACAAGCATCACTGAAACGCAGACCTGCTGTTATAATATTTAAGTGGTTTCACTTTGGAAAAGACACCCATGCACAATGATTTCGTTTGGCTGGTTAATGCGCACTCTGTACTGTATGACCGCGGTCGGGTAATTCAGTGATCGACATCATAAAACAACAGCCTGTGTGAACCACGTCAGCGAACCTGACCACCTAATCCCCTAAATCAACTCTTTAAACAAGCATGAGTTACTGACAAGAGATTCCATGCCGGCTGTAAATATAAAAATGGTCACTTCAGATTAAAAAGGTCAAAATAAAAAAGGCACAAAAAGGGAAGCAAGGAAGGCTACGACAACAAAATGGCAAAAGAGAACGGCCATGTATATTGTTCTGTTGATCTATCATATATCGACAGCCAAACAGATATTACATATTTCTATATGATTCCATACTATGTTTTGGACATAAACAACACAAGTAAGGATTGAGGAGTAAATTGAAGGGACGATTAATTATAATTGCAGGACACGTAAAGGTTGCAGTATTTAACTACTCTATCAAATGTTAATCGAATAAACTTATTATATACTGCACAAAAATATATAATACATGTGTACATAGCATTTTACCTGTTTTTCCGTGGACACTTCACCATGCCCAAAGAACATTCACAATGGAAACCACGTACGGTTAAATTTGAGAAACTTAAAGTACCATGCCAACAATGATAAACACAAAATTCCGGCTAGATATATAACATGAAAACGTGTTTATACATTTTCAGTTGTATACACCACATCGTGATAATCGGCAAAATGTACACTAATATAGGGGTATGAAGTTGGTTATTTCAAAAACCGGGTCAACTGTGTAAACAAATTTTTGAGTCGCCAAACATTTCTAAGTCGGGTCATCCGTATAAAGCCCGATTGGCTCTGTTGTCAGGCTTAGTTACTGGTGAACAACCTGTCACGCCATTAGTTGCAAAATATCAACAATGTATTTCGGTTGATTGATAACACCTTCCACATTTCATTTTGGGGATTGACAACGGATTCATTATAGAAGATAGCTTCGTTGAATAAAATCACGGGTCTGCCCTTAATATACGTTGATGTGTGTATCTGCGTTGTAATGTGCTATCAGCACCATTGGTGTTTACTCAGTATTGGAGTCAGGATTGTTAGAAATTGCTCTGAAGAAGTAAATGTTCAAGACCTTCGTATTCGGTGTTTGTGTGACATCCTTATACACCACAATATTTGACAACTGGGTGCCAGATTAGTCGAAATCAGGTCAAGGACACTTCAAGCAAACAAAACGAAAATTAGATGAAAAGGGAAGTAACTGATGTCGGTCTGGAAGTTTGTTTTCTTCGCTTATATCATTGACAATGATACATTTTGCTATTGTTTGCAATACTTGGGACCTATCTTAGATTTATACTTGTGTTGCTTAACTTTGATTGTAATTTCTATGTTGTATTAGTCTATAACTCTACAACACCAGTTAAATAGGACTGTATTTTAACTATATTTGATCACGACCACAAGCGATATATGGGTTATTGGAAGCCATGTTTGTTGTTTGATATCAAGTGGAAAGTGGTGCAATTTTGAAATATTGTCGAAGATATCTCTTCATATCGGAATATTTCAACTAATAACAAAGGTGGTACATTTAAGAATTTTCTAGTTAATTATATATATTGCTAAACATACGAAAAAGAAGAGGGAACCCGTCCCTTTGTCTCCCAAAATCTCTGTTTTGAAATCTTGTCTGTTTACTATCACGTAATGACTGTGCACCTGGATTCGTTGTTTGGTGGTTTGACAGGTCCCACTATTTAGATCGAATGAGTTAGGTCTATAGCTCTAAAGTACATTTCGTCTATTTCCCATGCCAGTCACAATAGCCCATTACGGTAATGACAATAATTGGAAGACAATTTGTTTTGCTATTTTGATAGGGTTAGTCTGCTTAGTTTAAACATGTTAAATATGACGGAAAATGCTTGTCTATTCCAGCATTGTCCAGACAGTCTAGATATTTTAAATAATGGTATTTACTTGAAACATAAATGTTTCATTTCATTGAACATTCAGAAAAGGGATTCTAAACACAAACATGTCAAAGTTGTCACATAAAACTTTCCTGTATGGTTTTGTTTGCTGCCTGACTATTGCACAATATTCAGTAATGCAAAGTTGCTGATTATGATTCCTAATGGTTTCAGATAATGTGTGCCGTATCATGCCCGTATGATCATAATGAATGCTGTTTTACTGTAGGCATGACTTGTGAATGGGTGGGCAGCATTGTGTCTCTGGACTGTGGAGAGGCTTTAGGAACATATCAAGGCCAGGTGAGGAAAATTGACAATGTCACACAGGCTCTCACCATCTTCAAAGCCTACAGGAATGGCCTCAGATGTGAAGTTCCAGAGCTGACAATCAAGTAAGTTGACTGTTTATCATGTGTATTTTTTGCATTTTTTAAAGTTAACTGGAAACTGTTGGATTGAGTAGGTTTTGACCATGTTGCAGAGACAAAATGTGAACAATTTTGAAATGGAATATTTTTTATATATAATCTTAATGATGATCATGGTGTCAATATATAAAATGTGTGCATGTTGGGGTGAAGGGTATGTGAGTGCATGTTTGTGATGTTATCATTTGAAAAATGTGTAAAATGTCATCAATTTCGTTGACACTAGTTTAAGAACTGGAAAATTGCGTATTGATCATAGTTTTGTCTGCTTGTTGTTTAAAGCCCTCCTTATCAATATTCCAATTCTATGATCAGTCTCTCTAAATACTCATCTCATGGCCAGACAATCCAGTGATACTGATAGACCTCTGCGATCTACCAATTTGGGATATGATTTTGATGATGTGTCGATCACCTTATGCTATTAGTCACGTCATTATGACAAGAATGGGTTGCTGAGGACCAGTTCTAACATGGAACTTGTACAAAGTACCTCTGTGGCAGCTCTTGCAGTTATTTATGATCACTAATGAAGATGATGAGTATAAGATTTCAAAACATTTGCGATAAACTCATGCTTTATGGTTGTGAATATGAATATTATTCATTTGATATGTTCTTTTGTCTTCAGTGCTGGAGACATAAAAGATTTGAAGATTCTGAAGTCTCCATCTGAGGCTAGATGCTTGCTAAACAAACAAGCCACACCATCAAAACTGTCAAAAGAGGTTGAAGAGGCAGTCAATCCAACATGTCCCTCTCCAGTGAAGGTCATTCAACCATCCAATCACATTCACACAAATGGTTATCACAATGGCAGACATAGTGCTAATGGACAGAGAATTACCCCAACTCGGGACTATCACGACTCCAATGGTCTCTATTATAACCATAGTGGAAGCGGAAGTGCCAGACACACACCTACCAGGGAACAGGGTGAGCAGAAAACGAGACGCAGTTCGTGTGAGTAAAGTCTTGAAAGCTGACTGTATACTGTTGAAGGAACTGTACTTTAACTTAGTCAGAAATTAAAGAGACTGTCACCAAGAATTTCTGCATTATACATGGTGTGCATATTGATTCTCGGGAGCCCTAATGCCATCCCACACTTTTGAACTGGTGGTGTGCTGGCACGGTTATTGAAGAGTTTGCACAATTAACAAAAAATGATTAAAGACCCAGCTTTGATCACCCACAAGTTCACTTTGTGAAGACCCATGAAAATCTGGGTTAGAATTGATTTTCAATAACCCATGCTTGTTATAAGAGGTGACTAACGTGATCGGATCGCAGACATGGTTGACACATGTCATTGTATCCCAATTGCGTATATTGATGCTCATGATGTTGATCACTGGATTGTCTGATACAGACTCGATTTTTTACAGACCCCTGTCACAGTGATTGAAATAAACTCAACCAGACAGTCGGGCAGGTGACCAATAAATGTTGCTCGCCCGTCTTGAATTTGCCTGCCCGCACTTTTGACTCATAAATTGCAATATTTTACAAAAAACAAACAAGTATCATTGTTTCAAATGTGAATTAACTCAGCAAATTAAAAACAACAAGCATGAAATACTCACAGTCACCTCCCCAGCCTGTGACACTTGAAAAGAGCCTGTTAAACTTGCAATTCCACTTATCGGTTTACATCATCACAATGATATATTTTCTGAAAATTTTAATAGCGAAAGGCACCAGTTAAAACCATTTACATTAAATGTATTTCATTGTAACTAGGACTGCACGGTAATACCGGTATATTGCAATACGCTTTTTAAATGATATGTATTGTAATATTTTTTCGGAGAACTGGTATATTGGGTAAAGAACATCTATGAAGTTTTTTGTGATTATTTTTATGGTTTAGATTTAGATCTACACAATACTAATAAATTGTATAAAAAAAGACACTAAAATCCATGACAATGCAACCTAATTTTAGTCAAGTAATGTTAGTCAAGTAACATGTCGGTTTTCGTCACTCTCAGACCCAATTTTTCATGCGAAAACACATGCATGGGATTTTTTTGTCACAGGCTGCAACCTAGCATGATACGTCCACAAAGTTCCATATTTTATGTATAGGTAGCGATGTTTTACTCAAGACGTTCACAATAGCACGATTTTACCCAAAACTTGCGTCTAAATCTAAATGTTTTCCTTCATGCTGGTGGTATCCATCACTTTAATATGATTGGCTGCCTTAGGTCACGTGTATGATTTTGACCAATCACAATCCTTAAAGCAGACAGTGGCTCAAAAAAGCATCATTAGAAACCAATCTTTCTCCAATAAATCGCTTGTTACAACTCCTGGCAAGGTTAAGGTGATGTCATTGATGTTTACAGCTTTCAAACGATACCCTTATCTTCTCGCATGTTATTTATACAAAGCTTCCGAAAGGGAGATATTTAAATTTATCAGCCAGACAATGGGGCAGGTGGAGAATTTTTCAGGCAGCCCCACACGAAAGTTGCCAGCCTCAGGCAGGCACTGCCATATAGCTGTAATATTGCTGAGTGTGACAGAAAACTAAACTCAATCAATTTGTGAATCCCTTGTTTTTCTTTTAAATGTGCTATACCATTCATCACACTGATAAATACTTCATATTTTCCCACAGATGTTCTCTTCACTGTCAGCCATCCCAATCAGTTTTTAGGTAAAATCCATATTGTGCCAACTGCCATCTTTGTTGTGTGTGTGGGAATGAATTTTTTTCAGTGATTTTCATTTTCATTTTATTTTTCAGTTTATTCATCACAAGTATTAACTAAGGTTTAGTAAAGACAACATTTATTTCTTGAACGTATCTGGGTAACTGATATAATCATGTATATGGGTTAGAACATGTTGTGGGACTTTGGGCTTACTCTCAACACCTACAGCTGATATAGACTCACCATGATTGACAGGAACCCAAGGTGTATTATCTGTTGACCTGAGACCAGGACAGCGTCATCTTGATGCTCCATCTCTGCAGGAATATCAGACTCATTCATCCTTCAAGCATTCTAACCTCCTTGGATTCTTTGAGAGGTTGAATGTCGGTATCTTCATTGAAGTATGGCAAGAAACTGTCCCCAGAAAATCACCAACATTCAAGACTGATAAAGGATTATCCAAGGATTTGTGAGGTATAGGGACAAGTTGAATGAATAAACCTCAACCATTGCCCACCAAGGCAGGATGGATGTATATCACCACAATGGGGGCCTACAGTTAAGACATACATTTCTTCACCAGGCTTGTAGCTCATGTTTAGTTGGGGAGGATTTTCAGTATTTTGTCTGACAAAAGATTGACTGTGTAATCATACTACTGTTAGACAGAATTAAATCATAAACATGATAAACATTACAACTTGCCGAATACAAGATTCATCCTCCATAATCTCCTGACTGCAAAACCTGTGATCGAGAAATCTGCTTATTTATGATTGGCAATAATCATTTGGGAACTTTACACGATGCTATAATCACAGTTGCCAGATTTGCACCTGATCAAATTTGTTTCAGGGTCTTTGAATTAATTAGAGTCAAGTGCTTCACTTAGTTCCCCACAGCACACCTGTCTAGCACACAATGGATGGTAGACCATCTTGTGTACACTTTATGTCTCTGACTGCAAACAGGGAACTGACAGTTTGGCTTTCCACTCATTTGTCCTTTCTGCTGTGGACACCTATGTCATATGGGATGTGAAATCACACTTTTGTGTAAGGTAACTTCACATCTATTTGGTTTGGCAGACTCAGTCGTCTGCAGACTGGAGGAGAGTCACATACCCAGCCAACTGAACATCTGGGGAGTGTCTGTCACAGAAGAACAAGGTTGTGTCTGTGGAGTCATCCTTCTGTCTCAGTATGTTCAGACTGATAACAACTTGGAATACACCACATCTTGACCTGTTTGTGATGTACTTCAACAACAGTCCCTCCCTGGTCAGTCCAAGATCCCCCAAATCTACATGAGGAGGCCCTACACTGATTTGGGAAGTCCTGAGAAACATGGAAGTCTCAGGCAGCATATTCAGCAAACATTTCATGGCCGAAAAGTGCATGGGTCCTCTCTGTGTCTCCTCATAGTGCACTTAGATGGGGTTTACCTAATAAGTGGTTGGGATAGCTGACAGAGCAAATGACATTTGTTGAAGTTTGAGGTTAGATTTGTGTGAAAATGGCAAAATTCACAGTTTGGCAAAGATGAAATGGAGAATTGTTAGACCTATTATTTAAATAATGGTATTCTTTTTTTCAAATTCTTGTGTCCCTTGCCTTGATACAATTGGAAGACTCCTAAAAAGTAGTGTAAATTCAAACTCACTAAATCTCCTGTTTGTTGTCAAGAATCTTTATATTGCTGAGTGCTGCGTAAAACTAAACTCACTCACTCTAGAATCTTTCTCAAATTAGAGTATATGGTTTGTCTGAGAATTTATGATTCTTCCCTTTTACCTGCTGTACATGAAGATGTTATCCACAAATTATGCCCACTTTGTCACCCTTCAACTCCTATCAAACATCATGCGTCACATTTATTTTTCTTTAATTTCCATTATGCTATGGTTCATTGTTGAGTTATGTGCTTTATATGGGTAACCTACTTAAATGGATGAATTGATACATAATTAACTTGTTTTAGTCTCAGACACTCAAAGGCCGAAAGTCGACCACACCACGAAAGATTGATGGACGAAACAACATCAGAAAGAATACACCACGTGAAGACTGTTTCAGTGCCCCAGTGGAATCGTTTCTGTCAAAGGAGTTTGACTTTGAAAAAAACCTAGCCTTATTTGACAAAAAGGCGGTATTTGAAGAGATAGAAAACCAGTTCCCCGAGGTTGTCCGTGTGACAGACAAGAAGGGTGAGAAGTACCGCTGTGATGAGAATGTCCTACAGTCTGGCCCTGTGCAGCTGAGCCAGATACATGTGCCAGCATCAGGGGGTGGCGACTTTGTCACAGGTAGGTGTACATCACAGTGGCTATTGATCAGCTTTGACCTTAGTGGGTTAGGTCTATCAGATTTTACACATTGAAAAGTATTCAATTTTTCCTTATCCTGACTAATACTAATTGCATCTCCCTCACTTAACTGATATATTGAGAAAATGTTCCCCAAGAACAGCAAAAACATCTCGCCCAAATGCAACCCTTCACATGTCGCATGTGCACTGACCTCACATGACTAGGGCTGGGATGATACACTACGTCATGATACAATACGTGTCGCGATATTTTACCTGCGATGCGATACGTATCATGATACATACACCTTGAAAGAATGATACAGTATTAAGATTTAAAATGATTTATTTCAAGGTATTTGTGTATAACAATAACTCTATTGTTATAAACAAACAAGTAACCCTGTCATACTTGCATATTTTTCTCCAAATAAGTACCTTAACATGTTTAAGATAATACTGTTTTGAAAAAAACGTTGTGTATCGTTTTGTATCAGTACACCGGCAGGGGTGGAAATAACCCATTGCCCAACGCCCGAGTCCAGTGTTTTTTTCTGTCGGGCAAGCAAATTTGTATATCACACTGTACCGTGTCCAGTTGACTTTCCAATACTAATTATGTTGTTTATTTAAAAAATCAACAAAAAAACGGCCGGTATAGTGGAAATATTATCAGGGCACGTGATTTTACATGTCCCACTGTACCTGAGTACACTAGCAATTTTAAAGTTATTTCCACCCCTGACCGGTCGACGATACAATAGCTGTATCAAACTTAAATGTATCGCGGTTCATTGGTGAATCGTCCCAGCCCTACACATGACCGAGGCGGTGACTCGTCAATCCTCATTTTCGCCCATCATTATGGTTTTTGAAAATATTTTCTGTGTTGTAATAGAAGCCATGCTATCAGAATTAATCACCTTTTTCAAAATGTTTGGCTTTGATTTTCTTTATGTTAAGTTCATGATATCTACTAGTTATTATTTCACAGTGGTATTTAATTAGTGAAATGTTTTATACTTAATTTTACCCACCTGGTCTTCAAAAACACTGTTCAATCTGTAAGCAACATTTCTGATTACAGAACTTGTTCAACATGTGCCAGTTGCAATATGGATAGTAAAGAAGTTGAATAAAGTCAGTTTACCCTAAACAACACAATGATTCACAATGTTCTTTGAATGTTAATATTTTGTTCAGAAATATGGCTCAATCTTCTTAATTCAGCAAATTTACATTTTGTCTCTCGAATGTACTGTCATGTTATGAAAATAAGCATCAATATATGGTGATACCTATTAGATTATATGGTTTACTAAACATTCTGATGCATGACATCCGTAGTTCTATGACTTACACTCTGTGGTGATGACCCAGATGCTGGCTTAGTGGTGCCCAGCATCACATACCAGCTGCGGAACAAGATCCTGTCGACTGCTGAACAGTGTGGTCTGAGTGTGGACCGGCAGATTGAGATGGTGGGGAGGTCTGCCAGTGAGATGGTGCTTCAGTTACTTGGGGGAAGTCACAGGTGGGTCAGACACCTGGTGGTGTTCCAGTCATTGCCCTTGTGTTTAAAATAACAAATTTTGGCTCTCAAGTTTCAACTGATACCACACGAGCAAACAACGACCCAAGCTTGTGCTAAATACGATACACCAAATGTGAATATTGAGCATAAGTGCTTTTTGGGGTCTTTTCTGTCCCAGTTGCTGTGCAGAGTTGTGTCCCTTGGTGATGTATTTCTTGGTTTGATTCCCTGTTTGCTCTGATAATGTTCCGAGGTTTGTCTGCCCCATACATTTACTGTGGGTGTCACAAGAGTTGGAGACCTGAAACCTGCTTCATCCTCTCACATTAAGCTGACACAGTGATATAACTGGAATACTGTTCAAAGCATTAAAGCCAACTCGCTCAGATCTTGCTGATGTCGCTCGATTGCTTCTGAATTTGTTGTTTTAACAACATTCATTCAATCAGTTTGCTATCAATCAGTTTGCCATCCATTTCTAGTTCTTTTTTTCAGTGACCACTCCTTGTCATTTTTTATGGTAAATGTCAAAATCTGTATGACATGTAGCATATAAATAGTTTTTGAGTTGTTCATTTGCCAAGCATATTTCTGTGATGATGGGTTTAAATGCCAGGGTTATACTTATCATGATCACTGGCCTGTCTGCACATTACCCATTCCTGTCAGCACATTACCCATTTCTCACTGAAAATGTCTACAAGGTAGTAGAATGTCCTGTATCATTTCAGGCTTTGCTTAGTTACTGAAATACAATGTTAAAATCTGTGAGAAAGGCGTAAAACCAAACTCACACATTGTACTGTTAAAATCTGTTATTGTATAGCAGAAGAGATCACTATCGTCAGAGTGCTTAGATTATCTTTGTTTTGTCGGGGAGGTGGGGTAACCTAGTGGTTAAGCGCCGAAGACCCGGGTTCGATTCTCCACATGGGTACAAAATGTGAAACCCATTTCTGGTGTCCCCTGCCATGATATTATGGGAATATTGCCGAAAGCGGCGTAAAACCGTAGTCTCTCTCTCACTGTTTTGTCACCATTTATGTAACCTTAACATTGTAATTATGTTGTGAATGAAGTACTGTTTTGGTTCTGCAGACTAAATCCCCAGAACGACCACCAGTTGCCGACTGTGATTGTGTTGTGCGGACCACACACACAGGGAGCCCAAGGCATCAGCTGTGCAAGGCATCTCGCCAACCACAATGTTAAAACAATTGTTTTTGTGCCAAACTTTGTCCGTATGAACCAAATTCTTGAGAAGGAGCTCCAGCTTTTTGAATTTTGTGATGGGAAGAAAACTTCCAGTACCAAAGGTGATACACATCAAATAAATTACCAACTAAAATATTCTGTCTTGAATGTATAGTACTCAAAAAACGTTGAAGAACACACAATTTTGTCATATGACGAGAGTTAATCTGTCAATATCTGGTAGGTATTTCACTGTCAACATACATGCTTCCAATTGTGGGTGTTCTTATAACCTGTGTTCAGCATTATATGTAGGTAAATGTATTTCTATAATCAGATTTTGTTAGTTGAACACTTTGCCTGAGAGTCAGCCATTTAGGCAGAGAATTGTCACTTGTTCCATCTTTGCGGTTACTAGTAGGCCTTTTCTAAAACATCAGCTGCAGACATATCAAAAGGTGGCATTACTTAGGACAGTTAAAAACAAATGTAGTTCCGATTACACCTGTTTAAAATTTAGTGTAGGTAGGATTTCTTTTTTACATTTTTTTTAGAATTAAAGTATGAACTAATAACACATTTATCAATGTGTAATTGTTTATTCAATCAAGCTTGCGGCCATCATGTCGACTTTCTCTATCAGAATAACCGATGTCCCTCGGTGCCAGGAAAAAGCAATGTTATATGAAAGCTTATATTATTCATACTGCTTAAAAAATGTAGGGTTAGCACCAGAATTCAAGGGTCAGTTGGGTAATCAGAACCACAACATCTTTTTTTAGGCCTTAGTTCTCCAGAGGATTTGAAATGTGTTGGGAAATATACATCCGCAAAGAAACACAAAACAAAAAACACTTTTCGCCCATTAGTCCATGTAAAGATAAAATAATGATAAATTGAGAAATGTTTACTGATCCTTTAATTTATGACCATAAGTATTGGGCGGTTTGCCAAGGACTAAAGTACAAGAGCAAATTTCTGTTACTTAAATATATACAGGTACCGGTAATAATGAATTGTCCATTATGTTTATGTTCAAGCTAGGAAAATGTATTTGTTTCTTTCTGTTTAGAACTACCTACCATGCCTGACATGATAGTGAATGCCCTTGACAGCCATGAGAACCCCAATCTTAAGGATCAGTCGTGGTACAAAAGTCTCACAGAGTGGGCTCGTAACAAGCGGGCTCCCTGTCTTGCCATAGACCCACCCATAGAGGGAGCTGCACTTGACTCCAAATGGAGCCTGGGAATATGTCTTCCTCTCAGCCTGAAGAATGCAGCAAGTCAGATGTACCTGTGTGACCTGGGGCTCCCCAAGAAGGTGTTTGTGGAATCAGGTGTTCGTTACGTGTCCCCATTTAGTCATAAGTTTGTTATTCCACTCCACAGAAGGTGATTGACAAAGAGGTAGACTGGAACTGCCGATGTGCAATAAGAGGCACACAACATACCTATGTACTTACATGCACGGCTGTCTCCAACAGCAGGAACATGTTTCAGCTTCTTCTACACTGATGGTTGTGCATATCTTCAGTTTTCAGGGAACATTAACACTCTTGGAGATGTATGACAAATATACCAAATAACAGACAGCTGTACATGAACTGACTGAATCTTCAGGGTAACCTGTTAGTCTGGTGTTCCTGTGATTTGCTACGAAATAATGTGAAGTGCTTTGAGATACTGAGTCCCAATCTAAAATAGACTAGTTTTTTAAACCATTGTAGCAAAGAGATGATATGACTGTATATTTTATCCATGTTCATCTCTTTTTCAGTGTAACTGTGCATTTATGGTGCTGTGTAAATTGTGACTAACTAAGGAGCTGAAACCTTGTGTCCCTTCCATCTTACTGAACACATGAATAGGACACACACATCCTTCCTCTTTTGTTGATGGACACTGTTCTCTACCTTGGTATGGGATTTTTTACTATCAAAACATATTTTGTACAGTCATGACAGACTATTAATCAGAATATATTTTATCAAAACAAACAACAGTGATAATAACTTAGCCCTATTCAGTGTTCAGTGTTTGATCTTTTATATAACAATGGAAGATTACATGTAGTAAGTATTATTACCATTAATCAAGATTTCGTAACATGGTAATATTACTATCTATCGGTGTATGAAATTGATGCTCATCCCTTTTTATTGCAGTTTGTGGATTCTATTTTGACCAGTTGAGCGACAGTATTACAGCTTTCTGTCTCATAAACAGATGATATTTTATCCCTTGCATCAATCATTGATACAAACTGCTAAATAACGCAATGCTATTAATTAATAACTACCTGAAAGCATTTCTTTAATGTTGGTTGGAGAAATGGTATTGATGAAATACTTGGTTACCAGTGCCATATAGATGATGATGTATTTCTATAGACCCAAGAGGAGGTTTCACTGACATCCAACAGAAAATGTATTATTGTGATGAACTTTGACTTGTTTCCCGTCCCAGAAACATGTCAGTGGCTTATAGCATACGACCTTGACATTTCATGTGTTGGACATACCTCCAAATTATTGTTGTTATTCTGAACAGGGAAAAGGCAATAGTCACTTTATCTTTTAACTCTTGTCATAGAAGTTACCATTTTAACAATTTTGGTTTTGCTTTAACCCATGCTCTGCTGACAGCATCTACTCTGAAAACAGAATATGGGTTACTGTTGTTTAACCCTTTAACATTTATCAATTAGCTGAACATGAACTCTGATGCCAGTTTGTTAAAAAATGTGATAGTTTCAACAAATATATTTTTCATGTGGCAGTTTTGTAACTTACTCGGAAAATATTTTATCTTCTTTGAATTCTATGTCCCCACAGATCCATTTGTTCATAATGAGTAACCCATGTCATTCTGTTGGAAAATGAATTCCCTTTCAAAGTACAAATATGAAGATCAGTGTTCAGCTAATTGGAAGTTTTCATTTGAATTTAACTAACAAAATGTTGATTTATTTTGAACATGTTGATATGTGTGATATATTTTAACAATGTTTGAATTATTTCGGAATATTCTTTGTACAGTTTATGCCATTTTTGATTTGAATATTGACATGAGTAGCTGAGACCATTACTCTTGTTACTGTGGTCTATTTTTACCATCTGCCCCATTGTGTGTATATACATGTACTTGATATTGGAACATTCCAGCTATGTATCATGACCAACATTTATATCACTATGGTGGAGAATGATATTTTCAGATAATCAGAGATTGCTGTTTTTCATTTCTGAACATTATGTTCACGATGTTCCTTAGAATCATGTCCACTTATTTGTGTAGTGGTGTATTTCATATTTATACAGCTATGTGTCAAGTTAAGAATACTAAACCGGTATATTTGTTATTCAAGTGCTTGTGATGTATGTAATATATCTACTACATTGTTTCCTTGTCATCGATTCCACAACATGAAACATAGTTTTGTTTTGATCATATAGAGAGTATATTTGTCAGTCCAGCTGAGGTGTGTGTGCTCTACTATCGATGTACAGTGCACATCCAAACAATGTATGTTCTTGGTTAAAAACATCTTTCCAGATCAACTGCAATGTGTATGTGAATATGTTCACCATATGATGCATACACATTTATTCGAATGTTCATAATCTCAGATGCTTAATGTTATTGGAATTTTATTATTATTATTTTGTCAGTTGTTGATTTGTTTCATCTAAGAACTTCAGATTGGGTCTAACTATTAAGGAAGTGCCACAGCCTAATGGAACGGTAAAGCAATATCTCCTTTGTAAAATTTAAGTGTGAACAGATTTGGCAGATAGTATATGGGGCTGCAGTCAAGTATTAATCTCTCTTCGAACATGCTGAATGTAGGAATTTTGTTGGTTGTGATCAAGACATACTGCACAACATCACTGAAACTAATATAATGAAATATTTGAGAGTCTGTATGATAGCAATGGTGAAACCTGTGAATTACAAGGTTTGTGTGCTGTAACAGTAAAGTTCCAGTCTGTTGTTTGTGAAACGGGGAAGTTAATGACGACAACAACCATTATTACAACAAGTAGGACACCTTTTTACCACAGCTGGAGCTTATGTTACAGTCTGGCTAGATGGTAGCACTTCTTGGATGAATACCTTTGTAAATCTTTGTGGCAAGGTCTTTCTGTTTTTGTCAAGAATTTCAAAACAAGAACTACAGTGATATTATTATATTATGTTTAAAATAGGTTATAACATGGCTAAACTTTACCTTCATGTTCAGCTGTAAAGCAGGTTACTGTACATAATGACCATTTATGTTGCTGTACGACAATCATGGTGACAGAAATCCATAATTATAAAGCTCAGTCAAAATAAAAATTTGGTTACTTTTATAGTGTTATACAGATGATAGGTGGTTTTTTATTAAACGGAAAATAACTCCTTCAATGTGGTAATAGTCTTCATCTTAAGTAGGTTAGAAACATATTGACAAGAATATTTCAGTTTTCTATTGCAGAATCCGATGTTTTTGTAAAACTGAGGTAGATAACTGCACTCAATCTGTTGTATATTGCAGCCATTGTTCTGTATACAGTAGTGCCCTCACCAAATGTTGTACAGCTTACATGTGTGAACCAAACTGCTGTCCGCAGTCTTGTAAATAGTCAACAGTGTAAACACTTTTAAATGCTTATTGGAGACTTTTGGTCAGGCAAAATTGTTTCACACATGTACAATATCCTGTATGTAGTTAGTCCTTGTACAGCTCTGAAAATGCCAAAATATCACATTTCGCAGCTGAATAACAATATACCATATTGCATACAATATTGTAGAGAAGGGCCTCGCTTTCATTTGACTGTTTTCACCATCAACTTTTAGCAAAACCTTGAACATATTCATATTTGCAAATGAGATCTATATTTTACATTAATACAAAAACCCAAAAAATATTTATTGATATGAATATGTTCAGTTTTACTGATCTATGTATTACGATGGCCTGAGCCACCTATGCAGTATTGTTTTGAATGATACAATTGTTGTGTATGTAAGTGATGGAAAGAGAGTGCTGCAGTACTTTGTGATTACTCTTTTGTGATGTTTGAAACTTTGAAAATGAATTTCTTGGGGGAGTCATGAATATTATGTATTCTGTGATTGAGGTTTATGCAATTTGTGAAAGATTTCTCAATATTTTTACAAAAAAAGATGTCTTTGTATACAGGCATTGAAAAAAAAGTAGACAAAAATTGTTTTCATTTATTGACAGGTAAGCAAGCCATGAGACATTTGGAGTTGTTTGCAGATTTATGATTGCTTGTACTGTTTTGAACTTCATCATTGATTGAAGGTATTTTGTTTTGACCACTGCCATGTTCGTATACTAAGGATAGTATGGACCAGATTCAGAGTGTGACACGTTTTCCAATTAGGAATCCAGATAGCCATGGCAATGGAGGAATGTGCATTGATTTAAAAGGGAATGTATTGAAAGCTTGTGACATCCAGCTTCAGTGAAGAGGAAAGTGACAAGACCTTTTTGAGGAAAGGGAATTCTGTCACAAGAAGGTGTTTAAAGAACTCATGTGTTCCAGAACTCATTTGATCATCATGAACTTTATAAGAGGAACACGAATATAGAAGACATTAGATCAGGGCTTTGCTGTGTTGCTGACATGAGATTGAAAGTGTTGGCTGAAGCAACAGTACACAGCGTTATGTTCAGAACAGACAGCAATCTGCTTGTTCTGTCGTTTTGATTGAAGGTCCATGAGGCAACTGAACCTCCATGGTTTGTGTGAAACGTTATTTTAGAATGAATATTCACACATTTATATGTATATTTATGTACTAAATGTGGAGTGTGCTGGACATGCTATCTTACCTCCTTGGTCCTGCCAGTTTCTTACCACTCTCTCAATGGCAACTCTGTTGCAGTGACCCAGGAATCTTCCCACCGTCTGTAGAAACATATGAACACAACACTCTTTCCTGCATTTATGGGGTCTCTTATTGTCTCAACAATAATCACAATTAGAAAAGTCAAGACTGATTTCTAAATTTCTTGCCAAAACTACTGTTATTAGGTAGATCAGACTCACTGTGATAGTTTCACCTCCCTCCAATGTCCAGCTTTGATGAGTGTATTGTCATTAACATTAAAGGGATGATGACTGTTCCTTCTCAATGTAACATACCAGTTGAGAGTGAGGGACCAAGGAGAATATATATATATGACATTGGATGTATGCTTGAACTTTGATTGAAATGTTGAAAGCAAGTGAATGATTTGATGCTAGAGAACAAAACTTGTAGTATAACAGGCATGGAAAGACAAAGATATTTGTGATAGAACAGCCATGTACTGAAGGTTGGATAACTGAGGCACTGAGATGACCTGGTGTTCTAAGTGATGCCCCATGCTGAACCTGTGTGTTTTAACCATACTGCAACATACCTAAAGTCACCAGGTGTCATCCTACGCTGGATACATGGATGGGTGTTCTTCAGTTTACTGCCAGGCTATGGGACAAGGACATACAGGGATGTATGATTGACGTAGGAACATAACCATGTTACATGTACCCTGTGTGCATGGTAGTGCCTGAGGCTTGTCAACATGTAGTGTCTTAGACTGTGGGGGTCTTTCAGTCATTATAATCAAACCTAACCAAGCTTGTTGACAATTATGATAGGATATCCTCAGACAGAGCTGGTTATCCATTAAGAAAACATGTTGTCAGGTTTGTGTGTTATAATTCATCATGTTCATAGCTGTCCAATTCTCACAAGTATTTTCATTGAAATGTGAATGCTCATGCATACGTAGGTGGAGATTGCCAGTGCCTTTTGCTTCAGTTTCATGCTTAGTGGAAAGGCTGAAGTTTCCTCATGTTTGTTTTTATGAAATTGCTGGCACAGTTGCAATACTTCTTTGGTCAGTTTCTATGAGTCACATTGTTGGTTACTTAAAAGATGAATGTTGAGGTCACAAGAGTTGAGTCATTTCCATGCTTAACTTGCCAGATTAGTGAAGGTTGGGTTCCATTTAAATTGTGGACTCCATGAAAGACCTGCCTCGTACTAAGGGTGGCCAGGACAGGCATGGCTGCATCTGTAAAAAGTCTGCTAGCTGTACAACTTCCAACAATCAAGAGCTGTGTTTATGATTTCGTTGAACATTATAGGCCTTGTGTGAAACTTTACTCCATAAGATCAACAAGTACAGCAGAGGCTGTGTATAAACTGTGAATGTGACAAATTGAGATTATTGACCAAGTGTCATATCATAAATATCATATATTAGGAATAGCGTAATACATGGTATATTCCTATTATATATGTGTGTGATATGTGTACTTTGGTACAGAAATATGACTTATGAAGTCTTTATTGTATATTGTCATTGTATATTGGATGTTTCAGGTGAAATTTCACAGTGGAGTAATTTTAGAAACTGCAAATGAATACAGTGTTTGATTGAAGCGTCCGATTTATCATAGTGCCAAAGAATTTGCAGAACTACAGAAACACTTGCACAGGAAGAAGCCCAATGTTGTTGGGAATGATTGTTTTGGAACTTGAATGTTGTACCTCATCTACTTAATTGTCGGCTCTTGACGCCAAGTGTGTTGGATTGGCTTATTTCATCAGTAATGTCAGCCATTATGTAATAAGTATTGCTTGAATGATATCATCCAAGCATTTCAGTCTCAATGCAAAATAACAACCTTTTGAATGGGTATTGGTTGTTCATACAAGATTCAATAACATAGATGTTGTTATCATACTGTTGTTGTACACATATATACCATTGCTTACCAGGACAACAGGTGTGCAATGTTTAGGTAACGATTTGCCTACACTGGTAACACGAAGCCAGTTAAGATAATACACAAGCATTACTTGTAATGGATGGCAGCAGATTAGATGTGTGAGAACAAGTTCTCTGCCAGGACAGATAATCCAGGGCCTAGAATTTGGAAGCTCTCTTAGCCGAAGATAGTTGTAAGTTAATGTTAATGAATGGCACTTACAACTATCTTAGCGCTAAGAGAGCTTCGAAAATCTAGGCCCAGGACTGTTGTTAAGATGACAATATTGTGTAAGCATTGCTTGATTATCACTGGCTGGATGACACTGTTTCTTAGCGAAACCATTGGGATGTATCATATTGAAATGTTCAATCTTTGTTCCTTCCCATGAATGTACTTGTTGGGAAATAGTCATGTCCACCCTTTTCACAACATGGTAATGACAGCCTTCTGGAAACAATATCATCACTTCAACTGAATGCCACTGACAATAGGAGCTCATTTAGAAATGTCACTGTTTCATCAACTTGCTTTGTTAGGTGATTTGACAGATATGTGCGTGGCATTTGTTCTGGCAGCTAGTGCTTTGGGGGAATTGTCTCCCTTTGATGCATCCAAACTAAGGCGACCAAAATGAGATAATTATACGAATAACATGTGACTAAAATGGCAATGAGCATTTGCTCTACAACTCAAAATCAAAACATGTTGCCTTAAAGTGCAGTGAAATATGTCCCTTGTATTGAGTTTTCCAAGAGATGAAGTGTTTTCCTGTAGAGGTAGTCATTGGGCTACGTTATTAGGGTATTTGATCTGACTGTGCCATATGTTGCAATTGGATTCATTGTGTTTGGGGAAGCTGTTGTTCACACACTTCCAGTTATCATGTGTGTCTTTCTGTGTGGTTTTTATCTCGTCAGTTTTAATGATAGCTCTTTGAGTAATGTTAGATGTTTTTGTGGTGATGTGCAAATATTTAAATGTACATGTTATAGTAAGGGATGAAGATGAAACCGAGAGTGTTTTAGGAATGTCATATCCATATCACTGTCATCTTGCATGCAGAAAATACAAGTCGTAGAACTAATCAAGTTGGGAGGACTATTTTACAATGGATGATTGAAACTTTTGGGGTTCTGCCATTTAGCTCGTTAACACATTTCAGCCCTTTCAGTTGACAAGAGGCTTTTGTTTTCTTCACAGTCCATGAATTAAGTCCCAGGGGCGGATACAGCTTTTTGAGAAAGGGGGGGTGCACACTATTGAGAAAAGCAAGGGTGCACACTTCATTTTCACCCGAGTTTCAATGGTCATTTAATAAACTTTTAGGACAAAAGGGGGGTGCGCACCGTGAATGTAATTGATGACTTAGCTGTGTTGGTAGTTGTCATGTGTTGTTGTGTCAATCTTCCTTATTAATACAAGGTTATGGAGGATCCAATCTCTGAGGCTCGTCACATTGTACATATCCATTGTATGTTCAAATGATCTCTGCATTACATGAATTTACAAGATTTTTTACTTATGAACTTCCTGTCACCCTATGGCCATCCATCCTCAGAGATCAGGTTGATTATCTACACTGTCACTTCTACAAGACACATAAACATCGTGTTACTTTATCAATAGGTTTCCTGTAAGAATCTCATTGATCTCAGAGTTATTTCTCTGCTATGATACCTCTTAGCACTAAGTTTTGGGGACACGTCTAATGAAAGTCGCATCAGGTGAGCAGCGAGTGACATTTGACCACCTGACTGAATGGGGGATGCATGAGATCCTGAGACTTCCACCTCAATTCAGAAGCATTGATGTTTACAAATGACAACCTGAATACAGCACAAATAGTCCATTAATGGTACTCCCTTTTAGGCTGTAGATGCCATTGTACTCAGAAAAGACAGTATGTGTTAAATATTCCCAAGACTAAAATGGCACCACCTTACTTTTCTTTTTATTGAACCTTCTTGTTTAAGTTTGTTTTCAAGACATCAGATATGCAGGGTACTGAGTGTCTTGAAGCCCCAGTACTGAGTAGTTTAAAAGTTAACATGAACTGTCCTCAGATCTTCACTCAGATAGGTATTGTATTAGAATGAAGATCTGATGTTAATGAGGTTGATGTAATACTACAGGTGTATCTGTGGCTGATCTTCCATGCTGAGAAACCAATGGAAAGTAGTGTAGATAAAAAACATCTGGGTGTACGGGGAGATGACATTTCTATCACAGAGCACATCTTTACCGCCATTTTGTTCTTTCAAAATACAGTCATTGCTGCGTTCATTTATGCTTCCATTTCATCTATCTAGTCTCGTACATAGACTTGTATTGCAAAAGTATGTAATGGCAGATTTAATCTGAAAACTTTTTAAAGTGAAAGCATTTTATTGTTTACTGTTCTATTTGTACTTCGTTGGCTATAACATGATTACGGATTTGCCTTTTTGTTTGTGTGTGCTTATAGTTTTGGTGGACCTCTTTATAATTTTTGATTACCACTGTTGCCAAACTAGGCTTAAAGTGTAGCCACTTAGGTACTAGTACGGGCAATATCTTTTCAGTTATGCTATTCCTCATGTATTTCATCATGATTCCGAATGGCACATGCTAGATTTGTCCTCCTGTAACATCATCCTGTGACAACTAGCCAACACCTAGCTGGACCCAGATTCATGTCTGGCTTGGCAGTTAGGATTCACATTCAGATATATGCACCTTAGTTACCTCAAGAAATTAAGCATTGTCATTTAAGAATACCACCTCTGCTTGAACTATCTTAACTTTCCTCACCACCCATTTCTGACAAGGTATCATTGACAGATGAGGCATCGCCATACTATCATTGAATTACATTTTGATATATAGATTTTAACAACACTTCATGTCCTTCCATATGTGAAATTCACGGAGAGGAGCTTGAAAGCAATATTCACTTGTACAAATTGCAGATGCTGGGTGTTTGCTCGAATAATGGTCTATCCACTGGGCCTGGGTGATGAGGCTGCCCAACAAGTGATGACTGAACCAGAGGCTGTTGTGTGCCAGCCTGAGCCCTTTAACACCAAGTAGTCTGAGCATGAAAGGCTATAGTCAGCCAATGTTAAAGTATGATAGCCGTGAGATCACTTTGTGAAATGTTGGCCTGATAGACTCTGTAATCATTATTTGCTCAAGCTTCATGTGCAGGATTATGAAGAAGATGATTCTGGAAACGTTTTTGTGTTTTTCGCTTTTGTTCACTGATGTTTTCAAGCGGGGAAGCTTGGAATATGGACTTTATGTCGCTACATATCACTACTGCATAATCATGAACTAGAACTAGTCTTGTCAGTCATTGTCACACTACAGATGTTTAACTGAATATACTACTGTCATTTATCATTCATTGTTTCCAATTTGTATATTGTCGACCAATGGTTTTGACTGGTGAAATCTGGGTTTCCAACATCATGATTCAACTCCATGAGAAAGGTAACTGCAGAATGAAGGTGCACATCTGTGTAGAATGGGTTAGTGGAAACAATGTTTGACTGCGTGTAATGACTGTATGCTGCATTTAACCAGAGTTCTTCCGGTACAGGAACATTTGTTATGTGTATTTGCTGGTCATGGGTCACTAAGGTCATTATGATCTTTGCTGATCACCGCTTGTCTGTAACATTTTTGTCGTACCTCTTGAAATTTGTGTTTAAATGTTGTAAGGTTGGAATGGTTATTATTTTGGACGTTGATTACGGTGAAATTATTTGGGGTCACATGAGTTAAGAAATAGACCTCTTCAGGTTTGTCTTGTAAACCACACTTTAGAGTTATTATAAGTCCCTATTTGCTCAATTCCATCTGAGCTGGGACTTCAGTCTTTAGACAAGGAAAAGGGATGCTCTTTCAGCTTCTTTATTGATAACATTACTGAGATATTCCTGACTGAAACTCAGCTTAACTTCACTTACACAGACTTGTACAGAAATGTACTTGATAACAAGAATATCTAATCCGTAACCCATTTAGTCAGCATCAACATTTCAACGAGAAAATGACAGTACATATCAATATTTGTATGGTATTGTGATGTTTTTGATTGATGTGTCATTCTAGTCAGCATATGTCAACCTGCATTTTATTTCATTTCTTCACTAAACTTTTTCAAATGTTTATCTCAATGATCCATGAACAGTAATTATGAAAGAAAGGATAAATCTGTTCCAAAGAATACAGTAGGAATATTTTTTCAATGATGTCAGTTTGTAGACGTGTTACATCAGTGATAATGAGAGAGTCGTGCTGTTTCCCCTCTGTTGCAGCTGTAAGACTCAATTAGGGCCTAATCCAAGCCTACATGAGCAGGAAGTGTTCATCCCTTATGTTGTATACACTCTAGTTCCAGTCTTCCCATGATACCTTGTATTACAGAAGGAATGGATGCTTCTTGTCTTACGTGGATATTTTACTTACGTGGCTGTAGTTAATCTGTTATGGCTGTCCTTTAACTTGTTTTGAGTTGAATACAATTTTAGAGGTCATTGTCAGTAGCATGTTCATGCTTCATAGTGGAAGTTGTTTTATCAATATGTTTAACTTGAATATAACTTTTTATTTGTCCTTTTGTCTCTGTTGATGAATGTACCTAAACTCCTCTAAGGAGTCCAGCTTTGTTCAATAATTTATTGTGATTAGATGTTTGTAGTGTTTAAGTCTTATCTAGGTGTGGTTTCTTTGTTTATTGAATGAAAGTGATATGACTTTCAGTGAGATGAAAGTGCTTGAACAATACAACCATACATTGAGGATTACCAGGATGTTAGCAGGGACTAAATCTAAATGTAAATCTTTGAAATACCATATTTAGCATTGTATGGGGTGTAATATCCTCAATATTTCCAGGGCTCTCACTTCAGTGAACCTACATGGACCCCTGCAGTCTCAAATTACCTGCTTATGATTTTCATTAACATTTCATCCACCACTCAGACGTTCCTGAGGGAAATGGTTAGGGAGGTCATCTGTGTTACACAGAAACCAAACTCACAACAACTTTTGGGCAGACATTGCCATCTCATCATTGAGGCTGGTGTGTAATGTTATGGTTGGTATATCTAGACCTAGCAGCATAGCCAATCCAACTAGCAGTCTAAGTAAACTTAGGCTCAGTATTATTCGTTAAACTGCTATACTGAGTCTAACAAACTGTAGTAGAAGGTCACGTCTGCTAACCTTTTGAATTGACCAATCAGAACACAGCTTATCAAATCGCAAAAGTTAACATTCGCACATTCCGTTTGAACTTTTACCCCGAAAACGTTTGTACTCGAACAATTCCGAATGCTATTTTTCGCACGATCGCTTCAGAGTGATACACATAGATAACGCCATTATTCACAGCAGTGAGTAAACAGTTGATGAAAATAGCGTTTTTGTCAATGTTCCAGGATGTCATCGTGCGGAAATATAAGTTAATAGTAACCATCTCATTGGAAACCTCTAAGCATATATACTGCAGGTCAAATATCTGTGTTCTATGCGGATTTTGGTTTGTTGAGAGATCAGTGTTGGTGACCAGGGGAAGAGAAAACATTTTGTAAGTGCCGCCAAACCCTAAATAGTTGTCTGATTGGTTTTATCCGTTCTGCCACCTCGTGTTTGACTGGATGGTCATGGGTCACTCAAAGGTTAGCTGACACGACCTTCTACTAGGGTTTGTTAGACTCAGTATAGCAGTGTAACGAATAATACTGAGCTTAAGTTTACTTAAACTGATCCAAATGGCAAATCATAATCAGGGGCAGATAATTTGAGATTGTGAGAACCATGGGAATGAATCTAGGTGATGGTTTTATAAAATTCCAGCCCAGGCCCAGATTTCTCGAAACAAACTTAAGTTTTTACTCAAATTTCAAACTGAGTTGGACAATTTGAAACAGCTGAATTTTTAACTCAACTGCATTTTTTAAATAAAAAAGCCCAAACAACTTAAGTAACCTATCCACCAAACTCAAATCGTCTACTATGTTTGAGTTTAATATCGATTTTAGTTCATTTTGGGAAATGCATTTTCTCAAATTTGAGTAAAAACTCTAACTTAAGTCGAAACTAAGACTTAAGTTTGTTTTGAGAAATCGGGGCCTGGAGATATTGAGGATAGCAATGCAATTATCAAGCCTCATGAGTATTTTTAAAGATATCTGTAATACACTGATATTTAGATGTTGCCAAAAGGTTTGATGAGGTGTACATTATTAAAAGATTCTTTTGGTAAAATTATTAATATCATTACCATTATTCAAATTATTTTGAAAATTCTTGTTGATTGTAAAAGTGTTTGAATATTTACCAATGTTTATAATAAAACCAAAGCTACACACTAAAACAGTTCAGCAGTTTGAAATACATCCTTTTAATCACACAACATTTTGTGAGAATAGCTTTTGTCAGACAAGAAAAAAATATGTTGTTTAGTGCTAAAAGTAATGCATCATTAAAGATTGGTAATCCGTGTTAGAATATCCTCGACATAACCAGTTTTGTCTTGTAGAAGATGGTCACATCTATATGTATGATAGAACTGATAGATTTATCTCAGATCTATAGAGACTAGTGGTATGGACACACAATGTGGCTACAGGTGGTCAGATATGGTATTTCATAGGTTGTATAACACTTCCCCTTGTATGATCAGAGTAGTCAAGTAGTGTGTGTTGTATTGGTTTATAACCTGACGTTTAGGGTGCGACTTGTGTTTTGAGCCGCCACCACCTTTGTTTTGTTTTAGTCACCTGCTGTTTTGTGCTTTCCATTTTTGTAATGGTATAAATATCATAACTCTGGTGTGATATAATCCGTAAAATACTTTCTTTTAGACTTACTTTGTGTGTATCTAATGAGTTTGATTAATATTGTATGGTCTATGTATTAACATCTGTCTGTAGCCTGTTGTGGCAGAAAGACAAATGAAACACTTTCGTTTCAGTAGTGATTTGCTGCAACAGGAAGTAAGCACTATAATTTCATTAATTTTTTATTCTCAAATATGAATTGCAACTTTATATGGTATAGAAATTGTTGTTTATAGAGCAGTTGAAAAGAAGCAGATTTCTTACCTTACCTATACACTGCACACTTGAGCAATAAAAGGTTATCACTATTTGTTTTTGTATGCAGCTCTTACATTGCATGAAGCCCAACTGGATAAGTCTGATAAATGGTTATCAGTAAGTCTGTATTTAATTTGCGAAAGAATTATCAGAAGTTTGTTACTAAAACATGTTTTTCTAATGATTTGTTGACTGTGGGTAACATTCTCTATCATTTGTAGAACAAGGCAGTGCTTCCCAGAGTTAATAATGAACAATATTGTAACCTTTTTTCTTTCTTTTTTGGTAAAAGTTTTTTTTGTTTAAGATGTATGATGTTAATTGCTGTTAGCTGTCCCATCCCTGTCCATGACTAGATATGTTTACTGGAGATACTCAAGCTGCTTCATGAGAGCAGTTATGCATGAAGCTCTGTTCTTTAAATGCTATAAAAGTCATTTCATAGAACGGGATGGGATGTTTGATGCTTTAACGTCTCTCTATATAAATGTAGATTCAAACCTTATATTGTTGTATGTTGGATAACTCACCGTGTAGTGCCAAGCCGTGAGAAGTTTGTATTTTCCTTCTTTGTTTAGACCAGTCCATGTGGAGCAGTAACAGAAACAAGAGAGTTGACCTGACAGGGATTATTGCCAGGGGACCACTCAAAGCATGTTCTATCTGTATTTTCCTGCAGCACATCCGGTCTGTAATAATTGCTCATAAAATGTTTCAATGCTTACTACTTAACAGGCTTATGTTCTTAACTGATGGGGGCGGTGGGGTAGCCTAGTGGTTAAAGCGTTCGCTCGTCACGACCGTAGGCCCGGGTTCGATTCCCCACATGGGTACAATGTGTGAAGCCCATTTCTGGTGTCCCCTGCCGTGATGTTGCTGGAATATTGCTAAAAGCGGCGTAAAACCAAACTCAGTCAGTCTTAACTGATGTGCATTTCTTCACAAATAACTTAACAAATGAAAAGATCATATTCAATGTTGTTTGTATGCTATATTTAATGCAGGTACTACTTTACAGTGATAAAATCCATCTGTAAAAATTACTATCAGAAAGGCTTTTAGAAAATATTGACATACAAAGACGTGAAACTTTAGAAGTACATGTATTCACTTTATGAAATGGGTTTACGTTTTTTCATTTGAATTGTATGAGATTCAACAATGAATATGAAGATTATATTGCTTAATGTCGAAGGCCTTGTTTACAGACATGTTGTTGGTCTATTTCTTTTCTTGGGAGAATACTTGTACCCAGCAGTTTCTCTTGTTTCTGTTACAAACTAGGAAATACATTGACGTGTAATGTAGTGGAGACTCTACACTACATCTGAAGTTATGGATTATACGTTAATTTTGTTTTTAATCCACAGTGCATTGCTAATGGTGCATCGTTTTATTTCATATTGGATTTGATCTTGATTTTTAGGAAGATGTATTTATAGATGTTGTATAGTTTCTTTATGTCTTTGATGTAAGAAATTGGGATTGTTTATTTTAGCAGAAGAACCTCTTCCTGTCAACAACAACAACTTGACTTATTGATTATACAAAACTATTCTTCATCCAGAAATGGTCAAATGTATTGCAAATTTCATCTTCATGGTCAGTTTAGATCTTGTAAATTTATCGACTATTGTGTTAAGAATTTCGTGGAAATGCAACCCAATTTCTTGTGCATTATGCTCTCAGTTTTAGATACTCTTATACTTTACTTCTGTTCTTAACCTGTTCATACTTTTAAGATCAGTTAATGCATTCCTGCCACATAATCTTAATTTTCAGTGTCTTACCTCTAAGCTGAAATAAACAAATGTATAAACAAAAGTGATGTTTTTCACTTGTTTCTGTTGTAACAAAATGTTATGAGTGCTTTTGCTTAGTATGTGGATCTTCTTATCAGCAAAAGAGCGTATGATCAAGTGGCCTTGTTTCCCGATGTCACTGAGATTCATGGGGGTAGTCCTGTAAGTTCGACCTTTGGGTCTAGGTGAAAATCCTTTGATGTTTGATGTTGTGACAACAGTGTTGTTTTAAGGGATTAAGACACTGGCATGTTTTCTCAAAGTGTTCAACTTGACATTTATGGAGATTCATGATCCAGTGAGCTTGCATTACACATGATGTTCAACGATAATATGACATGAAGATTCATGATCCAGTGAGCTTGCATTACACATGATGCTCAACGATAATATGACATGAAGATTCATGATCCAGTGAGCTTGCATTACACATGATGCTCAACGATAATATGACATGTGAAGATTCATGATCCAGTGAGCTTGCATTACACATGATGTTCAACGATAATATGACGTGAAGATTCATGATCCAGTGAGCTTGCATTACACATGTTCAACGATTATTACACATGATGTTCAACGATAATATGACGTGAAGATTCATGATCCAGTGAGCTTGCAATATGATACATGATGTTCAATGATAATATATGAAGATTCATGATCCATGTGACAGATTCAATGATAATATCCAGTGAAGATCCAGTGATCCATTGTTGTTCAGCATAGCATGTTAGGCTGAGTAAGTATGGTTTTACGCCGCTTTTAGCAATATTCCAGCAATATGACATCAGGGAACACCAGAAATGATCTTCACACAACTCAGTTGATACCCACATTTGAAAAGTTGATGAGTTGCATAACCCACATTTGGTAATTCTTAGATGCAACACTGATTGTATCCATGTGGGGAATTGAACTTGAAACATTAGGCTACTCCACTGCTCCGCCATTTTATGATGTGGACATTCATGACCCAATGACTTACTCATTATGTTGAATGTGCCATTTAGCGAGTTCCAAGTGGAAGGCTTATTGACTGATGGTAGGATTACCTGTTGCCATGAGGTGAATAAAGAGTGCTTCAAGAATCTTACATGTATTTCACATAATACAACGACTGGTGCTGGTGAAATGTCGTTATATAAGTAAGAAACATTTTTGGCATTCTTTCACACAAGGGCACTGTCCTGGAAAGAGTTTGGTTTTCATTATCCTTCTGATTGTGAAACACTGTAACATCACCGTCCACGACATTTTAAGTGCATATTCCCGACACTGCTTCTTCTTCACAAAGATCTGCAGCAATAGTAATCAGTCTTAAACCACTGGGCTAGCAACCTGGGGTGCTTCCTCAGTCAGAGATACAAAACTGCACATGATTTTATCTTTACAAACATCAGGTGGGTAAGTCTATCGGCTTTTTATCAGTATTCATAAACTGTCATGAGGCCATTTACCCAGGCAGTTTGATGTAAAATATATCCTGTGGGTTGGTACAACTTCCAGCTGTTTTGGGGTGTCCTTATGTGTTATAATGCAGGTCAACATTGAAAGTTAAGTTTAATGTGGATACTCCATTTTTTCATGCATCAAGTATACACATAACATACTTCATGTTTCTTGCCAGATTCTTGGCTTCCACTGGAGCTGACTTGTCAGTGATGATAAATGTCATGTTCCAGTTGTGAGTGCAGCTGACACAATGAAAGGGTGAATCTCCAGGTATACTGGGAGCATGGGTGGCACTGCACCTTCTGTGCAGGCATGATTCCACTGATTGTTGGTTCAAATCCATGATTGTGTCCCTTGCTTTTCTAGAACTATATCTGTGCTTCTTTGGTTCATCTTCCTGATGAAGTTGAAACACATTGTAAACCAAAAGTTTCCGTGTTCTTTAATCTGATCGGTTGAAAAACATGATCGAATGGTATTCGATTCCCGGAAATTGCAAGACTATTCGCTGCGTATTGACACGTACAAATATCTCGCACATTTGTATTGTTGCGTCGTCAGCAGTGGTAACGTCATTCAAATCATATTGTGACATAAAGTCGGAATGACGTCACAAATGAACAGTTACAGATGCTGCCATGGGAACCAGCTGAAACGGCCAGATGATGACACTTCACTGCTGTACCCGTACTCAATGTCAATGAGTGCAGACAGTAAAAACCATGTGGGCCTTTTGGTTTACTTTTGTGTTTACAATGTTGATAAACATCATGTGTTGGCCAATTTCCGGGTGTTATTGAGTACATTGTACTTGAAGCCCGGGAATATTTCATTTGAAACCTCCAGCTTACGCCATTGGTTGCAAATGAATTCCCGGGCTTCAAATACTCAATAACACCTGGAAATTGGCCAACACATGATGCTTATCTCCTAAATTATACAACTGAAATACCACTCAAGACATTATTAAACCATTTCACTCCCACAGTCCCTAAACTCTTGAAACAAAATATGAAGATAATTGTATCCTAGAGCTGGGCTGTTTCTTCTAATAATGCTTCCTATACTGGCTGTAAGTCGTGGCCAAATGGATCTGACGGCCAGACTCGGAGACTTGAAAGACTGCATGTCATTGTACCACATTGATGCAGATCGTTGATCACAGGGGCGGTGGGGTAGCCTAGCGGTTAAAGCGTTGGCTTGTCACGCCGAAGACCCGGGTTCGAATCCCCACAAGGGTACAATGTGTGAAGCCCATTTGTGGTGTCCCCCGCCGTGATGTTGCTGGAATATTGCTAAAAGCGGCGTAAAACCAAACTCAGTCAGTCAGTCAGTCGTTGATCACAGTCACCTGGGCCCCGTTCCTCAAAGCGATCGTAGCGCTACGACATTCGTAAGTCTATGTTAAAGTATGGGAGTTACGATCACCTTAGCGCTACGATCGCTTTGAGGAACGGGGCCCATTTTGTATGGCCCATACACCAGCATGTGCACTGCCAAAGATGGCATTATTAACAAACACAATCTGGTTTTACATGATTAGAATGATGTATGCATCAGCCCAAACAGGATTCCACGAGAGATATTGCTCTGATGAATAGCTTCATGACCAGTGTGATGTTAGTTCTCACAGGATGACAAATGACACCACTCTCCTCTCTGCCACCATATTTGATGTTTGGGCATGGTTCTCAGCTAATAAGTATCACATAAAACATGACTAAGGTTTTAACTTTATTAGCTGAGAATTGTAATGAAAATCACAATGAATGAGGAATCCTTTAATATGTAAGGTCAGCTGGACTGTGATGGCCCCTGTATTGATATGTGACCAGTCGCTAAATCCTTCCTAATCCAACTTGCAGCCATCAGCCACAGGTGAGGTCAGAAACATGTAAGTTTACCTCAACCTGAAATCTAACCAGTACAGAATACTAACCAGTTTTGCTGTTCAACTAAAATGTACAGCATACGGTCATCGGAAGAAAACCCTGTGTTATGTCCATCAGTTCACTAGAAGCGTGTTCCCTATAAACTTAGTTTACTGTATACAATGAAGATATTTTACAACTTGAACTTGATCCAAATCCATATGTTAGGCATCAGATGGGAAGTATTCAAACAGCTGTATATTATATTAAGTAAATATCTCTTTACAGATGCCTTCAATACTATAATTTGGTTCACAGGTATATCAGTTGAAGACATAAACGTCCATGTGAGTTTACTGGCATCAGTTCTCATGACCAGTTTTTTAAATATATGTACACTTCTTGCAAATATCCCACCTTCTTTTCATCACAGTCACAAATCTTGTATTTTGACCACAGGAGTTCAAATCACTGTTTGGACAATAATTTAAAAAAATAAAAACGAAATCGGTGAAGAAAGGGATTTTTTTAGAAAATGCTCCCGCTACACTCATAATATTACATAAAATACACCTGAATGTATTTCTTCACCGATTTCGTTCAAATTTGAAATATAAGTTACTCATAACATATACAAACGATATACGGTTGCAAAAATCTAGATTTATATTTTTAAAAATTATTGTCCAAACTGATTTGAACCTCTGTGATTTTGACTGTCATCACACTTTGAATATCTCCATTTTTTCAATAATCAGTTGTGCAAGTAATAACATCTTGCTACTCATACTTCATCCAACAGGTGGGAATACCTATGTGCTGGCATCAACAGCCAAACTTATTAACAACGATTACTTCTGTTTATAGCTGCTGGTTACATTATCTGACATAGGCTTTATCTTAATAGCCACTGATTTGTCTCATAATACACTACGGTGTTTACGGTGTTCACAGTTCTGTCCAAAGTCACTTCCAAGATAGAAACATCGCTTCTGTCCTCATTGAAGCCAAAAATCATTACAACTGACTTTGAATTATTACATTCAGTTGCAATCCTCTTTCAAAACAAAGAACATTGTTCCCATCAGGGACAATATACAGACACTGTAGTATCATACTTGCTGCACAGTTATAGCCTCAGCACATCCTACCTACACATTTCTTGTCTATTAATGGCTATAACCCATGGTTGTCTTCCTGTTCATTTACAGTCTTGCCAATATTTAAGAAATACCTACATGTATATTAATCTTTTGCCCTGAACTATTATAGTTACGTCCGGTGCTTTAACGCCATAATAGTGCTAAAGTGTGGTATTACACAATACATGGTGGAGAGCTTAACTGTATTTCTTTCTCTAAGATGCCAAATTTAATACTTTCTAAGGATAATTACAATTAATTTAAGGCAGAAAACAAAGGACGGTGTCAGTGACCTAAATTAAGAATCCTCGCACAGGGCTAACTGGTGCGCTGTTCTATTGATGTGTCTGCCCCCTACGTTCTAACGTTACCAGAAACAGTTTCATGACGGTTTACGCTCGGATTAAATATCTTCTCTAAAGTATTTTAATTACATCTGTGATTAACGTAAACCATGTGAACGTCGTGATTTCTACTACCAACGTATGTTTAGATCAGTACATCCAGACGAAGCTATTTAGCGAATTAATTTGTGGGAAGATCAGATGCTTACCTTGTACTTGTGAGGTAAGTCCTTGTGCAAACCAAGAAACGGGATGCAACGCAGTATGGCATTATCTGACATTTAGAATGTTCGTAATTGTTCGATACTAGAATGGTGCAGTGACGGGATAACGCTCATTCAATTGTTAAATACCTTTATTGTCTGATAATGTATTATTTTTGTAAATGTAAATAGAACCCTATTTAGAATTAATTTAAGATCAGATGCTTCTTGTACTTGTGGTAGCCTTGTGAACATTATCTACTACAAATCTAGATTTATTGTTATTTGGTCATGTTACACTATCACTATATGAAAATGAATTATTATTTGAACATGTACATAGATATATTAAGCTCACTGAAAGATTTTTGTAGTTTTATTCTTCTATATACTATACACATCATCTTTAAAGATCTTGTAAATTCACTCAACAAATCCCTGTTGTCAATGCTTTTATACATTAAATATGAAATATGTTACTTCTGGGAGAGGGCGTTCCTAAGTTGGATAACTTGTGCCCAATCCATTTCATTTTTGAATAAAATATGTTTAAAACATCCCTACACACACTGTTGTAGTGAAAGCAGTCCACACAGATAATAAACTCTTTCTATTCAGAACAGAAGCATCTGTTGTGACAGACCCATATGTTTGTTTCTTGTGACCTTGAATGCGCTCTAATCATTTGTCCAATCACAGCTGAGGGATCATCAGGTAGGAACTACCAAAATGTTTGGGGTTAAAATATAAGATAAGGCAGCATTGGTCATTTTCCAGCCATTACTTTAAACAATACATAAGCAGTACATTTAACAGCAAACATTCAAATATGAAACAAATTTACAAAATGGAATGGGAGTAATTCTCAGGTAATTTTTGAAACCTTCCAAATAATATCAATAATTTGAGGTGGATGGACAATAACAATAAACAATCAGAGACTACAATCTGAGTTTCATGTTCTTTCTAAATGAATTCATCTGGAGAACAATATACAATTTCTTTAAAACTGGTGATTTTTTTCTTGAGAGACTGTCATGATAGCAGATTAACACAGAGCACTGGCTTTACTTGTAATAAAAGTTCCGACATCCTGTATGGTTCCGAAGTCTACTTTCAAGTTTATCCTGAAGGTCACTTGAGTTCATATGAACTTCCTGTGTTGCTGCCGTTGTTTGTTTGGACTTACCAGAATGTGTATTAATGGACATTTCTGTTCAGTCATCAAAGGTTTTACTTCTATTTACCCATTTTATTATGATTGAATACTCTGATCAAACAGCCACCATAACTTTGCTTTGGAAGTGACTTTAAGCGACATCTCTCTTATCTCTAATCAAAGATGATTACTCATCCTTTTAATCAGTGCATCAGCTAATAGAGAACAGTTTCCTTTGGGAGACAGGCAACTGTACGTGCTGTATGTGTTTCATGTCACACGTTTTCAAAAGCATACCTGACATACTTGTAGTTTGCACAACTACTTCACAATATGAAGACCTCCAAATACTGTACACATGTTATATCTCACCACCATTCACTCACTCAAACAACAAACATCACAGAAGCAAATAATTATCTGACTGATGATGTCTATATTAGTAAACACCCTGAGAAAACAGTCCACACACACTGCCTTGTCTTGTCAATTACCAAGTAGTGACTTTATGATGTTCACCACTTGTACCAAGATGGCAGCATTCTCTGAAGGAGAGGCACTTTTTGTGTTCAAATAAACATCCATTCCTACTTGTGTCAGGATGACTATAACTTTTGTTAGGACAACCCTCTTGTTAGATGGTGAAACCAGCAGTGTCACCCAAACATGTCCACAGCTACTTGTGTCAAGACTCCCCCATCTCTGACAGGTTGTCCACGTCAAGGACTACAGCAACTTGTATGTGCCATCACATTGAGTGGCTTCCATTTGTTGCATCAACCTCCTCTGCTTGTTCTGTTGGCTCCCTCAGAGATGACTTGGCATTTCTGGGCTCCCATAGTCTCAGCTGAGCCACCAGTGGCATGCCCAAGTTGACCTTGTCAGGATATAGGATATGAGGCTCTACCTTGGACTTTACTCGGTACTTGACAGACAGGGTGATCTCAAGGTCATTCTGCAGACAAGGCAACAGTAAACATTTATCTGTGTGATTAGCAAAACTGATACCAGAACAGAAAGTGGAATGTGCACACTGGATATACTTTCTAACTACTGTAGAAAGTAGAGTAGCTTTTATACTTTGCTCAAAACGAATGTAAAGCAGAATTCATCAGTTCATGACAATGTCCATTATGTTTTTTTAAATTGGTACTGGGATCAAAAGACATGTATACAAAGTTCTACTTCAATCATAGCACAAGATCCAAATGTTCACAGTAGGACTGTATTGGGCATGTACACAGTGTTGATTATGTTAAAGGCTACTGTGTAGGATGGTGTTGAGGGTTACTGTGTAGGATGGTGTTGAAGGCTACTGTGTAGGATGGTGTTGAAGGCAACTGTGTAGGATGGTGTTGAAGGTTACTGTGTAGGATGGTGTTGAAGGCTACTGTGTAGGATGGTGTTGAAGGCTACTGTGTAGGATGGTGTTGAAGGCTACTGTGTAGGATGGTGTTGAAGGCTACTGTGTAGGATGGTGTTGAAGGCTACTGTGTAGGATGGTGTTGAAGGCTACTGTGTAGGATGGTGTTGAAGGCTACTGTGTAGGATGGTGTTGAAGGCTACTGTGTAGGATGGTGTTGAAGGCTACTGTGTAGGATGGTGTTGAAGGCTACTGTGTAGGATGGTGTTGAGGCTACTGTGTAGGATGGTGTTGAAGGCTACTGTGTAGGATGGTGTTGAAGGCTACTGTGTAGGATGGTGTTGAAGGCTACTGTGTAGGATGGTGTTGAAGGCTACTGTGTAGGATGGTGTTTGAAGGCTACTAGGATGGTGTAGGGATGGGATGGTGTTGAAGGCTACTGTGTAGGATGGTGTTAGAAAAGGCTACTGTGTAGGATGGTGTGAGAAGGCTACTGTGTAGGATGGTGTTGAAGGCAACTGTGTAGGATGGTGTTGAAGGCTACTGTGTAGGATGGTGTTGAAGGCTACTGTGTAGGATGGTGTTGAAGGTTACTGTGTAGGATGGTGTTGCAAGGCTACTGTGTAGGATGGTGTTGAAGGCTACTGTGTAGGATGGTGTTGAAGGCTACTGTGTAGGATGGTGTTGAAGGCTACTGTGTAGGATGGTGTTGAAGGCTACTGTGTAGGATGGTGTTGAAGGCTACTGTGTAGGATGGTGTTGAAGGCTACTGTGTAGGATGGTGTTGAGGGTTACTGTGTAGGATGGTGTTGAAGGCTACTGTGTAGGATGGTGTTGAAGGCTACTGTGTAGGATGGTGTTGAAGGCTACTGTGTAGGATGGTGTTGAAGGCTACTGTGTAGGATGGTGTTGAAGGTTAGAAGGCCACTGTGTAGGATGGTGTTGCAAGGCTACTGTGTAGGATGGTGTTGAGGGTTACTGTGTAGGATGGTGTTGAGGGTTACTGTGTAGGATGGTGTTGAAGGCAACTGTGTAGGATGGTGTTGAAGGCTACTGTGTAGGATGGTGTTGAGGGCTACTGTGTAGGATGGTGTTGAAGGCTACTGTGTAGGATGGTGTTGAAGGCTACTGTGTAGGATGGTGTTGAAGGTTACTGTGTAGGATGGTGTTGAAGGCTACTGTGTAGGATGGTGTTGAAGGCTACTGTGTAGGATGGTGTTGAAGGCTACTGTGTAGGATGGTGTTGAAGGCTACTGTGTAGGATGGTGTTGAAGGCTACTGTGTAGGATGGTGTTCAGGATGGGCTACTGTGTAGGATGGTGTTGAAGGCTACTGTGTAGGATGGTGTTGAAGGCTACTGTGTAGGATGGTGTTGAGAGGCTACTGTGTGTAGGATGGTGTTGAGAGGCTACTGTGTAGGATGGTGTTGAGGCTACTGTGTAGGATGGTGTTGAGGGTTACTGTGTAGGATGGCTACTGTGTAGGATGGTGTTGAAGGCTACTGTGTAGGATGGTGTTGGAGAGGCTACTGTGTAGGATGGTGTTGAAGGCTACTGTGTAGGATGGTGTTGAGAGGCTACTGTGTAGGATGGTGTTGAAGAGGCTACTGTGTAGGATGGTGTTGAAGGAGCTACTGTGTAGGATGGTGTTGAAGGCTACTGTGTAGGATGGTGTTGAAGGCTACTGTGTAGGATGGTGTTGAAGGCTACTGTGTAGGATGGTGTTGAAGGCTACTGTGTAGGATGGTGTTAGAAGGCTACTGTGTAGGATGGTGTTAGAAGGCTACTGTGTAGGATGGTGTTGAAGAGCTACTGTGTAGGATGGTGTTGAAGGCTACTGTGTAGGATGGTGTTGAAGGCTACTGTGTAGGATAGGATGGTGTTCACTGTGTAGGATGGTGTTAGAAGGCTACTGTGTAGGATGGTGTTGAAAGGCTACTGTGTAGGATGGTGTTGAAGGCTACTGTGTAGGATGGTGTTGAGGAGGTTACTGTGTAGGATGGTGTTGCAAGGCTACTGTGTAGGATGGTGTTGAAGGCTACTGTGTAGGATGGTGTTGAAGGCTACTGTGTAGGATGGTGTTGAAGGCAACTGTGTAGGATGGTGTTGAAGGCAACTGTGTAGGATGGTGTTGAAGGTTACTGTGTAGGATGGTACTGTGTAGGATGGTGTTGAAGGCTACTGTGTAGGATGGTGTTGAAAGAGCTACTGTGTAGGATGGTGTTGAAGAGGCTACTGTGTAGGATGGTGTTGAAAGGCTACTGTGTAGGATGGTGTTGAAGGCTACTGTGTAGGATGGTGTTCAATGAAGGCTACTGTGTAGGATGGTGTTGAAGGCTACTGTGTAGGATGGATGGTGTTGAGGGCTACTGTGTAGGATGGTGTTGAAGGCTACTGTGTAGGATGGTGTTAGAAGGCTACTGTGTAGGATGGTGTTGAAGGCTACTGTGTAGGATGGTGTTGAAGGCAACTGTGTAGGATGGTGTTGAGAGGCTACTGTGTAGGATGGTGTTGAAGGCTACTGTGTAGGATGGTGTTGAAAGAGCTACTGTGTAGGATGGTGTTGAAGGCTACTGTGTAGGATGGTGTTGAAAGGCTACTGTGTAGGATGGTGTTGAAGGCTACTGTGTAGGATGGTGTTAGAAGGCTACTGTGTAGGATGGTGTTGAAAGGCTACTGTGTAGGATGGTGTTGAAGGCTACTGTGTAGGATGGTGTTGAAGGCTACTGTAGGATGGTGTTGAAAGGCTACTGTGTAGGATGGTGAAGGCTACTGTGTAGGATGGTGTTGAAAGGCTACTGTGTAGGATGGTGTTGAAGGCTACTGTGTAGGATGGTGTTCAAGAGGCTACTGTGTAGGATGGTGTTGAGAAAGGCTACTGTGTAGGATGGTGTTGAAGGCTACTGTGTAGGATGGTGTTGAAGGCTACTGTGTAGGATGGTGTTCAGAAGGCTACTGTGTAGGATGGTGTTGAAGGCTACTGTGTAGGATGGTGTTGAAGGCTACTGTGTAGGATGGGTTGGTGTTGTAGGAAGGCTACTGTGTAGGATGGTGTTGAAGGCTACTGTGTAGGATGGTGTTGAAGGCTACTGTGTAGGATGGTGTTGAAGGCTACTGTGTAGGATGGTGTTGAAGGCTACTGTGTAGGATGGTGTTGAAGGCTACTGTGTAGGATGGTGTTGAAGGCTACTGTGTAGGATGGTGTTGAAGGCTACTGTGTAGGATGGTGTTCAAAGGCTACTGTGTAGGATGGTGTTGAAAGGCTACTGTGTAGGATGGTGTTGAAAGGCTACTAAAGCTACTGTGTAGGATGGTGTTGAAGGCTACTGTGTAGGATGGTGTTGAAGGCTACTGTGTAGGATGGTGTTCAAGGCTACTGTGTAGGAGGCTACTGTGTAGGATGGTGTTGAAAGGCTACTGTGTAGGATGGTGTTGAAAGGCTACTGTGTAGGATGGTGTTGAAAGGCTACTGTGTAGGATGGTGTTAGGATGGTCGCTAAGGCTACTGTGTAGGATGGTGTTGAAGGCTACTGTGTAGGATGGTGTTGAAAGGCTACTGTGTAGGATGGTGTGTTGAAGGCTACTGTGTAGGATGGTGTTGAAGGCTACTGTGTAGGATGGTGTTGAAGGCTACTGTGTAGGATGGTGTTGAAGGCTACTGTGTAGGATGGTGTTGAAGGCTACTGTGTAGGATGGTGTTGAAGGCTACTGTGTAGGATGGTGTTGAAGGCTACTGTGTAGGATGGTGTTGAAGGCTACTGTGTAGGATGGTGTTGAAGGCTACTGTGTAGGATGGTGTTGAAGGCTACTGTGTAGGATGGTGTTGAAGGCTACTGTGTAGGATGGTGTTGAAGGCAACTGTGTAGGATGGTGTTCAAGGCTACTGTGTAGGATGGTGTTGAAGGCTACTGTGTAGGATGGTGTTGAAGGCTACTGTGTAGGATGGTGTTGAAGGCTACTGTGTAGGATGGTGTTGAAGGCTACTGTGTAGGATGGTGTTGGAGGCTACTGTGTAGGATGGTGTTGAAGGCTACTGTGTAGGATGGTGTTGAAGGCTACTGTGTAGGATGGTGTTGAAGGCTACTGTGTAGGATGGTGTTGAAGGCTACTGTGTAGGATGGTGTTGCAAGGCTACTGTGTAGGATGGTGTTGAAAGGCTACTGTGTAGGATGGTGTTGTTAGAAGGCTACTGTGTAGGATGGTGTTGAAGGCTACTGTGTAGGATGGTGTTGAAGAGCTACTGTGTGTAGGATGGTGTTCAAGGCTACTGTGTAGGATGGTGTTGAAGGCTACTGTGTAGGATGGTGTTGAAGGCTACTGTGTAGGATGGTGTTGCAAGGCTACTGTGTAGGATGGTGTTGAAGGCTACTGTGTAGGATGGTGTGCAAGGCTACTGTGTAGGATGGTGTTGAAGGCTACTGTGTAGGATGGTGTTGAAGGCTACTGTGTAGGATGGTGTTGCAAAGGCTACTGTGTAGGATGGTGTTGAAAGAGCTACTGTGTAGGATGGTGTTGAAGGCTACTGTGTAGGATGGTGTTGAAGGCTACTGTGTAGGATGGTGTTGAAGGCTACTGTGTAGGATGGTGTTGAAGGCTACTGTGTAGGATGGTGTTGAAGGCTACTGTGTAGGATGGTGTTGAAGGCTACTGTGTAGGATGGTGTTGAAGGCAACTGTGTAGGATGGTGTTGAAGGCTACTGTGTAGGATGGTGTTGAAGGCTACTGTGTAGGATGGTGTTGAAGGCTACTGTGTAGGATGGTGTTGAAGGTTACTGTGTAGGATGGTGTTAGAGGGTTACTGTGTAGGATGGTGTTGAAGGTTACTGTGTAGGATGGTGTTGAAGGCTACTGTGTAGGATGGTGTTGAAGGCTACTGTGTAGGATGGTGTTGAAGGCTACTGTGTAGGATGGTGTTGAAGACAACTGTGTAGGATGGTGTTGAAGGTTACTGTGTAGGATGGTGTTGAGGGTTACTGTGTAGGATGGTGTTGAGGGTTACTGTGTAGGGTGGTGTTGAAGGCAACTGTGTAGGATGGTGTTGAAGACAACTGTGTAGGATGGTGTTGAGGGGCTACTGTGTAGGATGGTGTTGAGAGGTTACTGTGTAGGGGTGGTGTTGAAGGCTACTGTGTAGGATGGTGTTCAAGGCTACTGTGTAGGATGGTGTTGAAGGCTACTGTGTAGGATGGTGTTGAGGGTTACTGTGTAGGATGGTGTTGAAGGCTACTGTGTAGGATGGTGTTCAAGGCTACTGTGTAGGATGGTGTTGAGAAGGCTACTGTGTAGGATGGTGTTGAAGAAGGCTACTGTGTAGGATGGTGTTGAAGGCTGGTGTGTAGGATGATGGTGTTCAAAGGCTACTGTGTAGGATGGTGTTGAAGGCTACTGTGTAGGATGGTGTTGAAGGCTACTGTGTAGGATGGTGTTGAAGGCTACTGTGTAGGATGGTGTTCAATGCCACTGTGTAGGATGGTGTTGAAGGCTACTGTGTAGGATGGTGTTGAAGGCTACTGTGTATGGTGTAGGATGGTGATTGTGTTAGAAGGCTACTGTGTAGGATGGTGTTGAGGGTTACTGTGTAGGATGGTGTTGAAGGCTACTGTGTAGGATGGTGTTGAAGGCTACTGTGTAGGATGGTGTTCAAGGCTACTGTGTAGGATGGTGTTCAAGGCTACTGTGTAGGATGGTGTTCAAGGCTACTGTGTAGGATGGTGTTGAAGGCTACTGTGTAGGATGGTGTTCAAGGCTACTGTGTAGGATGGTGTTGAAGGCTACTGTGTAGGATGGTGTTCAAGGCTACTGTGTACTGTGTAGGATGGTGTTGGAGGCTACTGTGTAGGATGGTGTTGAAGGCAACTGTGTAGGATGGTGTTGAAGGCTACTGTGTAGGATGGTGTTGAGGGTTACTGTGTAGGATGGTGTTGAAGGTAACTGTGTAGGATGGTGTTGAAGGCTACTGTGTAGGATGGTGTTGAAGGCTACTGTGTAGGATGGTGTTGAAGGCAACTGTGTAGGATGGTGTTGAAGGCTACTGTGTAGGATGGTGTTGAGGGTTACTGTGTAGGATGGTGTTGAAGGCTACTGTGTAGGATGGTGTTCAAGGCTACTGTGTAGGATGGTGTTCAAGGCTACTGTGTAGGATGGTGTTCAAGGCTACTGTGTAGGATGGTGTTCAAGGCTACTGTGTAGGATGGTGTTCAAGGCCACTGTGTAGGGTGGTGTTCAAGGCCACTGTGTAGGATGGTGTTTAGTGATACTGCGTAGGATGGCGTTGAAGGCAACTGTGTGTGATGGTGTTCAAGGCTACTGTGTAGGATGGTGTTCGAGGCTACTGATGTCACAAGAGAGGGACTGTGATCGTACCTTCAGTTTCTGTATGTCCTGGATTGAGTTGCGCGTCTTCCCCTCAGTCACAATGGTGGGCTGGTCCGCCACTGATACAGTCTGACAAAACAATACACCCAACTATCTCAAACTTTCACTCCAGGAAGAGTTACTAATGAATCAAACTAACATAACAGTCTAAACATGCAATGATAGTTTCTGTTTCCAGCTGCCACATGGTAGTTTTTGCTAAACACCAAGTAGACAAGTTGTGTCTGCAGACAAGAGGTCTACTGAGATGGAGCTACATGATTTGTGTCTGCAGACAAGAGATCTACTAAGATGGAACCATATGATTTGTGTCTGCAGACAAGAGATCTACTAAGATGGAGCTACATGATCTTGTCTCATGGTCATGTTGCCCAAGAGTTAAAATGGTGACTTAATGTATGGTTGTACAGGCATTCCACTTAAACAAAGTATTGTTTATCACCTTATCACCAGATTGTCTTGCCTCACTTACATACTGGCCGTTGTTGGAATATAACAAACAAAGAACACACTTACTGTTGGGATCCGAGCGATCCAAGCGATACATTCCTCAGTCTGGCCCTTGTCTTTGACGGTGACGAACACATGGAGTACGTTGGAGAAGATGGACTGAAACTCCAGCTCCAGGACAATCCCCAGGTCCTTGCAGGCCAGGATGGTGACAGAGGCTGGCACTTCTGTATCACAACACATGACATTACACAATGAACATGACATCAAGGTGTAAGTGGAGCATGGAAACATGAATACCAGTAGGTAAGTATTTATCATAGATAAGGATTATTTCTTATCAATTTCCTCTCAACCTGCTGAAATATCAATATCATTACATGTATTTTTCATTCCTTTAAAACAGCAGGTTAACATAACCACAAGATTTGGAGGAAATAAACACTTCCACAACTCTACCATGCACCTCCTCTCCATCAGACCTTATCTTACCTCACACATAAATGTCTTTTTCTGACTGGCTGAGCGCTGTTCTATTATTTTCAGTGTACCCTGCTTACAAACGAGTAACAGTTTCTATGCTACCCACTGAGAATGCTGAACTATGGGAATTTATTTGGTACTTTGTTTCTTTATCTCACATAATTGAGTCACGGACAATGTACGGAAATTACTGTTGTTTTGAATGCAAATTGATGCAGGGGTGGAAATAACTTCAAAATTGCTAGTGTACTCCGGTACAGTGGCACATGTAAAATCACTTGCCCTGATCATTTTTCCACTATACTGGCCGTTTTCTTATTGATTTTTTAAATAAACAGCATTATTATCACTGGAAGGTCAACTGGACACCGGTACAGCGTGATATACAAATTTGCTTGCCTGACAGAAAAAAGCACTGGACTCGGACGTCGGGCAATGGGTTATTTCCACCTCTGTGATGGATGGGAGATAACTTTAAATTTGTTTCTCTTGTGGACTGCTAGATTCTATGTCATCTCTGGGAACATAAAGATCATAGAGGGTACATCATGTACCCCTCCTGACCAGTGAACAACTTATATTGTGTTCATTGAAGATTCTTATCTGTCACAGATCTCAGTCATCCACTGACTGTCGCACAACTTACTGTGAGCATGTTCCCAGGCAATCTGGCGCCTGTTAAAGGCCTCAGTCCAGCCATTGCGATACGCAATTTGGTCAGTGAAAGAGCGTCCGGGCTGGAGGATGTTTGTGATTACTTCAGGAATCTGTTTTCCTTTAACTAGCTCTTCCTTCCCTATATCTGTCAATGTATTACATGAACATTAGTGAGTGAGTTGGTGATCTTGGTTAAATAATGTTTCAAATAGTATTCATAGTCACGATATGGCTGAAATATTGCCAATGTGACTTAAAATCTTAACTCACTCACTCATTCAAATAGTATTCCAGTAAAGGGTTAGGCCCACACAAACCAAGAATCATAAAAAGGGCAAACATACAATTCATGACTCATAATTATGGACATGGCGTCCTCACACTACTGCAAAGAATGACTGCCATTTAGACTAGGTTATAATAAGGATCAACACTGAAATTACTGAAAGGATTATACACATTAACCATGCATTCAAGGAATCATTCTTAACACATGAATGAATGAATGAATGAATGAATGAATGCAACAGTTGACTCCCTATGAAGGAATGAATTAATTAAACAGTATACAGAGCACAGGTTAACAGTGAATGAATGAATGAACGAATGAATGAATGAACTAAACAGTATACAGAGCACAGGTTAACAGTGAATGAATGAATGAATGAACGAATGAATGAATGAACTAAACAGTATACAGAGCACAGGTTAACAGTGAATGAATGAATGAATGAACGAATGAATGAATGAACTAAACAGTATACAGAGCACAGGTTAACACTGAATGAATGAATGAATGAATGAACAGTATACAACTAAATGTCTCAAGCACAGGTTAACAGTGAATGAATGAATGAACGAATGAATGAATGAACTAAACAGTAAACAGAGCACAGGTTAACAGTGAATGAATGAATGAATGGATAACTAAACAGTATACAGAGCACAGGTTAACACTGAATGAATGAATGCAAATGAATGCATGTCGAGCACAGGTTAACAGTATGAATGAACTAAACAGTATACAGAGCACAGGTTAACAGTGAATGAATGAATGAATGAATGAATGAATGAATTAAACAGTATACAGAGCACAGGTTAACAGTGAATGAATGAATGAATGAATGAATGAATGAATGAATGAATGAAACAGTATACAGAGCACAGGTTAACAGTGAATGAATGAATGAATGAATGAATGAATTAAACAGTATACAGAGCACAGGTTAACAGTGAATGAATGAATGAATTAAACAGTATACAGAGCACAGGTTAACAGTGAATGAATGAATGAATGAATGAATGAATGCAACAGTGTACAGACCATGTCTCATGCAGGAGAAGACATCTTCTATCTTCATAGGCTGACTGAGGTACTTCTGCAGGTGTTTTACCAAGATGCCCGACTCTCCGATCTCATATGCTGCCATGCCAGCACATCTGATGACAGACAAGGTGCAACAGGATACTTGTAAGGTCTAGTACTGATATTTAAAGAATACGTAAGCAGAACATATTTGGGGCTATCAAAAGTTTTGAGCCTGGTATGTATAGAACTAAAACTAGTGTTGTGAGCTTTTATAATGAATATTATAGTCCTTTTGCTGCAAAATTGTACCGATGAAATGACACCTAAATATACAATCGAAAGCAACAAATTGTCTTAAATAGCATGAAAGTAAGTCACTTGTCCATACCAAATTGTCACTATAATTTTAGACATTGGCATGAAGAAGAGGAAAAGTTGTTGAAACATGATCATGTAAATATTGGTGTTTTATGACCGTTGAAACAATTTCATTACAGACAAACTGACTAAAGACCTTTTGTAAGAATGTGTTAAAGTTTTTCATATACCAGTTATATGTTAAGCTTGTCACCCTGAATTGCACTGTCCCTTTCTCAAAATGCTGTGTCCTTTTTAACCTATGTACAGTCCAGGTGACAGATAATGATGCCATTTGCATCAATGCAAATATTCTGTTTCTGCATAAGGATGATGAACCATAAAGCATCATTGGTTAACATTGATGAATGGACCATACAATACCATTGTTCTCAATCACTTACGTTGCATAACAAATGCAGGAGTTTCCCTCAGAGTTTGCCCTTGGAGCAACAGAAACAGTTTCTTCCACTGGTGGCCCATTCTTGTTTCTGGAAATGTTACAAATGAATCAGCTATGGAGGATCATACAGACCACCTCCTGGACTGCTGATACCTCTATGGTGGCACGGCATGAACAGATGACATGGGTGAACACATCTGATCATTACAAACATTAGATGACCTTGTCAACCATGACACCTTCCTCTACACAGATATTTCATCACATTCATGTGTAATAATGACTCCCGGGATGACAAACACAGTAAATTGTCATGGAAAAAGAAAGCAACCTTTTGTTGACGCACAGTATGTTGATACAGTATGTATATGATTCATGTAATAATTGACACCTGACAATTCAAAGAGTTACCATTTGAAGTAATACCATTACTGACTGTTTGTCATTAACCTAATATTTAGTCATATTACACATCAACTGGCTGATATTTTGATGTGTTACAATGGATTATGTGACATGCTTTCCTAACACTCATCAAACTTGATATGGGAAGTGTTATCCATTTCTGATTTGGAATTGAGAAAAAATCAAAAGTATCATGAAAAGTTGGAAGGATTTCCAATCCAATGTGGAAATGTTTTTAACTAATCAGCTAGCAGTACTGTTATAAATTGTAATTCAAATCCGATTCCGCATTGCAATACCATTTTTTGTAAAAAGTCAGATTATACACTGACCCGGCCTGGACATGTGCTTGCAGTGGAATACAGCATGGAAAGCATAGCTGTTGTTGAGTTGTATATTGAAATAAGCAAACAATTCAACAAGTACACATTCATTAAGTAAAGGTTATACTTTTTCCTGCAGATGTCGAGGATCATGGTGCAGATCTTAGGCTTCTTCCGCTGCAACGAGTCCAACACAGAATTTGCACTGAGACAATCTGTTTCCTTGAAATCGGTCTGGGCATCCTCCGGCACAAAGTAGCAGTGACCTTTCTCCTCAAAGCCATGGCCACAGAAATAAAACACACTGTACACCCCATCACCCAGAAGTTCACAGAATGCATCAACGGCTGCCTTCATCTCATTCAAGGTCAAGTTCAACAAGGACACGACCTTGAAGTCAAGTCTCCGGAAGATATCTGACAAGATCTGAATGTCTGTTTTGGGTGCTTTGAGACTTATTTCACATCTGTAGTTGTAGTTTCCGATGAGAAGAGCTACCTTGTCTGTGGCTGAAACATGAGAGGGTAATGTTCTTGTCTCATGAAAGTGTACAGCCAGACTTCTTAAAGCACGTCAAAAAATGCTACCAAGGATTCAGAGAATAAGTCACTTTTATTTTTATGTTACTGTATATTTTTTAATTGGCCATATGGACAGAAAATATGCTTGGCTAAACCACATACAGAGATTACAAAGATAATGATACGGTGAGGTGAGGTTGAGTAAAGTGTTGGAGGGAGGTGAGATGCTTGGTGTGTGTGAAAGATGAACATATTGATGGCACTGACCTGAATATCCTCCGACCGTGTGTGGCATCGGGGAGTTGATCTGGATTCGGAGGAAGACTGTGTTGGAGGGAGGTGAGATGCTAGGTGTGTGTGAAAGATGAACATATTGATGGCACTGACCTGAATATCCTCCGACCGTGTGTGGCATCGGGGAGGTGATCTGGATTCGGAGGAAGACTGTGTTGGAGGGAGGTGAGATGCTAGGTGTGTGTGAAAGATGAACATATTGATGGCACTGACCTGAATATCCTCCGACTGTGTGTGGCATCGGGGAGTTGATCTGGATTCGGAGGAAGACTGTGTTGGAGAGGTGAGATGCTAGGTGTGTGTGATAGATGAACATATTGATGGCACTGACCTGAATATCTTCCGACCGTGTGTGGCATCGGGAAGTTGATCTGGACTCGGAGGAAGACTGTGTTGGAGATAGGTGAGATGCTAGGTGTGTGTGATAGATGAACATATTGATTTCACTTACCTGAATATCCTCCGACCGTGTGTGGCATCGGGGAGGTGATCTGGATTCGGAGGAAGACTGTGTTGGAGCAGGCGCGGCCCCATCTGTTGGACACCTGGCAATGGAGGACCGCTTCCCGCTGCACTTGGGGCAGAGCCAGCTGTGATAATGTCGCCCCTAGAAACAAACAATTTCATCCATAGCAATATGTTCTTGCAAAGATTGAATTTTATATTAGTGAGAGCGACTGTTGAAAATGAAGAATTCTTACAAATAGTGTAACTGGCATACCAGTAATTGTGTTTAGAGACCTACTTTTGATTCACAGGATTAGGGGGTCAATATTTAAATGGCATTCTGGACTCAACAGTGTCGTAGATGCGTTGCAAATAAACATATAATATAACGTTGCACATAAATATTCCATTTTTTACTTCACTTCAAAATCTCACCCATTATTCTGCCTTTCTAGAGTGAATTCAGTCATGTGCAAGTTTCAAGTAACATTTGGGATACAGGTGTCAGCCAAAGTTCAAAAAGTCGAATGTTTTCTGGATTCTTGGAAAGAGGTACTGCTATTGTCTTTAGCTATAAATTGTCCATGATCACTGATATCATTATTTATGAATGCTGATGCATTTTACAGCACTTAAAGATATACAAGGTGAATGTCATAGGACTGCCAACAAATTGAATTGAACATTTTCAGCTACTAATTTCAGATATGGCATTCCTAACCATTAGACCCAGAAGAGGGTGTTTAAAATGGAGACAAGCTTGTTACCTGGGATTGGGAAGCCATCTTGAAACCACTGATACTGTAAAGGTTGTTGTCCACAACCCTCACAGACAAACATGGCGGGGCTTCCAAGGGGAACCTGGCAGCTGACCGGCTGCTGGATGATCTGGGGCAGGGATCCGGCATGTGGCTGTGGTTCTGGGTAACACAGGCGTACATTAACATACAATAATATACAACTGTAAAGTTATCTTTCGGGCCACAGTTTCTAGTGGCCTACCAATTGTGTAATTGTGAAGTTATCTCCCTTTGCATTCCACACGCTAAACCCTCTGGTTTCATTCATTCATTTTGTTAGTATATTTGGGTTCTGTACATTCTATGATATGATGTACATAGATTCTACTTAACAAAAATGTACCAATAACTATGTGACAAGGTTAGGTATCATCACTAGTTCATGATTTGCCACCATTATCACCCAGAGTATTGACACAGACTTTCATTTGCCACCATTATCACCCAGAGTATTGACACAGGCTTACCATTTGCCACCATTATCACCCAGAGTATTGACACAGGCTTACCATTTGCCACCATTATCACCCAGAGTATTGACACAGGCTTACCATTTGCCACCATTATCACCCAGAGTATTGACACAGGCTTACCATTTGCCACCATTATCACCCAGAGTATTGACACAGGCTTACCATTTGCCACCATTATCACCCAGAATATTGACACAGGCTTACCATTTGCCACCATTATCACCCAGAGTATTGACACAGGCTTACCATTTGCCACCATTATCACCCAGAGTATTGACACAGGCTTACCATTTGCCACCCACCATTATCACAGGCTTACCAGAGTATTGACACAGGCTTACCATTTGCCACCATTATCACCCAGGTATTGACACAGGCTTACCATTTGCCACCATTATCATTGTATTGACAGGCTTACCATTTGCCACCATTATCACCCCAGCCACCATTATCACCCAGAGTATTGACACAGGCTTACCATTTGCCACCATTATCACCCAGAGTATTGACACAGGCTTACCATTTGCCACCATTATCACCCAGAGTATTGACACAGGCTTACCATTTGCCACCATTATCACCCAGAGTATTGACACAGGCTTACCATTTGCCACCATTGTCACCCAGAGAATTGACACAGGCTTACCTTTTTCCACCATTATCACCTAGAGTACTGACACAGGCTTACCATTTGCCACCATTATCACCCAGAGTATTGACACAGGCTTACCATTTGCCACCATTATCACCCAGAGTATTGACACAGGCTTACCATTTGCCACCATTATCACCCAGAGTATTGACACAGGCTTACCATTTGCCACCATTGTCACCCAGAGAATTGACACAGGCTTACCTTTTTCCACCATTATCACCTAGAGTACTGACACAGGCTTACCATTTGCCACCATTATCACCCAGAGTATTGACACAGGCTTACCATTTGCCACCATTATCACCCAGAGTATTGACACAGGCTTACCATTTGCCACCATTATCACCGCTGGGATACTGACTGCTTGGCCGAAGTCATTTATCACGGTGCATGTGTATCTCCCACTGTCATGAGGGGTAGCATTATCAACCTGTAACAGATAAACAATATTCTATCATTATCTGAAACAAAAGGAAACACTGCTAACTGTTTACCTACAAACGGCTGATGAAGGTGCACGTAGTTGGAACAGATAATAATACTTCAGAAACTAGTTATATTTATCAGCAAGATTAGACCCCAATGTGTACTGACCCCAAAATATCTGGAAGCTGGTATTTGTGTAAGAGACATTTTGTTTGAGTGCTTTGAAAAGGTACAGTTTTCTTTCACACAACACATCTCTTTTAGGACATTCTGCATGCCAAGCAAATATTTGTGATGGCAAATTCTTTCATTTTCCCCTGCATAATTTCTTGATTTTATTCATCACTTTTTCCATATCCAAGACACAGCCTCTATATGGTCAGTGGTTGGCCCCTTACCTGGAAGTAGGGGATATGAGATTCCTTGTAGAACTTGTCTTCATTAAACCACCTGTAGCGCATTGGTTGTCTCCCCTTGGCTTCACACAGCAGAATAAAGGAATGGCCATTGAAAACATAGCTGTTCCTTGGGTGGCCTGTTATCACCGGAAGAAAACACTCCTCCTCCTCTGAAGTAAACATTAATGATTCCAATTATTACAGTACAATTGTTTGTGGTCGTGCAACAGTAAACACAACAGTTTGTATAATAGTCCCTGAAACATATTTATTTCCCCTCCACCCATCCATTACTCTGTTGTTACAGCCCTAAATGGCTCCAGTCCACAAGTTCTGAAACGTGTTTCTGTAAAAATTATACATTTTCAGGGTCTACGTATTAGTCTCTTTACACAATGTACAATGTACTTCGAGCAAATCTGCAAACAATGTGATGACAATAACCCAAGACTCAGATTACCACACACCTGTTTTGAATACAATGAAACAAAGTAAAATTATTTTATCATTTTGAAATGATTTATAGTCTTTGGAATTAATAAACTTTCAAGATTATGGATACTTCTCTAGTACAGAAATCTTAATATTTTTATATATGAGACAACACAACATAACATATGTTATATTTGGGATTACATTTTCTCAATAAAGTACCGATTCTAGTACTTTTGTTGTGTCCTCCGTGACACACACATAAAACCTTGCTCTGCCAAACTTGAGGAATTCAACAAAGAGCACTCCCAACAGTGTTATCACTTCTAATAAAACATTATTTTGGATAAAGATACATATCCACAAATCATACAGATGATGGATGTAGGAAACACAATGAAGCTACACTTTTTACACACAGTATCTGAGTGTGGAACCTTGAAGCAGTGATGTTTGATAACAAATTAAAGCCTCATGGGATTTGGGTATGCAAAGGATTTCTGTACAATCAATAAACAGAGTCTTATTACAAATCAACAATTCACCTAAATCCCGATGCTTTTATTTTTATTTTTTTTTAAATTAACTTTTAAAACATGGTTGAATCTGCACCATGGCGTTGGGATTCACAGGCACCACAACGCTAACAGGACAATGTTTAAGTGTGGGAGATGTGATCATCTTAGTGCTAAGACTGCTAGTGCATTGTGGGTCCAACATAACCTGGCCCCGATTTCTCGAAGCAAACTTAAGTTTTTACTCAAACTTTAAACTGAGTTTGACAAATTGAAACAGCTGAATTTTTAATTCAACTGTATTTGTAAAATAGAAACCCCATACAAACTTAAGTAATCTATCCACCAAACTCAAATTGTCTTCTATGTTTTAGTTTAATATCGATTTCAGTTCATTCTGGGAAATGCGTTTTCCTGTGTTGCTCAAATTTGAGTAAAAACTTTAACTTAAGTCAAAACTCAGACTTAAGTTTGTTTCGAGAAATCGGGGCCAGGGCTCGATTTAGTGCTTTGTTACTTGCACTGGTGCAACCCAATATTACAAAGTGCAGCCTAGCTATTAGCCTAACTTGCACCAGGTGCAAGTCTAGTTTCGAGAAATAAATCAACAATATATCTAACAATATAAGCATAAATATGTCAGCTCATATTTCTTCTAAACTTTGAATAGCTATGGCACCAAAACATTGCTATTTATAGACACCTCTTGGCTATGACAGCTCCAGTAAACAGGAACCAGCTGTGTCTCTGTGTTGCTATGGTTTCATGGGTACAACATCAAGGAAATATGTTTATGTGCACCAAAACCTCTGACGTTTGCAGCTGGAATTTGCCTGGTGAAACTAGGTTTATATCTTAGGCTGCACCTGGTGCAAGTAGGTTAACATCTCTTAAATCTACATCAGTGAGTCAACAAGTGTTTATGGAAGGACTGATTCGCTGTGAGGTTCAAGTCACTTGCCTGCCGGGTACACTGCTGGCGGATGGCCTATCTCCATGGGAATGTCTGCTTTTTCCAGCACTGAACGCAAAACAACATAAATCATTGGACGCAATGTCATTTGGAATAAAAGAAGCAATTTTTGTTATTGTTGCATTTTCAGTGTTCTCTGTGGGGATGTTACCCAAGCTTCCACTCCGGGACAGGGTGTGTACCAAATGGCTGAATAACAGTAGTGGGTGGACTGGTCCCTGACATATATTCATCAACATCCTTCCGACTAACATATACAGTGGCCATTTGTAACATGTTTTATTTGGGATTACACTTTCTCAGTAAAGTACAGATTCTAGTACTTTTGTCAAGAACCTAATCGGCAGCACAAAGTCATCCATCTAACCCACTCAACCACCACAGCTTCCATAAAAATGGACAACTGGTAGTTTAAACCATGGACTTTGTGTACCCATCTGATAAGTATAAATTGACACAGCTCCCGCAGCTGAAAGCTATGAATACACAATGCCACTGTGTATTCACACTGGCCATTTGATCCTACCGTTCCTTCCCTTCATCCCTTACAACAAGGGGCGGTGGGGTAGTCCAGTGATTAAAGCGTTTGCTCATAATGCCGAAGACCCGGGTTCGATTCTCCACATGGGTACAATGTGTGAAGCCCATTTCTGGTGTCCCCGCCATGATATTGCTGGAATATTGCTAAAAGTGGCGTAATGCCCAACTCACTCACTCAGTCTCTTACAACTAGAGAGTTGTACGAGGGAAGCATCAGTTCCCTGGATACATATGTAGCCATTCCCTATAGGAAATGCACAAACCTAGACTCTTGGGATATACTCTGATGCTGCCATAATCAGAAAATTTGACTTGATTGTTGTCTGCACTGTTGTGAAGGCGGCAAATATAGTCCCCACTGTCCTTCTCTCTGTGGACAAACACAACACCTGAATCAGCACAACACACCCTGGCATGATGAGGGTTATAACATAATGGTTGATTTGGAGAGAAGAATGCTGGTGTCTGGTGTTCCAGGGAAATACTCCTCCTGACTGGAAACATCTCCTGATTGGTCCAACTGCTACAAATGTCACATCACAGTCATATGGTTGCAACTGTATTTTCAGATTCGTGGTTTATATATTCTGGTATTTACAAAATATAACCCAGGTACTTTGTTGCGCCCAGGAATGTAAAATGTCTGGAGGGTACTATGTGCATCGCTAACAGGTGGAGGAATTGACAGTTTAGTTGAGTAGGGATGGGAAAACCAAATATATGACACAGGAAATAAGTGAAGCACCATCAGCTGTCATGATCCACCGTATTCAACTAAAACCCTGTTACTTGAAGTAATAGAAGTGAAACTACAACCGGAATTAAACCCTCCAAACAGCCCTACTGTACTGTCTCAATGCCAAAATGATTCTCAAGCAACTGGGAATGTAAATATTTTCTATCTCTACTTAAGCAAAAACTTCGTGATAATCTTCAACAACAATGGCTAAGTGAGTTAACAAAGTCTTCCAAGTGCAATTATTATTAAGAATTTACATCATTGTTTAATGTTGGAATCTTTCTCACCTATAATATTCTCTCTCTAAGATCGCTTTGTAATGTCTCCCTAAACGTCCATGCTATAGACTGGATCTAGGTTGAAACTGTATTATTTGTTTCCAATAAAAGCTTACTTGACATTGTTGATTGTTAACATGCTCTCCGTTGCCCTGTCGATTCTAGTGTCTCCTTTAAACCACTGGTACCGGGGATATGGAAAGCCTGTAGCTCTCACAAACACCACCAGCTTTTCACCGGCATACAGCTTCTGCAGGCTCTCCGGCTGCTCCTGGATCTCTATGGGCTCTGTCAAAAATACAACTTGTACATGAGGGCAGAACCAGTACTTTAAACATTGTTCCATTCAAGGTATATTATTCCACCGGCAGAATTTATTAACACATACAGCGCCAGACGTCTACATGTTTAAGGAGTCAAGGCCAGACACTCAACAGGGAGTTACCTTGAGTCCTGTATTTGAGGGTCCCTGGAACTCATGCTCTTAATTTTTAGGGGTCCTGGACAACAAAATGGGGGTCCTATACACTAAAATATTATTATTAATACTGTTATTGGATTGTGTATCATGATCATCACATTGTTACAGTAATTAAATTGCAAATAATACCATAACCCAGCTAGTAGCAAACTCTGTGATAAATGATTGTTACTTGATTGGAATTTGCGTCCATTGTCAATTTTTATGCGTACAGGACGCAGGAATTCGTGTCCTGTATATCCCTGACTCACGATGCCCAGTAAACCATGATAATGCAGACTGTGCCCTGTATACCATAACCATATACCTTAACTGTAACCATCCATCTACACTGGGCAAATCTTCAGCTTTGAGGTATATAGATAAGCATTGTATTAGTGGAGTGACCAGATAAAGATAAACGACAAACCATAGTTTTTGAACTCCCTGAGAATTTTCTCAAGTTTGAGCTGATCCAGATAGTGCACAAGCTCCTTCACTGTCATTCCACGACCTCCTAGAGATAATAACAACTGGTTGGCTGGACTTCCGTTGCTGTAGATCTGCATGGCAAATCTCTCAATCTCCTGCTGCCTGAAAATCAGTAACACAGGAAAGTCACTTCTATATTCTATTTGTTGAGTGAGTGAGTATGGGTTTACACTGCTTTCAGCAATATTCCATCAATATTCCATCAATATTCCACAGGGTGACACCTCCTAGCAACTCCTTAAAGAGAAAACAAGTTACATGTTAGGTTGCATGTTAGCTTCCCCTTTTGCTGAGAACTGTTTCGTAATTGTGAGGTCAGCTGACAACTGAAACCATGGTAACACATAATCACATTAACCAATAGAGAGACAAATGGAAGTGTGTACCAGAGTATTATTCATCTGAGATTAACCAAACTAGGCACATTGTAAATTATTTCATAATTGATATCAAATCAAAGAAATACCCTTATTTACATTAGGCTCATGGTTGCACCGCTATGTGTGTTCATAGCTTCACACTGCACCCAATGATATTCCTGCTATACGACATAGATCGCAGACAGGATACATTGACACGCCATCAAAAAAGTCACCAAATCTGATAACCTGACCCATTTAGGGCCTCTTATTACCAGCATATCACACATAACGAACATTGCTTCTTACATTGTTTTCCACTTTCACTCCATCCTCGATAATCCCCAGGGTGCACGTTCCTATAAATCTCCACTATACCCTGGATGCATCTACGGCTCTGCCCTATGATTTTATTACCTCCCTTGGCTGTTTTTTTTTATCCAATTAGGTGTCTACGCTGGGAAGTTGAGCGTACAAATCACAACTCACTTTTGCTTGTTTTATCTAACTGATTAAACTTGGCAACATAATTGCAGCAGAGGTACTCTGAAAGAGGTAGAAAGAGTTCTTGCATATATTTTTTAAGGTTTCAGACCTGTCAATTTGTCTGTATGATTTCCCCCCATATCCGAGTCGCACTGCGAACAAACCTTCACGGGTGTGACCACTATCTTTGTTGACACTGGCAAGCTCGGTTGTAACGGCAGCTTAGCTGATTGGCTACTGTGAGAATGTGGAGCCAGCAAAGGGAGGTAATAAAATTATCGGGCCGAGCCATATATGCATCCAGGGTACTAGTGGAGATTTATCCTGGATACCCTGGAGATTATCGAGGATGCTTTCACTCAGGATTGGCTGAATTCACATGGAACACTCTCAAAGTCCCACCTATGCTGTCATGCTGTCACTGACCAAGTCATACAGGTTTAAGGATATCCTGTTCTATTATTAACTGTCTGACTAACACAGATGGGTATATATAGGTCAAGTACGCTGTGTTTGCCTAATCGTGCTAAGTTTCACTGGGAGTGTGAACCAAGCCTTCATCGGGACTACTGATTTGATACAAACGTTTTATCTGCATCCCTCACCGTTTTCTTTATGCATGTAACCGCCTCCGTGGTGTAGTAGTTAGAGCGTCCGCCCGGAGAGTGGAAGGTCGCGGGTTCGATCCCTGACCGCGTCATACCAAAAGACGTGAAAATATGGTACTTGTTGGTCCCTGCCTGGTGCTCGGCATTAATGGGTACAACAAGGACTGGTCGGCTCGGAGTCAGTATAATGTGTCCGAGTGGGGTATTCATGCTTCACTGCGATATGGTATCTCAGTGGGCTAGCACTGTAAAACCAGCTTCAGTCTGGGCTAGTACAAGCAGCCGCACATACACATACACACGCATGCACGTCGTCATATGAGCGAAATATTCTCAAGCACGACGATAAACCCAATTTCACCTCACCTCACCTTCTTTATGCATGTCTGAACTGAGATGCTGTCATCAGAAATACTGGTCTAAACCGATGTTAAGTAATGCAAGCACTCACTTCTTCAAACAAGCTTGTTTCAGTTCCTGCTGTCTGAAGTAAAATCTGTACTTCTCTGACTTACTTGAACACATAAGGCTCTCTGAGTATTGCTGACAAGGCTCTCCAGTTCTGTGATTCAGGGGCGGTGTCTAGGTCATCTCGAAGCTGCAGCATCACCCGCCCACTGAGTCTGCCGATATTGTCGTTAGACGGGACACGAAGTGTCATCTTGTACCTGTAACAGGTATTTTGCAATTCAAACTTCGCAAAAGGATAGCAATACGATATACTGTGGTACACTTTTCGCAAACAGGTTCACCGATACGATCAGCAATTTCTGTGATCACCATCGGTAATTTTCGTGATGTAGTAAAAAATACTAAGAACATTTCGATTTCCTTTATATCATTATACATTAATAGTTTTGAGAATGTTTAGATTGGTACCAGCACTCATTGTATTGATAAACAAACCAAACTGGCGAACGCCGCTGCAGACGCTTTCTCTTGATTTCCAATCTTCAGAGCGAAGTCTTCAATTTGGAAACATTTTCAATTGATCTCTTGTATAAACACATCTGAGTCCTGACAGTGGCCAGTGGCATTGTTTCAAAAGAAAGCAAACAGTAATTTCATTACCTTAACCATGAGTTATACTTTCACAATATATTGCAATACATATTGCAATACGTCAACACATATCACGATATATCGCAATACGAAAATGTTGATAATACCTAACCCTACTATCTTAACAATCTTACTCTTATAAGCAGTTGCAGACATAGCATGTATACATGATGATCCTCCATTAGACCCGCCATAATATTTCTGTGTTTCCCCCGCACGACCTGAATTTTCATTATGAAATTATGAAATAATCATGGTAAGTTTTCTTATCTCAGTTTTCCCCTCTAATGAAGAAAATGTTGCCTTGATGAAAAAAATACTCTTACTCTTGAACACACATAATTTTTTTGTAAAAACTTGTTTACGAATGCACATCATAAATCAATGTACATACTTTTACCATGAGATAAAAATTGTAAAACTTGATAATCTGAATTTGGAACGTAACATATGTTATATTTGGGATTACACTTTCTTAGTAAAGTACAAATTCTAGTACTTTTTTGAGTTGATCCCCATCCGGGATTCGAACTCACACCCTCAGAGTCAGGCACCTAATCGCCAGCACACAAAGTCAGCCACCTCACCCGCTCAGCTACCGCGACTGCCGGAAGTCGCGGTAGCTGAGCGGGTTAGGCGGCTGACACCCAAGTCACATATAGATATGAAATTATGAATAAACGTTAATGTAATTCCTGTGGATTTCTGTACTACAGACTCTTAAGTAATAATTTTGTGGGGCCACAGTCTGGGGAGGCCACAGTAGTGGCACATGGTCCGGTGCATACAGCTCAGGTCACAAATCAGGCGAAGTTAAGCAACGCTGGGCGAGGCGAGTCTTGGATGGGTGACCGTGTTTGGCAGCTTGACACCTGAGAGTTTCTAGGACTTCAGTCCTGACCCACAATGAAGCACATGTGATACATGTGGTCTCACTTGCCTCTGTTCACCCTGCGGAGAATGGGTACCCAGTGAGATAAAGTCATGTGACTATAACCCTCTAACGCCTAACAGGCAGCTTGGGTTATCCGGGGTAATAATAATCAGATTGTTTGGGCGCTTCGAGCATGCATTGTGCATGGAGCAATACGCATGATAAATGGACTATTATTACTATTACAGTCTGGGATGGAAATTAATCCAGGTCATCTCCAAACTCGAACAGTGATAACCACTGATATGTTTGCCATTCTACTATCTCTAAGGATAAAATAACAAACCTGGTCTCGACTAGGGGATTATCATGCCTAGTGCAGATTTCAAAATGGGTGACGATTGTATCAAGTTCTATCAGCATGATCAGCAGCAAGTAATACAGAGTATTAGAGGACATGATTTGGGTTTAACACTGCTTTGGTCAGTATTTCAGTTACTGGTATGTCATGTCAGCTTGTTGTGCGAAAGGTATTTTTCACTTATTTAGGAAGGGGATTTCCTGATTTGAACGAAATTCTCTGACATGGAGAATACAATATTATCTGCTTTCTACCATGGCTACAACTAAATGGGTTTAATGATCAATACATTTCAGGCACACCACGCATTGTGCAGTGCAAATTATTTGCATCCATCGCCAGATTTAAGACATAACACTTTGAGTTTTGATAAAACAATAACCATGGGAATACCCAGCATTCAAAATACCTGCCTGTCCGACCGCCCGGGACGGGTTATTTTCAACATGGACTAACAGATTCTCAAATTCACCTGCCCGACGGTTGGGTTAAAATTTAGACATGGATACGAAAATATATTTGCAAAGAAATAAGTTTTGTTCAGGGCTGGCCCAGCCCTGTGGTGTGGCTGAAATTTTTGGGAGTTTCATACCCTGCAATACCCATGTGGAAGCAACAGGACATGTTTGATGACACATATTCAGTACATACTTAGGATGTTTGCTCGCATAATCATGGTTCCATGGTGATTGAATTAATTTGGGTCAAGAGCTCCACTTGTACAACGGAGGGCACCCATCTCTCGTACAAGATATGATAGGCCGTCTCGAGTACAAGTTACATCTCTGACTAATAATCACCAAAGAGTCAGCCAACAACAAACTGTTCTGGACCAGCAAGGGAGTGCCTCATTGAAATCCAGGGTAATCCCCTTGAATTTTCATATTTGATCGGATTATGCCCACCAATACCTGTCACCTTGCAAATTCTATATGTGTGTAAATATGTAGGTATAATATGTATTTCAGTATATAGTAATTAGATGTACATACTATATTTGCATCAATGAAGTTACACAAAACAGTGGCAATTACTTTTTCAGGTAAATTGCATACATGACAACAATTACTACTCCCTTGTCATCCATGTTTTATCATATAGGCAACATATTTGTTTTTTGTCGTCATTCACTTGATGTATAGTTAATGCCTTTATTACAAGTATTAACAGTACTTGGTATACCTAGACTTAATAAGGTTCATCCCTAGCTCTGAGGGTGACAAAGATTATATAGCAATCAGTGGTTCCCATTTGGCATTTCTCATGTAACTATTGTATTTAAGATTGGTTTATGAAATGGTTTGATGTTGTGAATGTATGACATGTTATGTAACATGCATGTGGCAGCATAGCAAGAGAGCTATGCTGCAAAAAATTCAGTCAATGGATTTACCAATATGTTGATTGATTAATCACTGTTATCTTGCAAAGTGGATTTGTCAAAAATTAGTGTTTGTGTATGCAGGTTTACATACACAGACGGAAGACACCCATATTGTGTTGTAAAGTGCCTGTGTAAAAATATCCTTTGTTCAAAGGATTAACTAATAATATGTTTATTATTATAGATATTGACTCTCTTAACGACAATATTGAAGATAAGTATGCATCCCAAAGTGATCAATTTGACCAGTTTGAAAACAGACTGGAACGACTGGAAATATTCAGCCGCAGAGACAATATTGTGTTATTTGGGATCCCTGAGACTGAACAACATGAGTCGTATAGTGACTGCAGAGACAAGGCAGTGCAGGTGTTGAGCTCTGTCTGTAATGAGCCTGAGGACTGCACACAACCCAGCGACATTAAACGTGCTCACCGGATTGGTGGTGAACAGGCCAGGAAACCTAGACCCCTTATAGTTGCATATTGGGATACCGAAATTAAAATATGGGCTCTGAAAAAACGTAATCAACTAAAGGAAAATAAAATTGGTATAGCAAACGATCTAACCATTAAACAGAGAGAGAAACTAAAGGAGCTATCAGATACGGGAAAGAAAGGATATTACAAAACGGTAAACTTATTGTCGTAGCCAATGCCAGTGCCTCTAGCAGCCACGAGATCGACGGACCCCAAGAGGCTAGGACGCAAAGCACCCAGATCCAGCCATACAGGCTGATCCTAAAGAGGCGTACGAGAAAGGATCGGGAGTACAGATAGGGTGCGGCCGGGCCCAAGTCAAAGCAACCCATACCCATGAGGATCTGTCAGAGAAATTGACTAATTCAGGTAGTGACGTTTCATTCATAACATGGAACGTATCTGGACTGTTCAATAAATTACATGACCATGACTTTATGAACTTTCTTAAAGGGTATGGCATTATTCATTTAACAGAGACATGGGTTGCTGATTGTGATCTCAGTACTATCATTGTCATCGTTTCCTTTATACAAGTGTTACCATATCCCAGGTGTACGACTGTCAGAGTCAGGCAGATTATCTGGAGGTATCCTGATTTAGTGTCAAAGAATGTTACCAGCCATATGTTAAACACATTCATAAAGGAGTAAATGCGATATTTGCCCTGTTTGACAAAAGTATGTTTTCCACTGTAAACGATAGAATGTTCATATTTGCTTACATACAACCAGAAAGATCAAACTGGTATTCTTCACGCATCTATTCCAATAATGGTATTGATATTCTATTCAATTGCTATTGCGATTACTCTGCGAATGTTGCGTACAGTGATGTCATTCTGGTGGGTGATTTAAATGCGAGAACTGGCCAACAAGCAGATTTTAGCAATGATAACTATGAGTACATATCGGATGATTGCGATGATTTGAATGACTTTATAAACGATGGATTCTCATCTACACACTAATATCTTGCGATACCCATATAAACACATTTGGGAAAAGTCTTTTAGAAATGTGTCGTCTGCTTAACATCCACATTGTAAATGGAAGATATGGTACAGACAAGGGTAAAGGTGATTATACTTTTATAAGTCAGGCAGGATGTAGTGTGATTGACTATGTGATCGGGTCAGCTACAGTACTTAATCAGATGTCAAGATTTGATATTATCTCCCGTTGTGAATCGCAACATCTTCTGATATCGTTTGCTCTATTGTCGAAACATGGCAAACAGCTAGTTATAAATGAAATGTCTATAAATACACCTATTGTTAAGTACATTTGGAAACCCGAAAAGGAAGGCGAATTTGTTTCAAACCTCTTGAGCTTGTCAAGCGAGTTGGAGAATGCAACAGAAGTAATGTGTTCTGTTTGTGAGCTTGGTATACAAATGTTTAGTGATGTAATAGTTAAGTCAGCGGAGTGCATGAAGCGGACAATTACATCGTCCAAACGAAACCCAGATTGGTTTAACAACACATGTCAAGGACTTAAACATCAGCGATGTCATTACCTTAATAGATTTAGAAAGCATAAGGACACGCTTTCTTGGGATTTTATATTTTCGTCAAGAAATATCTACAAAACTGCGTGTAGAGATGCGAAGTGTAAATTTGAAAACAGAAATATGAGTGAGCTTTGGACTCAATTACCAATCCCCAATTATTTTGGCATAAAAGCTAAAGTACATCTCATGTTCGCAAAAATTGAAAATAACATCACAGTAAATTCATGGCACGACTACTTTAAGAATCTCTTTGATTGGGACTCCAGTGTGACTCCCAGTGACTTCAGATGATGATGGTGACAGCATATTTATACCTGAAAGCCAGGCACATGACATAACTAACGATATGTTCAGTGTACCCATTAGCCGGGAGGAAATCCAGTCAAGTATTAACAAACTTAAATATAATAAAACTGCTGGGAAGACCTGCGTAATTTGCGAGTTCTTTAAGTCGATCTTGTCATATCATCATACCTTACCTTGAAATCATGTTTAACACATTGTTTGATAATGGATCATTCCCTATAAAATGGGCAAAAGCAATAATTGTGCCAATACATAAAAAAGGCGATATAAACAATCCGGAAAATTATCGCGCCATTTCCCTTTTAAGTATTTTTGGTAAAATTTATACAAACATTTTAAATAACCGCCTGGTATTCTGGTCAGACAGTTTGGATATGATAAATGAAGAACAAGCAGGTTTTAGAGCAGGCTATACTACCACAGATAATATATTTGTTCTCCAATCAGTAATTTGTAAATATGTTTCTAAGAAAGGTGGCAAACTGTATGCATGTTTTGTGGATATTTCCAAGGCATTTGATTCAGTACAGAGACACAAATTATGGTATGTCTTTAATAAACACGGTCTCCATTCAAAAATGGATAAAACATTAAAAAGTATTTATGAAAATGTTAAAGCCTGTGTCCGCACAAATAACAATGTTCTTACAGACGTATTTGACTGTCCTGTTGGTGTTAGGCAAGGTTGTGTCCGAAGCCCTTTCCTATTTTCGTTTTTTATCAACAATCTAGTGTCTGAGATTAACCATTCATGTTCCACTGGCGTCCAATTATATCCAGATCTTATTGAAATATTTATTTTGATGTTTGCCGATGATGTGGTGTTTTTCTCAGAGTCAGTAATTGGTCTACAGAGGCAAATTAATGCTTTAGAAACCTACTGTAATAAATGGTCCTTAAATGTTAACCTTGGTAAAACTAAAATTATCATTTAATAGAACTCTAAATTGGTCCCTCTCTGCCAAAAACATTTCACTTAAGGCAAAGAAAGCTCTAGTGTCTATTACAAAATGCCTTTGTAGCTTTAAAGACTTGTCATATGATGCCTATTTCAAAATATTCGACTGTAAGATACTACCCATATTATTGTATGGGTCAGAATTATGGGGCTTTCACAAACATGATTGTCTGGAAAGGGTATTGCTTTATGCATGTAAATGATTCCTTGGTGTGCGAATGTCTACACCAAATACAATTGTCCTTGGAGAAACTGGTAGATATCCTATTCATGTGTACACTCTAAAACGCTGTATTGCTTACTGGCTAAAGCTCCTCTCCATGCCCTCTTCACGCTACCCATTAAAAGCTTACAAAATGTTATGTAATCTAGATTTAAACGCAAGCCCTGAGCGTAATAGGTTTAATTGGGCTACACATGTAAAAACAGTTTTATTTAGATTTGGACTAGGTTATGCGTGGATATGGCAGGGAGTTGGAAATAAGCACTAATTCTTAAATTTACTTGTAAGAAGAGGCAAAGATTGCTTTATACAGGAGTGGCATGCAAAACTCCAAAATAGTCCCTGTACATTTACTTATTCCCTGTTAAAAGAAGACTTCTTGTGTGAACCATATGTACGTTGTATCAATATCAAGAAAGTAAGACTAGCCTTATCACAGTTTCGTTCCGTTTATTATGATTTAAGTTGTTATAAGGGGAAAATTTCATAAGAAATCTACTGTGTGCAGATACTGTAAAATGAATGTCTTGGAAGATGAATACCATGTTCTGCTAATTTGTGATTATTATAGAAACATTAGAAGCAAATATATACCCAGTTACTTTACGAAACAACCGTCAAAACATAAATTCATCCAACTGTTGTCAACTTCTAATCGTATATTGATTGAAAATATTGCTTTGTTCATATACCATGCGATATTGAAGAGAAACCCACTCTGCTTTTGAACTTTGTATATACCTGTACTATGGGCCTGTGGCCTTCAGTTCTGAATAGATTGATTGAGTACTGAAATATTGATTTCTCATTGTTGTCTAACACTAAATAACTGTTTCTTAAAGAACCATGGACACAATATCCTTAAATGCCATATATATTTTACAGTAGTAGATTGTTAGAAAACATGATACACTGAACACATTTCTTTGTCAACTGCAGAAGTATGGGATATTGTTCCTTTATGTGGATATTGCCAGATACTTTTCTTGAACAAGGTAATGGCCTGATAATATTTATTTAAATTTTGTTGGTTGTAATTTACGATATTTGCATTTCGTTTTTATTCATTTGTTGTAGCATTGAACAGAATCATTCCACTTCATTTGTGCTGGAAATTTCTTCGATGCTAGACAGAAAACACTTATTTGTTTTCACAAGCCTTTTCATTGTAGGTGCCTGTGAAATATGATTCACCAGTCAATTCATAAAATGCCTACAAATAAGTAATTTTATAAATTCACTTACCAAAACACATCAACTACATTATTTATGAAGTTCCATTTCAAAATGCACAAAAACATAATAATAGATCAATAATGCTTGGGTCACAAGCAAACACATAACATACACTGACTTTTTTTCTTTCAGTTTTAACACTTTTAGTCTCTGGAAGATAAAGATAGACTTCAAATGTTTGGAATTGTTATCATATAAACTAGTTGGACATATTTTGCAGCCAGTTTGCAAAATAACTTAAATATTTAGTCTCACAAACACGACTACATTCTCCTATTAATTTAAAGATGAAACTTCCTTCACCTGGATATCACCTGGGTACCCATGGGAAAAAAACAATAACAAAAGCAACAACCATTTTCTGGTAACTGCTCTATTTCGGTGCCCCTCTAAGTTAATAACAAGTGAAACAGAAGCTGGGCATGATGACTATCATTACTGAGAGCAGAGACCATATAATAGATCTATTATGTGGTCTCTGCTGTGAGGGAGGTGATCTACGACTGGGGCACTGATACTGCTCATTAACTATATCCTCTAAAAAATAAAATTCTCAATAATATGAACGTTGGACGGGCAACCAAGATGATAATAAATGGTCTAACCATTTAGGTATATCTGCTCTAACTGCTATCCTTTTATGTGAAGAATCTATCATGACTTATCTCATGGGATCAGGTTATTATTCACAGGTATGCCATGTCAAACTACAATGGCACTGAATATATAGTTAAATGAGAACACACGTGATACACGTGGCCCCAACTGGATATTTGAGGCATATATTTGTGTAGGTTATTACTACGTTCGTTATCACTTGATGATATAGAGTTTCTTTGATCACACGTATCATATACAGTCAAGGATTGAGGAGGTGTTTACAACTGTGAAAGTACAAATACCAATTAACTGTTATACTTACGTGTTCATAGTCAGTAAAGGGATTATACGAAAACAACTCTGGTTAAGGGGATAAGACGAATCTTACCGTTATTATAGACCAAGTAGATAATATTATGACATATCTGTCACATATAGAAGTAACATCACTTCGAAATAGATCCTTCACAAGTATAATAATTCAACGGTACATCCCCAACATGTTTTTGCACTACCAGGAAGTAAATGACGAAAACAACTTCTCGTCCAATCAAAATAGAACATCTATTTTTAGCACACATTAACAGTGACAATATAACTGTTAATATATCTTTATAATTTCGCTATTTAACGAACGATTACGTGATTCTGTTCAAGGCATAGATAATAACATTCCATATATAGATTTTGCTTTTCATTGCAATGGGTTTCAATTAAAATCACAAATGCATATTCATTTTTGCAGTTTATGTCAAATCTTAAAAACTAGATTCCCCCTTCTGTCATGTGATCAGTTCAAAATGGCGACTGTAACGCAAAGGAGTATGTCAAATAACACATGCTTACAGTGCCGTTTGTGCAAATTGTGTAATACAGTTAACATCAGAGAAAATGCAAACTTGTGTATTTGTCCAAAAAATACATGGCTTACCGTATATGATGACAACAACTGTCTCAGTGTGACAAGAATCCATAAGCAATCGAAAGAAGGCGTGAGTCACTTCGCCCTCCAAAATGTGACAAGGTATGCATACATGTTGACGTACTCAAGATTTCCATTCGTTGACATTTCTATAACCCACTGAAAGATGCAATCGCTAAGGATGGAGTGGATCAGTCTACATGTCCAAAGTTTGACACACTAAAGTTTTGCAAGTGGTAAAAAGGCAGAAATCAACATTTGCTAAATAATGCCAATTCGCCAATGCTAAGAAACAGAAAATTGATATTTCCCCACACCCACGACACACCTTTAAGGCATTAGGCACTAACCACAAGTAAAAATGGTAGAAATTATAGTCCATATTTCAATTTCTTTACATGGAGTTCAGTTTGCCTTTAATGTTCATGCTGTCTCACTATTGCCACCTTGTCTTAGGTCACATGCAACCAAAATATCAAATATAATTAAAACACAAATATCAGTTATTCATGACATATAATATACATTGCTGATTATGAAAAAACATATAAACAAAATTATAAGCGTACAATCGCAAATCAAAAGTGCAATATTTTGTACTTGGGTTTACTTCCCTCGAAACGAAGCACCTGGGATAACTAAACCCAGTCAGAGCGGGTGGGTGTGCACTATAGTGTATTGGCTGGTTCATTTGCAGATGCCCTCATGGCTCATTGTGTGTGTGTATATATAGAGATGTTGGGTTTTGTAAATACATGCTCATTTTTTGTGTATAACATTTTACAATCAACAGACATCATAACATGTCATGTGTACAAGTATCACACCTGCCTGTCTGTGTAATTACATAATGTGACAGAGACCGAAGTCGGGTGCACGAGCCATAAATCAATGCGTTTTGTTTATGGTGTATAGATGTTAAGTTCAAATTGCATGTGGTCAGTGATCAAAGTTGTGTATTGCATATTGTCATTAGCAGACAGGCAGGCAGACACATAGGTGTCAATAAAACAGACATTGAGTTTTGTCTGTGACTGAGGCATATCTATATCACAGTTAGAAATACTGTCAATGCTAAATAATGACATTGCTTTTAAGTATCGACCTGAGAAAGTGACTCGGTAAGAAGAACGTGTGGTGCAATAGACAAATGAAATTATATAAACAGTTAAATCGGTAATCTACAGTCATAACATATAAAAAGCTCGCGCCTGTGAAATGTCAACAAAACATTAGAAAATATGTCACATCAAAGCCTTCACCGAGTACTCACCGCCAGCAAAGGGTTTCCATCTTGAAATGTCGAACGCCTCACTGGTTGACACATAGCTGAGTAGATCTAGATCCTAACAAGGTTCTTTTGTTTAACGAGTAGATTGTTTACTATTTGTTTTGATTAGACTACTCCTGCTCACGACCATATAATCTGGACATCACACTTCCAACCTGCGCGAAACTTTTCACTGCGCATGCGCTATGAGTGCAGCCCAGCGCAGTGCAGCACAGCTGTTGAAACCACTTTTCACCCCAAGCTGGGGTGAATTTAGTTAATCGTTTGAACTCTGATTTCGTGGGGGGGGGGGGGGTTCATCGCATTATTTTTCAACTTTATAAGTTGAATTTGCATTTTTTATAATTTGTATCTGTAAGTCCATACCAAAAGGTATCAGAATCTGCAAAGTGGTGTTTTACTTTGCATGTGACCTTTAACATGTCAACCATGGACATGATGGATACACAAAGTCAGCATAACAATTATCACTCTTTTTGTTTCATGTTAAAGGGCAAGTAAACTTAATGTTGATTATAGAATCCATTCACCAACTATTCATAGAATTAAAAGAAATAGATATAGCTCTAGAAAAATTATTTAGTATCAAACTCAACATACTGTTTTTGCAGATTCTAATACTGTATCTCACATATTTAACCGCAATTGTGAAAGATAAAAATAAACACTATGAAAACGAAAAAATCCACCAAAGGGAGAATTTCCCTTCTGGGGGTGTATCAGGTTTCACGTGTATGATGCACTGTGAAGATGCAATTGGGTGACACTCAGCCTGGCAGCTTCTGACTTGAAATTTGTAATAGCTTTGCAGACATATCCTTTGTGTTCATCTGTTTGATTATTATGTCCACAACTAAAGTACTGTCGGAAATAGAAAAAAAACTGTTTTTAGGCTGTTACTCTGTATCCCTAAAATTTACACAACTGCAAAAAGCATATGTCGAAATAACAACAACTAATGTTAACTGATGGTTTATTAGAATAAGCATTTCACCTTCAGTTGTCTACTTGGGATTAATCCCTAAAAGGTCTTTGAATGGCATTTAAAAGTGATACACATAAGGAAGAGAGTTTTATGGATGTCAACGTCTTTATTATGAGGAACTACCCGTGAAGATCCGGGTTAGAATATTGATTTTCAGTAACCCATTCGGTAAGAGGCGACTAATGGGATCGGGTGGTCAGGCTCACTGACTTGGTTGACACATGTCATCGGTTCCCAATTGCGTAGATCGATGCTCATGCTGTTGATCACTGGAATGTCAGGTCCAGACTCGATTATTTACAGACTGCCATCATAAAGCTGGAATATTGCTGAGTGCGGCGTGTAAAACTAAACTCACTCACTCACTATTATGAGGAACACAATGTTTTGGAGTGTATAGTTACTCCTTCTTCATCATCATCATCATCATCATCGTCATCATCATCATCACCATTCACCTGATGAATTGGTATGTATATGTTCCGAAATGTTGTGTTCCATATAATAAAGAAGTTGACATACATAAAACTCTCTTCCTTTATCCCCAAAAGGCTTTCATTTTCAGAATAGGACCAAAGGCAATGGGAAATTAAGGCAAACCCTAATTATTTTGGCAATCATAGCTTGTGGTCAATGTTACTGCTATACCAAGGTCATTTAAAGCAGAAACATCTTATGAGAACATTGATTTCTATATTTGCAGGTTTGTGCAAGCAAGATTTTGATCATCATTTGTGAATATAGGACTAGAAAGGGCGTTTATCATAAACTGAAATATACTTGGCAAACAAAATTAGGGCAAATTGGCTTTGGTTGAAATAAATTATAGTGTCTTTTGCTACTGATGATTTGGTAGGTTATTTTCGTAGTTCAGTACTAAAAGCTTTTTGGTATTATTCATTTCCTTCAAGGTTGAATTATTTCTTCAAGTTGATGATCTAGGGTAGATAACTCCAGGGCAACCTGATACAATGATGTGTCACATGTACACTAGTAAGTAGAAAAAGAGAGAAAACACAGATGAGCAGGTTGTTCATGTGGTGATAGTGAAGCAAATGTGTTGAGATCATTGTGTGCATGAACATATGTATACTCTGAACAATATCTTTTTGAAGTTATTTATATGTTTCCTAATTTTTTCCTCTACTTAATCTTCACGTTAATGGTCACATGCAACCAAAAATCAAACATAATTAAAACACAATTATCACTTATTCATGACATATAATATACATTACTGGTTATGAAAAACATATAAACAAAATTATAAGCGTACAATCGCAAATCAAAAGTGCAATATTGTGTACTTGGGTTTACTTCCCAAGAAACGAAGCAGCCGGGATACCGAACCCAGTCAGAGCGGGTGGGTGTGCACTCAAGTGTAACGGCTGGTTCATTTGCAGATGCCCTCATGGCTCATTGTGTGTACATATAGAGATGTTGGGTTTTGTAAATACATGCTCATTTTTTGTGTATAACATTTTACAATCAACAGACATCATAACATGTCATGTGTTCAAGTATCACACCTGCCTGTCTGTGTAATTACATAATGTGACAGAGACCGAACTCGGGCCATAAATCAATGCATTTTGTTTATGGTGTATAGCCTGATTGGTGTTAAGTTCAAATTGCATGTGGTCAGTGATAGCAGCTGTGTATTGAATATTGTCATTAGCAGACAGGCAGGCAGACACACAGGTGTCAATAAAACAAGACATTGAGTTTTGTCTGTGACAACGACATATCTATATCACAGTTGGAAATTCTGTCAACGCTAAATAATGACATTGCTTTTAAGTATCGAACTGAGAAAGTGACTCGGTAAGAAATGACAAATGTGGTGAAATAGACAAATGAAATTATATAAACAGTTAATTTACTGTCATAACATATAAAAAGCTCGCGCCTGTGAGATATCAACAAAACATTAGAAAAATAGCTCACACCAAAGCCTTCACCGAGTATTCACCGGACAACCAGCTTCCAAGCTGCGCGAACCTATTTCACTGCGCACATGCTATCAGCGCAGCCCAGTTGTTGAATCCAGTTTTCCCCCGAAAAGTCGGGGGAAAATTAGTGAAACGTTTGAACTCCGATTTCGGCGGTTTTTTTCATCGCGTTATTTTTCAACTTTATAAGTTGAATTTGCATTTTTGTTTCGGTAAGTCCATACCGAAAGGTATCAGAATCTGCAAAGTTGTGTTTTACGTTGCATGTGACCTTTAACTATTACTCTCTTGTGAAAGCAATAATATCTAGTTTCACCAATGAAGCTGCCATTTGCATGTATTAAAAATTGTAGAATCAATATGTATTTTACCTTGGATGATAGGAAGTTTGTTTAATATTGTTAAATATTTAAAACAAGGGTTGAAATGTTTCAAAAATCCACTGGACACAGGTTCAGTAAACTTTCAAAATCCACTTTACCAAAACTAAATTTCACTTGACCACAATGAACAGTTTGCTACCGTGTGCTAAAATAGCCTACTCTACTCTACAATGATTAGCTTATGACTTGTGTCGGCAAGCAAATGATTGCATAAAAACCTAGTATACACTGACTACATCTCTATTTTTCAAAAAGCTGCTTACAGCTGTGTTTTCATGATTCATTTTGAGTAGAATAGTTAATTTAGTATATAACTTAGTTGATTAATTACCCATCCCTGGATTGACAGACATTTGATAATAGATCGACTCCACCAGTCCTTGTCTCATTTTACCGGTCAAAAATCACTGTGTGTCTGTACGATAGTAATATCAAACCAATAACTTACAAGTCTAATCTGAACATGCAAATTAGGGTTATATAAATTAGATGTCAATATGTTACTGTAAATAGATTGTGACTTCATTTTTATCCCCCGCAACGCGTTTGGCAGGGGGTATTTAAATGGACTCTGTGCGTCCGTGCTCATTTGTCTTTTCCGAAGCAGAACTTTAAAACCGTTTAATATTTCTTCACCAAACTTGGCACATAGATAGGTCTGGTGGTGTACTGGTGCCCTTCGGTAGTTTTGGAATTCTGAATAAAATATCTTTTAAAACCTTTCAATACTCTCCTTCCACTTTTCTATATACACACCAAAACATTTGACATAATCATAACTCGTACACATATTCATGAAGAGTATTTTGCCATTGCAGGGGATATTGATGACTTTGTCTTCTTGTTGACAATTAGTTTGTAGATCTAAACATTGGAAAAAGGCGATTGAAGAAATACAGTGCAAGTCATTCTAAGAATATGCTAGGAAATAAAACACAGACTTTAGTTAGTAGCAATTGCATTTGTATTTCATCATCAAAGTATTTATCAAAACATTCACTAAGTTTGGCACTACTGTACCACGGTAAAGTTTATTGTGTTTATTCCACTCAACCCGGGCGTCAGGCAATGGTATTTTTCAACCCCTGTTGAAAGGAGTAATAGTAAAAATATATAACTTTAATAATTTATTCTATGCTAAGGTGAATATTGTTCAGTTTCAACTGTTACATTGCAACTCTTTTTATACAATGTATATATTTGGAAGGTCAGCACAGTGTTTGCAGTGCTTTAATTTGCCAGTTGGCCATCAGGGCCTGCTGCCGCCTGCAGGCTTTAAAGTCTACAGGCCCTGAATGAAAGCTGCAGGCCCATTTTGTTAAAGTCAAACCAATAAAAACAAAATAGACTACACTGTACACAGTTTCACACTGTTTTTACAAAATCAATTAGTGAAGCCTATGGCGCAGGGAGAAGTTTTATTTGTTAATGACTGGTGTTGATATTCCCATGCGCAAAGCGCTAAAATACGTGAGGAAGTGGAACTGTAAGTTATCGTAACTTGATGGATCATGGATGATTCCCAAACGTTAATAAAGAAAACAAATAAGGGAAAGATTTCAGTTGGAAAAAAAAGACAGATAATTTACTGAAGGCCACAAGGGTCTGCAAATATTTGAAACTGCCTGCCCGATACACTAACAACCGGCGTTGGGCCTCAGGGCTGGCGATCATTTCGAACGCTACTCAGGTCAGCACAGAGCCATGAGTGCTTTGTAGGCTGACTGGAAGCCAAGCACCATATGCATTCAGGGAACATTTTCACATTTGCATGATGACACCAACCATGTTGGCAGGCTCTGAAAAGAGAGCATGCTCTGCAGAGGAACAGATACTCCACTTGTTTTACAGTTTAATCATCCTGAAGTCCAATAGTCAAGCACATACATACTCTACCACAAGTCAGAAATGCAACTGGGAGGGTAGGAGATGAAAGATGCAATAAGCATGGTGCTGGTATGGTTAGGTAATCAAGAAACAATGACACCTATAAGGTCAAAGGGTGATACAGTGGAAACCTGATAAGTAAAATTCCAAGGGACTCGCCAAAATTGTTTACTTATCAGGTATTTTACTTATCCAAACCTATAAAAATCTGCAAATGACAACCATATGCATGTATATGTATGCATATGTAACAATGAACAACTTATCAGGGCTGGTGTCCAGTTGTCAGTGTATTGTCAACTGCATGACGCCAGCGAGCTGTAAGTAGGATGTTTGTTTAACTGGAGACTGATACGTGCCCCTCATGTCGGATTATGTGGTGATCGCTAATCTAGTTATCCAGTCTCTTTTTTAAAGTAATTTACTTCCAGGGACTGTGAGAAGACGTTTAGTTAAGCGGTATTGTTTATTTATCCAAGTTTAGTTAACAGGACTCTAATAGTGATAATTAATGAAGAAATTTGCCGGGACCAAAGAAAAGTGTTTACTTATCAGGTCTGTTTAGTTAAGCGGTCTTTACTTAGGCGGTTTCCACTGTAACTCTCAAATACTAAGTTAAAATAAAAGGAAAGTAATATCAGACAACTGATATGAGATTGATGACTTAAGGGATATGTTTGTGTTCTGGAGATTTTGAAATAAATATTATTCAACATTTTCAATCCAAATACAACTTTTCCAACAATGTCTGTACAAGAAGCCTGTAATGACTAAAACATGGTTGCCGACCATGGAGTCTACATCTAGGGACACCACAAACAAACACAGTATCAAGTTAGTAATTATTCAGTATAACTCTCAAGACTTATGTTCTGTATTTTTCCCAAATGTTTGGGTTTTTGTAAAATTTGTTTCAAGGGCAAGTGAAAAACATAATTTGCTCGTCTAGAAGGACGCAGCTTTAAAACGTTTTCTGACCCAAAAGTAACATTTTTCTTTTTCCTTGAAGTTCAGCTGTCATAAATAGTGAACAAATTCAATTTTGTCAAAGATTTTGTACAGAAGACAAATTAAGTCATGTAATGTAAGTAATTGTAGTTTTTTATTCCAGGCAAACATTTTGAAATAAAATAATTTAAATTTACATTCATTGTGTTGAATGATCTATAGGGCAAGTACAATTTTAGAAGGGCGAGTGGAAAGTTCATATTACTCGCCCTGCAGGAAGAGTGCAGATTTTGTAATTTTTTAGCCCTGATACATGTCATGATGCTCAGATACCAGCGACACATACACATAGTTAACATGTTATTCTGTTGGCCCTTCTGCTGGCATGGGCCTGAGTATTACCCAAAATAATCCACCATCGGTGGTACATGAGTATAACAAAGGAGTACCTACGATATGTACAACAACATGACTAAATGATACATCAATTAAAATGTTTACAAACAATCTTAATGAACTTGGATACATTTTTATGGGTATATATTTTACTTGAAAAAAGTTGACGGAACTTTGACAAATTTGGCCAGGAACTATAAGGTTCTTTTAACAACGATTAACGTATGTCTGCAAAATAATAACATTTAAACAAATAGTGAAACTCATCTCCAATCAAATGTGAGTCACATAAGTTACAAAATCTCAATTAACTCTAATATGATTCAGTTTGTGCAGAGACCATGGTCTCTGGTTTGTGTAAGAAAAGTGTTATATGTCGGGCTGGTATTTTTTTTAACCATGTTGGAATAAAATCATAAAAAGCACATAATTCCCATGAGCTTATCCCAAATGCCAAGTCTTACCAAAAGACATTAACAGACTGTACTTTTATGCCACTATTTTATTGCCAGTGCCTTGTGCTCAGTGTATAAGAAATAAACAAAGGGCTGGCTGTATAGGAGTGGAATATCCATGCTGAACAGCACCATGGTATCCCAGTGGGCTAATTAACATACGACCTAACCTGTTGACACACATTCCGACATTGTTGATAGCTATTCCAGTACTTGCCAGTACTCCCTTGTAAAAATGTTGTTGTCAGAAACTTTATATGATTTTAAGTTTCTTAAGTAAAATCTTTAATAGTTGATATAAATTTTGGCAATTCAACACCCAATTAGGTTGTCAGAAATTATTCTTAACTGAGCGAATAAAAGTTGGATACCTTTTGTTGTTTAAATGTAACTTGCGAAAAACCGTGTTCCAAACGTTAGGTTGACGGACTATAAATGTGTGAAATGGCAGGTACTTGACATTGTGTCACATTTAGTGTAACGGGAATTGGTTAACATCTCATAATTGATGATTGGTTCATTACAACCGATCAATCATCGAAAATAATTGATTAGCATCATTTATTAAATTTTCCTGGTTATGTTTCTTAATGCACAAAACATAAAGAAAATACATGTAGTTCTTTCGGATTTTTTGCAAATTGCACACAATGCATTTGCAAATTGCACATCTTTACAGGATGACTTAATGTTAGGAATGTAACTTTCCTGGACTCTTCAAGATAAATTCAATCATGACTTAGAACGAGCTAGTAGTGCTTATGATATGTAACAGACAAAACCAACCTTGTGAAACATATTGTCAATGCAAACAAGTTTTCCAAAGTTGTTTGTGTTCAATTATGAGAAAACATAATTGATTGCTTGGTCGTTTAGTTTTTGCAACCAATCTTCGAATATTTCAATTAATCGGACCACCACTAGTCACATTCAGTACACACGGTCACATGACTATTTATCGCTGATCATAACGTCACAGATACCACCAGATGCTGTGTTGATGCTGGCCTCTTCCTCCAGCTGCACAAAGAGCTTATGCGTAGCATAATCTGGTTATCTTGCCATTTGTTCAAAGCTACAAAATATACAAGTTATCCTTCAAATGTGGAAATGATTTTAGACATGTTAGATTTGTATTTACACATACCCTTAGTCACTTATTACTATGGTGACACTATGTTTCATATGACCAGATCAAGTTTATGTTTAGACCATGACATTTTAATACAGACAATGCAGCAGAAACCTTGAAATTGGAAATTGTCGTCTGATTGACTGCGTCTGCTTCAGTTTTGCCTGGAGACCAGCTGGAGGGGACAGCCTATGTGTGGTTGACACTGAGATGACCATAGCCCAGTACTCCTTAAATGGCCCAGCACCCACCATCAGCCACCGCTGGACCTTCCACGAACTGCAGACAGAAATAATCTCAAAAGGCAAGTCCAAAAGTGGTTCCTGTAAGCTACGAGTACTGTCAAAGATTGTGCTGAATACTTTTGCATCTTTAGCCTGCATGTTTTGCTATGTGTTTCACTTGATGCTTAGTCCTAACAAAAATTGTGTCATATTTTTCTATCAACACTCCAAACTTTGTTATCACTAGTTTTAGGGGTAACATCATGATGTAACAACTTTGTGGGTAGTCAACTATATGTAGAGAATAAACCACACAAAGGGACTTTGTGTACACAAAGGGACTTCACCAAGGCTACAATCCCCTAAATCTTATACCTTTGTAGGGCATACATCCTACATGTGAGTGATTAGGAGAAATTTTACCATTATTATCCCCCCAGCATGTAATGCCATCATCGTGAATCATTTTGTTTCGGAGCAAAGCTCCAAGACCATTCGATATTTTTCTCACAAAATTTGTAGAAATATCAAACCGTCCGTCCAATCCCTGCTATTTCCGCCTGTGATTTATTTTGTAGGGCATTCGATGACTTTTTCAACAAAATTTGTAGAAATATCAAGGCAGAACCCAAGGTGGTGCTATTTTATTTACAGATTTTTGTGATTTATTTTTCTTATTTTCTTGGTTTCTATGGAAACGATTCAGACTTAGTCTCAAAAGTGGAGGTGTGGTGACTTAGTCCTGCGGAGTAGGGTTTCCTCGAGCACAACTCGAAAACTTCTTAATATCTTTCAGCAAAACTTGGCAAATATGTGAGGCAGATCCCAAAGTGGTGCCTTTTGCTCTTTACAGATTTTTGGCATTTTTATTTTTCTCAGTTTCCATGGAAACGTTTTGGACTTAGTCTTAAAGGGAGGGTTGGGCTTCGTTTCAGGAGCATAACTCAGAAACCGTTCAGTATTTTTCTGCAAAACTTGGTAGATATATCAAACAGATCCCAAAGTGGTGCCTTGTGCTCTTTACAGATTTTTGGCATTTGTATTTTTCTTGGTTTCCATGGAAACGATTCGGACTTAGTCTCAAAAGGGAGGGGTGGGTTTCGTTTCCGGAGCACAACTCGAAAACTTCTTAATATCTTTCAGCAAAACGTGGCAGATATGTTAGGCAGATCCCAAAGTGGAGCCATTTTGCTATTTGCAGATTTTTGTCATATATGTTTTTCATGACTTCCATGGAAACGATTTGCACTTACCGGTAGTCTAAAATCAAGCTGGACTTTAAGTAACTGTCAGATGATTTGTTCTTTCAAAGATGTGGGGGCCGGGGATATGTCATCTTCTGATGACTCTTGTTAGAATTTATCATGTTGATGTTACAGAATAACTTTCTGTCTTTGCATTTATTCTTATAATTTGGAGGTTGAGTATGAAGAACATTTAATGTACATTATTATTCTGTTTTATATTTCAGTAGCTGAGGTGTCGACATTAGACACTCTCTCCCTGGTTCACTGCACGTCCACTACATGCCTCCTGCTTGTCAATGCCAGCATCTTCGTCTCCATCAAGCTACTGGATGACGGACACTGCCAACATGTGGCCACTTTGGCTATTCCTGGAAGTAGTCAGAGTTGTCTACCTTTGTTCCAAATTGTTGCCGATCAGTTGGTGGTTCTGGCAGAGAAAACTGAAGCTCTTTGTATCCTTTATGTGTTCATCATTAGGCTTGGCCTGTATTATACAGTGTTTGTATGCTCTATGAGCACGCCCCAGTGGAGTTTAGCGCGCCATATAAATGGACATTATTATTATTATTATTATTACCTGAGGAAGAAATTACCAACAAATACAGCAGTGTAGATTGATGCCAGTGTATGAAATAAGGCCCGTCCGACCGACCGAGACAGGTTAGATTTCAGATGGATGGCCTAGATTCAGGGGCGTAGGAACATGGGGGGCTTGGGGGGGCTTAGCCCCCCACATTTTTCAAGACAAAACCTTATCTACCTTACCTTAACTACAATTTCATTTTGATTTTCAATACTTTTCATAAATGATCAGGACTATGTTGGAATGAGATGTATTAGGCTCCTGTTGTTCCTTATCTGTACTGTAGACATCTTTGACATTGTTGCTGGTCGCTTGTGGTGTCATGTTGATTTACAATTCTCAAAACTTGATCCAGCCAATCAGATGCAATGGAGAATATCACATGATTTCCACAGACTGATTCTGATTGGTCAGGACTGGATGCTCCACACACTGGCCCTTGACGCCTACATCAAAGCTTATCCTAAATGTCTTAAAGTGGAGCCCTCAGTATTTCATCCTTACCGAGACAGGACATTTCGACCAAACCACTCCACTTGTCGTCATGGCGATTCTACATGGAGAGAAAAGTTATTAAATCTACATGAAGAAAAGCACCTCAACCAAAGCAGTGGAAAATACTTCCAGAGTAAAACAAGAAGCGATACAAGACGCAACAGGAAGCATGTAACAGGCTTCAAATCAATATATTCAGTTGGTGGAGCACTGAGTGAAACAATTGTAGATAGTCATGAGTTGCCGTCGGAGATTCACCAGTACACAGTAGTGGACATGGCCGTGAGCAGGTTCACTCTGACTCTTTCATTGGCCGAGAGGGCAGCTGAGGGCAGCAGGGCGTTATGTGTGATAGACACCGCCTCACACAATATTCTTATGAAAAGGTATAGCATATATATTAAAGTCTCCCCATTGAATACCATGAGACCTACATGTAATCATATTCAGCTAATGATTTTCAAAATGTTTTTTTGAGAGTCCTTTTGGTCTATAAAAAATAATAGGCCCTATTTAACATAGATGTACAAAGACTGTAGAACACTGACTTTCATAATTGGTACTATATAACAAAGATGTACAAAGACTGTAGAACACTGACTTTCATAATTGGTACTATTTCACATAGATGTACAAAGACTGTAGAACACTGACTTTCATATTTGGTACTATATAACATAGATATACAACTGAGAAATGACTGTGGCATTTATAACTTCAATGTTTAACATGAACTTCCAACATATACAACTGTAATGCCTCAATCACTTTGTGCAGTTTACTTACTAGTGCCCCAAACATGTATGTTGTATTATCAAAGATGTTTCTATGGGAATTCATCTAGAACTGAACAGATACCTCATCAGTTGTGTCCATGTGTGGTTGCAGTATCTCCAGCAATCAGAGAATCGTGTTGTCCTCCACGCCAGGCCACACCCACCTTGTCGTCAGCGATGTCTTTGTCTTCCATGTTGTTACTGAAGCTGCTATAGAGCAGGAAGACCTTGTCAGCAAGGTGACCATAGCGCAGGGCAATGTCTTGTCTCAAACGGTGTTGATGTGGAATCTATGCCAGAATAGACTTATTCTCAATAATAGCTTTGGAATCTGAGAATATTATTAAACATTTTAAGTTTAGTAGTAAGAACTCAGATTTGGAGAGCGTATTTGCTTTTCTTGAGCTATGTGTGCTGTAATAAGAGCCTTCGACAATGTTTGGAGGTTATTGAAACTATACACAGTGTGTTAAATTTGTTTTAAAAAATATTTGATAATAGATACGTGGAAATACAATTCACCTTCTGCTGCAGTTTAATGTACAAAATATGTATGGATTGACATTGGTAATTGTAAAGATTACTGACAGACTGGTCTAGAAGTTGGTGAGGAAACCCTGAACAGGGTTCTTATTATGGCGTTGTACTGTATTCATTTGACATTCAAACATTTTTGGTATTTGTATTATAACCGTACATTTATACATGATTCTGATAAACATATGTATTTACATCTGTTGACAGCTGATGCTGTATGGTGGCGCCACTTCTGCTGACATGTTGTGTGACTTCAACAAGTGGGGGCGCTGTACGGTGCCAGTTCACACGTTGCAGATCGGGATACAACATCGGCAGCTTGACACTGTAGCTTTCTTCCTGAAGAGCAAGGAGAACTGTATGTACATGTTGATCTTCATGTTAAGATATATGCTGAATGATGCATGTGAAAAAACTGCCATACATTTTTGAGAATCAATCATTAGTATTCTGGAAAGAAAGCACCCCCAAATTATCAAACTCCACAACATTGAAAAGTTAAACAATGCTGACAGCAAATATTGGACAGTAATGGTTTAAAGAAGACTCCCATTTTGTTTTGAAAAATCAAACTTTAGATTGAGCTATTTAATGTGTAAGTGCCATTTTCCATCCCAGTATTACAAGAGTCATCTTGATGTTTCAGTGTTCACAGCCAACAAACAGAAGCCGTCTGTGTCCCCGGTGTCTGCTGGGGATGAGTCCATGCTGTGGACATCCCAACTCTGCCACTACGATAGTGTGAGGCAGTTAGAGCCAGCCCTGTCCTTTCTAGTCCAAGCTGTGAGAGAAAATGTGAATGATCAGCAGTCACGTGACTTTGCCAACAAACTCTTGACCTTGACCTTAGAGTTTCTGTATGGCCTTGTCCACAATGGTCTGTCAGTTCACAGGGGTCTGGGCCAGACCGAGCATGACCAGGAGGAGAAAGGTGACCTTGAGAAAGCCATTGACCTGTTGATGGGATATATTGCTCAACTACGCCAGTGCCTGACGTTGGTGGAATTGACACGTGCCAAGTTGATCGTCAAGGCATCCGATGCCCCAGATGGACTGACTACTAACAGCCTGGAGGAGTCTGAATGGTCATGTTTGACAGCAGAGGTGGGATTGTTATTGTGTATGAGATGATTAGCTGTTTGTTTTTCATATCATAAACATCATATAATAGATATGCAAATGGATTATGGAAGCCTTCAATCAGCATCATGCTGATGGTTTATCACTTAACATGGGAAAAGTCCATAATTACTTTAATCCTGAGGTATTTCTACATTGTAGCCAATTCAATTTTGGTTCCATCTTTTTGTTAGTCCTGTTAGTCTCAGATAAGTCACCCCTACAAAGCCATAATGTTAGTTATAGCTATGGGCAGATATGGGGCCAAGTAAATCTCCGCAGCTCTCCATCAAGCATTGTTCTATATCTTTCCCTCACAAGATGATGCTATATTGAGGATTCTGTGACTACAGTAACCATGGTAACCAATCATTCCAGGATGCTGTGGAGGCAGCAACCTTGAAGAACCAACTTCTTCTCCTGCAGTCACACATGTTAATGAGAGGTGATACAGGTGTCGCCAGGTATGAACAACTCGTTAAGAACTGCATGGACCAGGTTCTACACTACCTAAGCAACAAAGATATGAATAAAGCAAAGAAGCTTTTAGGTAATATGGTGAGTACACTGGGAAAGCCAGACTGGGAGGGATCTTGGCAGTCAAATTTAGTGTCATTCCTGATGAATAAATAACCCTCCCCAAGGAGCATATCTCAGTGCTGTTATCAGGCATGTTTTTTGTTTTGGCACATTTCCATTGTTGAGAGACCATGTTGTCTGTGGTCTAGGGGAGATCGGTAAATGGGTCGTTGAATCCCTGGCTTTGTCCTACCAGTTGATTTTAAAGTAAGTACTTGTTGTCACCCTGCCTGGGTTTCCGCATCAACAGGATAAAACAAGGACTATGTTGGCTCGGAGTCACCACTTATAGTCTGTTTGCGGTGAAAACGTACCGATGAATTTCACTTTAAACAAAAAAGTAAATCAAATAAAGTGAAATTAAGATTGTGAATCCTCATAATTTTACCTTGCCATTTGAACATTTAAATCTCAGAATTTTATTCAACTTGGGATGAAAGTTGTTTATCTGGACAGATATGAGGGTCCCTTTCCTAAGCCCTAAGACTATCGTACCCCCATACTTTAGCATAGACTTACAACAGTCATAGCACTACGATCGCTTTGAGGAACGAGGCCCTGATTCTTTATCCAAGAAGTTCATCAGTTACATATTCAGCAAATTGCACCCAGTAATTTGCCTGCAGGGTTTTGATGTCTCAGCCAAACTGTGGACCCTGGCAGAGTGTGTGAAGTCTCGCAACCTCCAAATGTTCATATCATCGGAGCTCCACAGGACTGGCAGTCTCTCCCCAGAGGAGGCCAGTGAAGTGTCCTTCCTGCAGCAGCTGTACCAGCTCTACCCATGCAGCTCCTTCAACCAAGCCATGCTCACCGCAACGGGACACCGCAGCAGGTAATGACCCCATCGTCACAATCCTCAGTCACTGAATGTTGGGATTTATCATATTCATGTAGTTTAAGGCCAAACATCTAATATACCGTATATTACCGTAGATAATGTCGTTTTCTTACCCCCTGAAAAAAAGTTTGCTGAAAGTGTAACCCATAGGTAAGCCGACAGCTAAGCTGACCCTTAACCAGTAAGTGTTGCATAGAAATCTTGTGCATGCTGTCAACTGGTGGTTTGTCTCATCCCAAACCTATGTTTAACTTAAAAATACATCTGAATACTTCATTATATGCCTTCTAAGAAATAAGATGACAAAGCCATTGCTATGCATGGATGGTTCAAGCAATGGTGTCAATCTTTGAGCCTGCTGTTCTTGGTTTTACAAACATGCACAAGTATGAAGATGATCTAAAGTACAACTTGATACTATGTTGGTACTTTTACTGATCAGATTTGAAATACATCCTGAAAATCATGTGCGTTAATTACAGTGCATGGTCAGATGAAACTCTCTTGGCATCTCTACTGAACAAAACTAGTCATGAGGTGAACACTGTCTGTGGAGATATTGGTGAGCAAGGGCCTCAGAATTGTCCAGATGGACTATATGCTGAGATTATTTTGACATGGATACGATCTTGGGACCAAGAAACAAGGGAGAGAATTCTGTTAGAAGCACAGATTGGAAGGGATGGTGAGTTCCTTTGATTGTCCAATAATATGTGGAATTAAGAGTAAAGTAGAGCTGTGTGATGAACAGGCATCATGTTTGAATAGTGTATGGTTCTCAGACAATGTATTCAAAATAAACATGCAGTGTGTTGTACAAGCATACAACCTCTGAGTAGAGTAAACACATTACAGTGGTAATAAAACTTTCTCACATCCACAATACTTGAAAACGACTATACTAAACAAATACCTGTTGAAAAATACGTTGTGTGCTAATATCATAGCTACTCTAGCTGTGGATTAATCATTCGTTTAGAAGGTGCAATGCTTCTGGTTGTCATGGGGACATGTTACATACCTCTGCAGGAACACATAGACCCCTATTTCTGAAAGACATCAGTACTTATTTGTAGCTCACCTGAATAGCCTATATTTGACCTCAGCATTTGGACTGTGATCTTCTCTCTAAATGCATCTCTTTCCACTCCTTACAAACCAGACCGCCTCCGTGGTGTAGTGGTTAGAGCGTCTGCCCGGGAGAGCGGAAGGTCGCGGGTTGGATCCCCGACCGCGTCATACCAAAAGACGTTTAAATATGGTACTTGTTGGTCCCAGTCTGGTGCTCGGCATTAATGGGTACAACAAGGACTGGTCGGCTCGGAGCCAGTATAATGTGTCTGAGTGGGGTATTCATGCTTCACTGCGGCATGGTATCTCAGTGGGCTAGCACTATAAAACCAGCTTAAGTCTGGGCTTAGTACAAGCAGCCGCACATACACATACACACGCATGCACGTCATCATATGAGCGAAATATTCTCAAGCATGACGTTAAACCCAATTTCACCTCACCTTACAAACCAAATGAACAATTGAACCTTAAACTTCACTTTCTAGATAGAATGGGTGAGTCTGGTGCTGCATTGTTGTGCTGCATCGTGACTCTAGATCATCTTGTTTCTGTGTTAATGGTTAAAAACGTCATCTGTGATGTTCTTATTGTTGATGTTACTGCTCATATGAATTGACTTCAACATGTTTTTACATATGAGGAGTTATAGATATAAAGAATTATTACTCACCCGTTGAAGATATCACTGTTTAAAATCTACAATGTTATTACACATTGTGTAATAACATCGGGTGATACCAGACATATGATGTCATAATGGTTTATATATTAGTAATCACTTTAAAGTAATCAATCAATCTTTATTCAGAACTGAAGGCCACAGGCCCATAGTACAAGTAGAAAGTTAAGTAGAAAGTTTCATAATTTTATATTGGAGTTTCTAAATAAAAAAAACTACAGAGAATTTCATGTGTTTTCTTTATATTTATCTGCAATAACAATCTGAACAGGAAAATCTGAAAAATGACGCCAACTTATCTTTCTTGATGATTGCTCATTGGTAATAAACCAATCATCAATTGTGAGATTTCACCCAGTTACCAACACTAATGCCCATGGTATGAGTGGAACAAATTTAGTTTCAAATTTCACACTTTCAGATTTCATCATAGAAATGTATCCAAACAGAAAATTGTTATGGAAGTACCTCTTGAGCCACAATCGCCATGACGATGCACTGACCTTACTTGACCTCATGATCAGAGAGGTCACTGAAGATGGCAGCAGTTGTAGGCAACGTCAAGACTGCATCATTGACCTTTACAGTGACCTTGACCTCTGCAATGAATCAATGCAGATGGACATTACTTTGCGGCTAATGATGTAAGTGAAAACAATTGACAGTAATGAGACAAGTGGAGTAATGTATAAAATTATTAGTAACACTGATACTTGCTAAGGGCATCATCTAAACACTAGCTTCACCTGAATATGACAGAAACAAATATCCTGCGAACAATAGAAACCGTATTTTGACATACAGTACAACCAGAAATTATTGAGAATTTAAGATTGTAATTTTGTTAATTTTTTTCACTCATTACTCACGTATTAAATGTGAATATTAGCAGAACTCCAGATTCAAAGACAGGTGAACAGTTAGTATTTTGTCAAGTCACCATGGGCAGCAATGCAGGCTTCAATGCGGCGGGGCATACTACTGATCAAAGAAGTTAGAAAGTCGTGGTCCATGCTGTCCCAATATCAGACCACCTCTTCTTTCATTTCAGCAATATTTGTCAGATTTTTCTTATTGACACTTTCCTTCATTATAAGTCCCCAAACATTTTCTATTGGATTTAGGTCAGGGCTATAGCTTGGCCAATCAATTAATGTCATATTTTGGGTCCGAAACCAGGCCTGTGAATGCTTTGAACGATGTTTTGGGTCATTGTCCTTCTGTAAAATCCAAAAATTTCCATAGAACACGTGAGCAGATGGAGGTAAATGTCCCTCGAGAATATCTGTGTACCGCTCACTGTTCATATTCCCTTCAAATACACAGAGGGGCGTTGCCCCTAACACAGATATGCCACCCCGCACGTTAAATTTCGGACTGTACTTTAGGCGGTGATACAAAGGTTTTTCAGTTTGTTTGGTCCAGAATTTCAGTGTATTAGGAAACAGCCACACAGAACTTTCATCTGAGAAAATCACATTGTCCCAGTTAAAATTTCTATGCTGTAAGCACCAGTTCAACCTTCGCTCCTTTTGTTCAGGTTTCATGATCGGTGATGGAATTCCTCGACTTTTCTGCCAACCCATTGCATGCAACTCAGTTCTTATTGTCTCTGTCAATTTTCTGCGCCTACCTGCGCCTCCCTGGTGCTCAATGCCATATCCATTTGCAATATTTTTCAAAACACGATAAACAGTGGACAAAAGGGATGCCTGTTCTACTTGAAATCACTTTAGCTGATCTGATGTCCTTGTTATAATATCCTAAAATCAACTTCCTCTTCTCTAAATCATCCATACTGAGGATCACTGAAAATGTCGTCTGCAAGTAAACAAAGGGGAATAACTTTTCACAAACTAATGAAAAAGTATTAATGGAGTTGTCTTTCTTGAATGAAACCAAGGACTTGATAGCTGGTCAAGGTTGTTTATACTAGAAATCCAATTAAACATATTCCTAAAATTCTCAATAATTTCTGGTCATACCATAAAACAGTGAATTCTAACAACAGCTTCTTCCTGTAACTAAGGTTTTTCAGACATGTTCACTGAACACAACAGATAACACAACAGGGAAATAAGTACCAGAAGTGTGTCATATTCATAACCAATGGGAACGCTCACCCTAGGATTTCCCTATGATGATATTAGATTGTGATAATGATATGGGTCATTGTTGCCATGTGGAAATAAGGAAATATTATTTTCTGCCTCAGGCAGTGAATTGCATCAAGTGCATTGTTCTGGTGTCTTTTGCTCATGGGTAATTGTTATTTTGAAGGGATCTTGTCGTCAACTTACTTAAAGGAAAAGTTTATTTGTGGTGATATTTGTGTCTTTATAGTCACTGCAAAGGTTTTAATTTAAGTGATGTTTGTGTGTATTTTACTGAAAGAAAATGTTTTATTAGAAATGATCTTTGTGAGATCTTATTTTTTAATTATAGGAAAGGTTTTTTGGGGAGTGAGATACTGTCTGACTTTCCCATTTTAATGAAGCACCTGTCAAAAGTGGGAGGGGTGTTGTGTTCCCCCCAACCCCTACAGCACCTGGATCAACACACACTCCAACACTTCCACCATCACTTCCTGGCCTACTGCACCAGACACCAGCTCGTCCTGCCGCTATGGAGATATTGCTCGAGACACAGGTTTGTTTATAACACCAGCATCCATGCTGGCTGCGTACTGTGTGAAGGTTTCATTAAGGAAACACTCTGGAAATATTTTGTTCAGCATATTGAGCTATAGATGCATTTTTTTATTTGAAACATTACTGAATAAGAATGTTTAGTAGCCAAAGTGGCAATGGTGTAGACAAGGTTATGATCATCAAAATGTATTTATTATCTGACTAGCTAGGTGGAGGTTTTGAATGATTAGCTAGGTGGAGGTATTGAATGATTAGCTAGGTCGAGGTATTGAATGATTAGCTAGGTTGAGGTTTTGAATGATTAGCTATGTGGAGGTATTGAATGATTAGCTAGGTTGAGGTATTGAATGATTAGCTAGGTCGAGGTATTGAATGGATATGTTTGTTTGTTTAGACTGCAGCTGGACAAGATCGACGTTGACAGCCAAGACTTGAAGACATGGCTGGCCAGTCTGCAGCATTTCTTCACCATCTGTCGCAGCCCGGATGGTAACGATGATGTTGTATTTTTTAAAGTTGATCTGTAGAACAGAACACTGACATTTTAGATGGGATCTGTCACTTGCTTGGCTGTATGTCACTGTGCCTTGGTGTGGAGATCACGTTTTCTAACTTGTATTCAGCTCTTATGGTATAAAGTATGTTACTTTTCAAACACATGCTGTTGAAATCCTTCAGGGTATGACCACCTCCATGGTGTAGTTGTTAGAGCATCCGCCCGGAGAGCTGGAAGGTCACGGGTTCGATCCCCGACCACATCATACCAAAAGACGTTAAAATATGTTACTTGTTGGTCCCTGCCTGGTGCTCGGCATTAATGGGTACAACAAGGACTGATCGCTCGGAGTCCGTATAATGTCCGCTTCACTGCGGCATGGTATCTCAGTGGGCTAGCACTATAAAACCAGCTTAAGTCTGGGCTAGTACAAGCAGCCGCACATACACATACACACGCATGCACGTCGTCATATGAGCGAAATATTCTCAGGCACGACGTAAAACCCAATATCACCTCACCTCACCTTCTGGGTATGTTTTAGTTTGTACAGTGTAATGAGCACAGGGAACAGCATTCTGAGGCAGAGTGCAACTTGCAAGAGCTACACCTTGTTCAGGCATTCTAATCCCTGTTTCTGATTCTAGCTTTGTCAGCGCACACCCATGTTTTCCAAACAGTAAACGTAAACTGTTCATTGTTTGCATGTACTCCATGTCACCCAGTTGTCAGTAAAATGTGTGCCTCACTTCTATTGCCAGACTCGGATGCTGTATACCAGGCAAGTCTCATGTGTGCAGCCAGTGTGTGGAAAATGGAAGAACCTTCCCTAGCTGACCTCATTACACAAGATCATGTGAATGTTGCCATAGCAACACTTCCATATCTGCCGACACCTTTGCTTCAGGTATAAGTTTAATACATTCACATGATTAAGACCTTATGATGTAATTATCTAGATTTACTGCTTTGTTTTACAGGTTGATATGTGTCAAGTTTGCCGAGGTTATAGTGGGTATCGTTGCTACAGATAAGTGGCGTACAGGCGTACTAAAAATCAATGCAGTACAACATAATATAAGATTTTAAGCGTATCATGTACCCACATAAATACCTTTGTACGTCTAACATGTATGAAGTTTAATAGCTGAAAAGTTGTTTAATATTATAAATAACAAACCACATCACCAACTCACTCACACATGTCAGTACTCCTTCAAATTCTCAGTACACCTCCACTTGCAATAGGAGGTGTAAGTACCCCCACACCCCTAAAAGTTATCTGGAGCCCTGGGGCCTCGTTAAACAAGGTCATCATGTTGGGTTGTATGTTCCCCAGGGAGCTGGGAATAGAGTCCTCACTGATACATTGACTGAGACTTTGGCCAAAGTTTTAGGTGTGGATTTGGCGGATTATAAATATACAACTGTTATTATTGTTTTTGTTGTTGTTATTGTTATCAACATTATTGTATGTTCCTCAGACATCGGATGTGTGGAGACCAGAGATCTTCGGGAACATGGACCAGAACCTACTGCAGGACAAGTTGAAGGCGTTCCCCAAACTGTACTCCGCTCTGTTCCCCACCGGCTCCATAGCTTCCCCTCGCATCGATGTCAACGTCTACCAGCTGCTCATGGTAAGTCACCAGTCAGGGTAGAATCTCATATAGTTCTCTCACAGAGTCTTTGTGTTACTAGGGATTGTGAGGCTAAGTGTTCATTTGCTATGCCTTAGACCTTGGATCTATTATTCCCCCTCACAGTCACAGTGTGTGAAACTCATTGCCTGTCTTCCCTCCAGAGATAATGTTGAAGTATACTATTCACACTTTGCTAAGGATCAAATCATTGATTCAACAGAAAACTATTATGTGGGGTCAATTTGGTTTAAATATCTAAGCTTATTGTAAGCATGGATCCTAGGTTTCAGTATGTTAGATTAAAGTGTCTGTTTGCCTAAAGAGGTGTTGCCATATTATTATTTATCCAGTTTTAAATGGATACAGTTTCAAATTATAAATCTACGTTTAAGTAAAGTTGTGAATTTTTGTGATCCTAAGCAAAGTGTGAGTAGTATATTACAGTTGAATCATCTATAACCACATCCACTCCCTCACACTGAACGTAAGGGCTGTCATCAAAACATGGTGAATATTACGTTACAGATAGTTTTCATAATTTGCTTTTCTCAGCTTTATTCCTGGAAGTTTTATTGGTTATTTTTCAGCTGTCATGGATGTTTTTGTGTGTCAGGAGTAATATATATCATGTATACACAGATGGTTATTAACTGTTAAGCTTCTGCAGAATGGTTTTCAATGTATTTTGGTAGTATTTGGGTTGTAAGGCTGTTATTCAATAGGAGGAGAGAGGTAAAGGTGTTGGCAGTCAATAGGAGGAGAGAGGTAAAGGTGTTGACAGTCAATAGGAGGAGAGAGGTAAAGGTGTTGACAGTCAATAGGAGGAGAGAGGTAAAGGTGTCGGCAGTCAATAGGAGGAGAGAGGTAAAGGTGTTGACAGTCAATAGGAGGAGAGAGGTAAAGGTGTTGACAGTCAATAGGAGGAGAGAGGTAAAGGTGTCGGCAGTCAATGGGAGGAGAGAGGTAAAGGTGTTGGCAGTCAATGGGAGGAGAGGTAAAAGGTGTTGACAGTCAATAGGAGGAGAGAGGTAAAGGTGTGGCAGTCAATAGGAGGAGAGAGGTAAAGGTGTTGGCAGTCAATGGGAGGAGAGAGGTAAAGGTGTTGGCAGTCAATAGGAGGAGAGAGGTAAAGGTGTTGACAGTCAATAGGAGGAGAGAGGTAAAGGTGTTGGCAGTCAATGGGAGGAGAGAGGTAAAGGTGTTGGCAGTCAATAGGAGGAGAGGTAAAGGTGTTGGCAGTCAATAGGAGGGAGAGGTAAAGGTGTTGGCAGTCAATAGGAGGAGAGAGGTAAAAGGTGTTGAGGCAGTCAATAGGAGGAGAGAGGTAAAGGTGTTGGCAGTCAATAGGAGGAGAGAGGTAAAGGTGTTGGCAGTCAATAGGAGGAGAGAGGTAAAGGTGTCGGCAGTCAATAGGAGGAGAGAGGTAAAGGTGTTGGCAGTCAATGGGAGGAGAGAGGTAAAGGTGTTGACAGTCAATAGGAGGAGAGAGGTAAAGGTGTCGGCAGTCAATGGGAGGAGAGAGGTAAAGGTGTTGACAGTCAATAGGAGGAGAGAGGTAAAGGTGTCGGCAGTCAATAGGAGGAGAGAGGTAAAGGTGTCGGCAGTCAATAGGAGGAGAGAGGTAAAGGTGTTGGCAGTCAATAGGAGGAGAGAGGTAAAGGTGTTGGCAGAAAGATATGAGAAGACTCATTCTTTTTCAGAAGACATCTTATTTGGGGTACATATATGCATTTTCTGCTGCTGAAAATGTCCTGTGTACAAACATTAAACTTGTTATGTATTGTTCTATGTCCCCCACTACTCAGAGTTATCTCACCTACCACCCATGCGCGGGCTGCCAGCTGCTAGTTCAGCCCAAGGGAACCCTATGAGTGTGTATTCACAAGACTTCTGAGTGACAAATAAGGACTGAACAATGTTATTCAGGAATACAATATTTGGAAACGTGGTAATAGTTGCTCATGGTTCTTTTTCAGGGAAGTGCGCCACTAGACCCAAGACGATTGTTTGGTTGGCAGGATGGAAACACAGTAGCTGGAGAAGGTGAGTTAGTGCGTGACTTTAGTTTTACACCACACTCAGCAATATTCCAGCTATATGGCCACGGTCTGTAAATAATCGAGTCTGGACCAGACAATCCAGTGATCAACAGCAAAATGAGCATCGATCTACGTAATTGGGATACAATGACATGTGTCAACCCAGTCAGTGAGCCTGACCACCCAATCCTGTTAGTCGCCTCTTACAGCAAGCATGTGTTGCTGAAGATCAATTCTAATCCGGATCTTCATGGGTAAGCTGGAGAAGGTAGGCCTAGCACACACATCACACAATAAAATACCACACACCTCACATGATACAATACATTACCATGTACACAATCACACAATACAATATCACACATAAATCACACAATACAACATCACATACATCACACAATAAAATACCACACACCTCACATGATACAATACATTACCATGTACACAATCACACAATACAATATCACACATAAATCACACAATACAACATCACACACATCACACAATACAACACCACACACCTCACATGATACAATACATTACCATGTACACAATCACACAATACAATATCACACACAAATCACACAATACAACATCACACAATACAATACCATATACACAATCACAATGCAATACCACACACAAATCACACAATAAAATACCACACACCTCACAAGATAGAATACATTACCATGTGCACAATCACACAATACAATATCACACAGAAATCACAATGCAATACCACTAGCATCACATGATACAATACAATACCATATACACAATCACACAATACAACATCACACACATCACATGATACAATACATTACCATATACACAATCACACAATACAATATCACACACATCACACAATACAAGATCACACACATCACATGATACAATACATTACCATGTGCACAATCACAATACATCATCACACACCTCACATGATACAATACATTACCATGTGCACAATCACACAATACAATATCACACATAAATCACATAATACAACATCACACAATACAATACCATACACACATGATACAATGCAATACCATATACAAATCACATGATGCCACATACTGCATACACACCATATAACACAACCTGATGCATGCTTGACTTGCAATGATTGTCTACAAGGGAGTCTATGATGTACACTCAGTAGAAACTACCCAGTAGGCCCCCAGTAAGATACAAATGCTTGTTGTAAGAGAGGCTTGCTGGATATTTGACTGATTGCTAGTATCATACCAACGTGGAGCAGTGTTCATAACGTCAATCACTCCATGGCCTCAGTCAAACTCAATTATTTCCAAGCTGCCCTCATTTAGTTGGGCTGTTGTTGCATGTGCCCTGAAGCAGTAAACAACCAAACAAGTTGAACATGATCAATGTGTATTTCTACAGAGTGCCAGAGTTTTCTGCCGTACTTCTCCCAGTCCGACCTGGTGTCTCAGTTTGCCTACTCTGAGAAGATCCGTTACATATACTACCTCAAACATGGCCGACCTACATATGCCTTTCTCTCCTTCCTGGCAGAGGAGATTGACTCAGGGGCAACAACTATTAGTAACAAGAGGTAAGTTGCACAGATACTTAGTTGGAAAGTGATGGTCAAAATCAGAAGGATTCCTCGCTAGAAATCATTTGTCATTATGAGAATACCTCAGTTCTTGCCCAAAATAACACTTGAAGCAAGAGTCAGTTTGTCCACCTGATATTTTCAAAAGGTATAATCTCACAGTGGGACAATGATGCTGAGAGTGTTTGGATCCTGAGTATGTGGGTTGTTTAGCCCCTATAACCTCTACTCGTATACAGTGTAGGCTACCTTGGCCAAGCACCCATCAAATCTTCAACCACTTTTAGTTCAGTTGAACAAACTTAGGCTTGTTGACAGACTCTCACTGCTAGATTTAAAGGCAGTACAAGACTCACAATTCACTATCCATGTATCTGCACCCTTGGATGAGGAATTTTTCGAGTTCCTCCACATAGGATCTTAGAACAGCTAACCAATACACTTGGGAAATCAGAGCTTGCGTTAGCTGGTTCATGGCTGGAATACATCCCGCTACTCCGCATTACAGTTTGTGTACTTATCCTGATAGCTCCTGTTTGACCCAGCAGGCCATGGTTTTAGTTTTGTTTTGTGAAAGGAGCGGGACATTTTTGTTTTGTTTTTGATGACAGATTTCATCTGAAGACATCCAACAATGTCCATTAAACATTTTAAACTATACAATGGTATATAGACTGGTGCTCTATTGCTGATGTAAACCATTGTGTTACAGCAAATGTAGACAATGAAATATATATTTTTTAAAGCTGAGAATAATATATATACCAGTGTGTTATAGATAATATGATAATGATGAATAGACTGGTGCATTTAGATAGTAATGATATATATACCAGTGTGTTATAGATCATAATGATATATTGACTGGTGTTTTATGGCTGATAATGATTGTGTAAATCAGTGCATTTGAGATGAAAATAATAATGATATATGGACTGGCGCTTTATAGCTGATAATGATGTATAGACTGGTGTTTATATCTGATAATGACATTTAGATTAGTGTTAATAGTGAGTGAGTGAGTTTAGTTTTATGCCGCACTCAGCAATATTCCAGCTATGTGGCGGCGGTCTGTAAATAATCAAGTCTGGACCAGACAATCCAGTGATCAACAACATGAGCATGAGCATCGATTAATTGTGAACTGATGACATGTGTCAACCAAGTCAGTGAGCCTGACCACCCGATCTCGTTAGTCGCCTCTTACGACAAGCATGGGTTACTGAAGATCAATTCTTATATATTGATCGGTGCATTGAAGCAGATATTGATAATGAAGTGTAGAGTCATGCACTATGGCTGACAATGATAACGATAGGCTGGGATAAATATGCTGCTGTAGATGAATGTACTTGCACTTCATCTCTCAGGATAAACACGGTGTGTGGAGTGGCATTATGGATGGCAGTGAAGAACTTCACCAGTGCCGAAATCACAAGTGCATGTGTAACGTTTGTGGAGATGATTGACCAGGACAGCCTGCCACTGCGAACATACATTCAAGTAGGTGTGGAGATTCTCGCCTACAAGAACAATGGCATTATGGGTACCATTGACAAGAGGAAGGAGTTGATGCACACAAATGAAGAAGAAGTGGGTAAGAAGAATTGGATATGATCTGATTTTCTGTCTTCACTGTGTCTCAGTCATGTTACAATGGTGGAACATAAAATGATAGTGACCTTGTGAAGAACCTTGGCAGGATCAAATGTTCATTAAAGACAAAATGAATTTAATTATTTCTGTTTCTTAAACGCTTTCTATACATTCAAATCAACATCTTTGAGTTGCATTTTAGAAGTTGGGAAGTGCAATATTAATAATAATGATAATACTAGTCCATTTATCATATGCATTGCTCCGTGCACAATGCATGCTTAGAAGGTCTTAAAACAATCTAATTATTATTACCCTGGATAACCCAAGCTGCCTGTGGATAACAACTTCTTTTATTTTCATGAGTGAGGCGTTTCGATACAGATTCCTATGCTGTTGTACACAGTTTCAACAGGGAATATTGAACAGTTAAAGAGTGTTCCCTAAATAAACCCTACCTTCATCTGAACTTCAGCCAAATTTGTTGCCTTTGTTCTATTTGCAAAATAATAGAATAACACCAGAATAGCAAAATGCACAAGTGCAGCCCTTGTTTCATGAAGAAATATTGAATAGTTAAAATACCAGCACCTTGAGCATGTACTAGTTGTGGGGATATGTGCGCTATATAAGTATCCAGTTAAAAAAAAAGGATAGTTTAAGAGTTCATGCTCTGGAAATGAAACATGGCAGATGGATAGAGCTTGTTCCTATCATTTGTCAGCAGCACACTGAAACTCTACCCCTACTGGAGTAGTAACAAATTCAGCAAGATGCCTCACTGACTGTTCACTTGTTACATGCATACCAGTGTACATTAGTGATCAGTATTGTCCTTTACACCAGCTGTATTGACTGTATGTCATTATTAATGTCAGCTGTAAAATTATAGAAATATCTTAATATCTTTACAAAACAGATAACATGATAAATTCTGATGCAAGGATTTTGAAGTATGCAAGCACTCGTAACTTGTACTCTTAACCATTAGTGGTGTGACGATTCATCGATATGCATCGATGCATCGATCCATGGGCCACCGATACAATGAATCGATACAAAGGTTTACATAGTCGTATATCCCGATACGATACTTCAAATGGGCCACAATACATCGATGTTTTACTTTGAATATTGCCAAAGCCCGATATCTGTCAAGAAAAAATTACTTTTGTTTAATGATTAAAATATATGCATACTTATTTTCCCTTCATAAGGAAATGCTTGCATCAGGAACTATGTCAAACATAGCGCTCGCATTTTATTAGTCCGTGTATAAACGTAATTATCTCATTTCCGAATGAACAGTAAAAAAAGCTGGCGGAATTTGATGAAATACTTTCAAGTGGTTTTGTTTTGATCTTAAAGTGTTTTATAGTTGGTGTTAGAATTAAGCTTTAGAATTGTGATCGTATCGACACCCTTGTATCGGGATTCGTATCGTATCGCAGCTTCAGTGAACAATACTTTGGCAATATATCGCTGTTACTAAACTTTTAGAATCATGATGTATCGTATCGCAGGTTGTATGCCAATACCAGCACTATTAACCATACTCTACATTTAATACTTGTCAATGAAACCACATTCACCGTTCCGTTGTACAGTGGACCTCCTGCTGAACTGTGTAAGGAGGCGGAGAAGGAACGGCCCCAGTGTGGTGGAAGCCTTGGAGAAGGCTACTGCAGACAGCATCATCAAGAAGGGCATCAACAGGTTGGTAGCAGTCCTTGCTTCACTGGGGACCTGGGCATCCAACAGGGTCACCTGTGTCAAGTCAAGGCTTAGTTTTCAAGCTTAAGAAACTTACTCTTCACAATCTCAATCTTAAGAAAATTACTTCACAAGAAAAATATTACAACCTCAATTATTTTCCTTCTTCCTTCCAAAATGAGTCATCCCTAAATGTTGAGTATTTTGTTATCATGGAAATCACACAAACATGTTAAGTCCTACCACAGTAGATTATGTCTGTGTCTGTGTCTGTGTTGAGCATCCCTCACCAAAAGCTGTGTGTTACTTCCCATGTACCTGATCCAGAGCTAACTTTCCCTCATTTTCGAATAAAACATGGGAATATTCCGTGAAGGGGCAGACATTTATGTATCTTTGAGCAGCATTCACCAATGTCATGAAGTTGAAATCAGCTGTAGTTTATGAGAACTGTTTTGCATACAAAGGATGCTGAATCACTCGGTTTATCATTACTGATATGTGAGATGTGTGTTTGCCTGTCTTGCCAGTACAAGTTTCGAGGCTGCCCACCAGTGGCTGTTGACCGTGACCCTCTGCCACCTGCTCCATCTACCTCTGTCACGGTCTTCCTGGAGGAATGTGCCCATGCTGATAAATGGCTGCCCTTCCTCTGGTTTGCCCAGCTGCATCAGTTCCCTAAACAACAGGTTCGTGACACAATTGGTACTGAAGAAGTGATTTGAATTTGGTGACATTATTCCTTGATTTATCCATGACTATTGCCAACTGTGATCAGTTGCAGGGCCTACTTCACCAGTTCCGCAGTCGACATCTACGCGAACACCTCCACTATGTCATAGAAAATGCAGATGCAAAGTCTGTCATGCTGCGAAGGAAGTTGTCCGAAACACCCAGTGACACCCAGACAAGGGGCTCTACGAAGGATGCCAGATCCTCACTTTATGCTAAGATTGGCCTATCAAAGGGGAGAGGTACAGTGATTTGTCCTTAACATGTTGTCAATGCCTTGGAATTCAGGGGTTTTTTTTAGCATATTTTGAGGTTTACAGACTTCTAGACCTCAGATTTTGTGTTTGGTTCTGCTTGAAAGAGACCAATAACCATGTTTACAGTTTCTGTAAGACTTAGTTGTCTAGGCCTAGTGGACAGGAATGAATTTTCCTGTATTCAGTATCAAACGATTGGCCTGTCAAAGGCAGGTTGAGTCATCTGCATCACTCTTAATGTTGTATGCAAGATATAACCATGGTAACAATGTTTTCTGTTCAGGTAATGCAAGCAGTGATGAGGAGGACCATGCTAGCTTGACCTCCACCCAGGGAGAGGTACTGGCTCAGGATCAAACACAGCCAGGTGAGCAGAGAAAACGTCATCCAGGGTTAACCCCAGGCTTGAAAAACCTTCTGCCTGTCTTTAAAAGGCCTTCACATGGAATAATAATAAACTACAGTGACCCTCTGACTGTTGTAGCTGACCAGACCCTCTGACTGTTGTAGCTGACCCGACCCTCTGACTGTTGTAGCTGACCTGACCCTCTGACTGTTGTAGCTGACCTGATCCTCTGACTGTTGTAGTTGACCCGACCCTCTGACTGTTGTAGTTGACCTGACCCTCTGACTGTTGTAGCTGACCAGACCCTCTGACTGTTGTAGTTGACCTGACCCTCTGACTGTTGTAGCTGACCTGACCCTCTGACTGTTGTAGTTGACCCGACCCTCTGACTGTTGTAGTTGACCCGACCCTCTGACTGTTGTAGTTGACCTGACCCTCTGACTGTTGTATCTCTGACCTGACCCTCTGACTGTTGTAGTTGACCTGACCCTCTGACTGTTGTGGTTGACCTGACCCTCTGACTGTTGTAGCTGACCCTGATCCTCTGACTGTTGTATCGAAAGGGACCTGATCCTCTGACTGTTGTAGTTGACCCGACCCTCTGACTGTTGTAGTTGACCTGACCCTCTGACTGTTGTAGCTGACCAGACCCTCTGACTGTTGTATCTGACCTGACCCTCTGACTGTTGTAGTTGACCTGACCCTCTGACTGTTGTAGCTGACCTGATCCTCTCTGGCTGTTGTATCTGACCTGATCCTCTGACTGTTGTAGTTGGCCCGACCCTCTGACTGTTGTAGTTGACCCGACCCTCTGACTGTTGTAGCTGACCAGACCCTCTGACTGTTGCAGCTGACCAGACCCTCCTGACTGTTGTAGTTGACCCGACCCTCTGACTGTTGTAGTTGACCTGACCCTCTGACTGTTGTAGTTGACCTGACCCTCTGACTGTTGTAGTTGACCCGACCCTCTGACTGTTGTAGTTGACCTGACCCTCTGACTGTTGTAGTTGACCTGACCCTCTGACTGTTGTAGTTGACCTGACCCTCTGACTGTTGTAGCTGACCTGATCCTCTGACTGTTGTAGTTGACCTGATCCTCTGACTGTTGTAGCTGACCTGATCCTCTGACTGTTGTAGTTGACCTGATCCTCTGACTGTTGTAGTTGACCCGACCCTCTGACTGTTGTAGTTGACCTGACCCTCTGACTGTTGTAGCTGATCTGACCCTCTGGCTGTTGTAGCTGACCTGATCCTCTGACTGTTGTAGAGTTGACCTGATCCTCTGACTGTTGTAGCTGACCTGATCCTCTGACTGTTGGCAGCTGACTTGACCCTCTGACTGTTGTAGTTGACCTGACCCTCTGACTGTTGTAGCTGATCTGACCCTCTGACTGTTGTAGCTGACCTGATCCTCTGACTGTTGTAGTTGACCTGACCCTCTGACTGTTGTAGCTGACCTGACCCTCTGACTGTTGTAGCTGACCTGACCCTCTGACTGTTGTAGCTGACCAGACCCTCTGACTGTTGTATCTGACCTGACCCTCTGACTGTTGTAGTTGACCTGACCCTCTGACTGTTGTAGTTGACCTGACCCTCTGACTGTTGTAGCTGACCTGATCCTCTGACTGTTGTATCTGACCTGATCCTCTGACTGTTGTAGTTGACCCGACCCTCTGACTGTTGTAGTTGACCTGACCCTCTGACTGTTGTAGCTGACCAGACCCTCTGACTGTTGTATCTGACCTGACCCTCTGACTGTTGTAGTTGACCTGACCCTCTGACTGTTGTAGCTGACCTGATCCTCTGACTGTTGTATCTGACCTGATCCTCTGACTGTTGTAGTTGACCCGACCCTCTGACTGTTGTAGTTGACCCGACCCTCTGACTGTTGTAGCTGACCAGACCCTCTGACTGTTGTAGCTGACCAGACCCTCTGACTGTTGTAGTTGACCCGACCCTCTGACTGTTGTAGTTGACCTGACCCTCTGACTGTTGTAGTTGACCTGACCCTCTGACTGTTGTAGTTGACCCGACCCTCTGACTGTTGTAGTTGACCTGACCCTCTGACTGTTGTAGTTGACCCTGACCCTCTGACTGTTGTAGTTGACCTGACCCTCTGACTGTTGTAGCTGACCTGATCCTCTGACTGTTGTAGTTGACCTGATCCTCTGACTGTTGTAGCTGACCTGATCCTCTGACTGTTGTAGTTGACCTGATCCTCTGACTGTTGTAGTTGACCCGACCCTCTGACTGTTGTAGTTGACCTGACCCTCTGACTGTTGTAGCTGATCTGACCCTCTGACTGTTGTAGCTGACCTGATCCTCTGACTGTTGTAGTTGACCTGATCCTCTGACTGTTGTAGCTGACCTGATCCTCTGACTGTTGTAGCTGACTTGACCCTCTGACTGTTGTAGTTGACCTGACCCTCTGACTGTTGTAGCTGATCTGACCCTCTGACTGTTGTAGCTGACCTGATCCTCTGACTGTTGTAGTTGACCTGACCCTCTGACTGTTGTAGCTGACCTGACCCTCTGACTGTTGTAGCTGACCTGATCCTCTGACTGTTGTAGCTGACTTGACCCTCTGACTGTTGTAGTTGACCTGACCCTCTGACTGTTGTAGCTGACCTGATCCTCTGACTGTTGTAGCTGACCTGACCCTCTGACTGTTGTAGCTGATCTGACCCTCTGACTGTTGTAGTTGACCTGACCCTCTGACTGTTGTAGTTGACCTGATCCTCTGACTGTTGTAGTTGACCTGATCCTCTGACTGTTGTAGCTGACTTGACCCTCTGACTGTTGTAGTTGACCTGACCCTCTGACTGTTGTAGCTGACCTGATCCTCTGACTGTTGTAGCTGACCTGATCCTCTGACTGTTGTATGGCGACCAGACCCTCTGACTGTTGTAGTTGACCTGACCCTCTGACTGTTGTAGCTGGATCCGGACCCTCTGACTGTTGTAGCTGACCCTGACCCTCTGACTGTTGTAGCTGACCCTGACCCTCTGACTGTTGTAGCTGACCTGATCCTCTGACTGTTGTAGTTGACCTGACCCTCTGACTGTTGTATCTGACCTGATCCTCTGACTGTTGTATCTGACCTGATCCTCTGACTGTTGTAGCTGATCTGACCCTCTGACTGTTGTAGTTGACCTGACCCTCTGACTGTTGTAACTGACCTGATCCTCTGACTGTTGTAGTTTACCTGACCCTCTGACTGTTGTAGCTGACCTGACCCTCTGACTGTTGTAGTTGATGTGACGCTCTGATTGTTGTAGTTGACCTGACGTTGACGGAAGAGTCGGCGGGGGAGGATGTGTTCCAAGTGGTGTTCTCGTCACAGGCGGCCGCCTCTCCATGGAAGTCCCTCCTACAAGCATCTGTTGTCCTCCGTAACTCTCTGTTTGCTGAACTGGCTGCATGTCAAGAGGTACCTTGTTGTTATAGCAGAGTTCACTTTTACTTGATATTGTGACCTTTGTTCTTGTCAAGGACATCATACTAATCACTAATTTTCAGTTCTGAAACTGTTTACAATACTCATAAACAAAGTCATGTCTTGAAATCAGTTTGCATTTTATTGCAAAAAGTTCAGGGTCATGAAGGTTAAAGCCTTTACTTCAGTAGTATAGGGAATAGCAGAACGGGACCGCATAGATGCACCATGCCTAGGAGCTCCATACTAGCTAATTCGGCTCCCATAGTCACAAAAAAATTAGTGTTTTTCACAAAACTATATCGGACCACTTTTCGTCTCCTGACGCAAGTGCACTCGAATTAGAGATATGCGGGTGTATGGATATAGAAAATAAAAATGCCAGGAACCAAGCTATCGCGCGAAGCCTATGCCGATATCCGATCTGGTCGTTTGCCCCTTCAGGAAGCAAAGAGGATCTATATCTATATCTATATCTATATCTATATCTATATCTATATCTATATCTATATCTAAACTCCCCACTCTCTTGGAACAAGGCAACTCTACATGCAAGTGTGGCGCCATCGACCACTGCGTCGGCAGCAAGAAATGCGTTCTCTGGAAAAAGAAAGCGATAGACTACACACCACAGGAGCATCTTCCACTCGAGGTCCTGGAAGAAATCGCGATCCCCTACTGTTGTTGAACATAGAGAACCTGTACGACGACGACTGCCTCTTCTGGTGCCTGCGATACCAACGCCTCCTAGACAAACTGGTGGACAATTGTCCATGCGAGAAAGATTCTTGTATCTTCCGGCAGCTATCGGGAAAAATGGAGCCACCACAGGGACGGAACAATATTTGGCATACCCCCTTGCCCAAATACGCCGGGTCCAAGGATATGGAAGTGACAGCAGCCCCGTGCAACAAACACTGAAAAGCTGCAGAAGTTCCGGAAGGAATCTACACGTGCAATAAGTTTGCCGTAGCAAAATACGAAGGGAAGAACTGACTATTGCTGCTACTCGATTTGCCGACTGGAGAAACGATTCCGGTCTATGGCTACAAGATACGAGGAAAGGTTCGAGATGCCGGCGGAATAGAAAATCTACGGTTGGTGGGTGGACCGTTTCTGTGCAGGCTTGGCAAAATCTGCCACTCGCCCATATCGAAACGGAAAGACGATCGAGAAGTCGAGTCGAGCTCCCAGAGACCGAGCAGGTATAGCCTCTATAAGCTAGAAGCCAACAGCTCTACATCCATCCGGCATGGATCCAGGTGTATTTCTACTGGCAACTCCACACATCGAATGGCAATGGAGACAGAAGATATGCCAAAAGCTGGGCAGAGGAGGATCCGACCAACCTTTCCAAGAAATAACTAACATAGCCCTGCCAATCGCAAAATTTCTACTCTGTCTACACAAACGTGAGGAAGGAAATTGCTGGAGCTACTGAAGTCCGAGAAGGCACAAAATTGGCGATGAAGAGCAAAAAAGGCACTACAAAGGGAAATACAAATCCAGGAAGAACGAGCAGAACTATGCAAAAAGCAGATCGAAGCCCTGCCGCAGAACCTTCGACCCTCTTGCCTGCCGGTGAGATAGCTCCGGCGTCGCCCTCTAGCACAGCCGTATTGCCTGCTGCAGAACCGTCGACCATCTTGCCCGCTAGCGAGACAGCTCCAAATCTGACCATCCAGGACTTCTACGATCGTCTGGGGAAGATTGAGGCTCGTGTAGAGCAATGCACGACTATGTTGTCTCGGCTTGTGTGGAGCAAACCACGACTATGTTGTCAGCTCTAGTGGAGCAAAACGCGGCAATGTTGTCGGCTCGTGCGGAGGAGGAACAAGAAGAGACGCGTCTGGATATCCAGAAGGTGTGGCAGATGGTAGAATCGATGCAAAAGTGGACCTACCTTTCGATAGCCGCCTTGTTTCTATTGAAGGTCGTCCACAAAACCTGGAAGCACTGCACACCGGCCGACAGACCGGTTGAAACACAGGCCGACGAGACGAAGACAGAAACGCCAAAAACTAGGGACCCCTTCCAAATAGAGTAGAGAAGTCGATGTGTGGAATGCAGCCTATTTGGAAAAAAAGTATTGTAGTAGGGTATACGAACCATGCATTTGGTTTTTTTTCGTTCAGGCGCTCGCCCTACTTTCCATACCATGAATTCCACGAAAAGCAGTTGGAATACAAAAACGGGCCTAGACAAGTCTACAACTCCATTCCTCCTTTGCAACCCCAAGCCCACCATTGTGCCTCTGCAAAAATACAAGGCGAGCTGTCAGAGGGTCCGTCTAGAAAACTATACAATTGGGGCAAGATTAGACTATTTGCTGTCAGCTATGGAAACATACTGTGGACATGTACTTCTAGAGGTGGCGTTGTGTTGTAGTTTCTATTTGTACGATTCTAGCTTTCTGTTTTGTTTGGTGTTGTGCGAATGGGCCCTAGACTACATAGAGCTGGGCTTTGCTTTGTCGACAGATCTATATCCGCTACGGCGCTGTCCATCCAATGTCCGTGTACGGGAATGTCTACATCGTCTTTTGGCGCTCCATTTTCGTAGATACAGGATAGTTCGCTCGGTCCCACTATACATCTGTTTTGCAAACCTAGGTATGGCATAGATCCCTTCTGGAAAAGTCTACACATTTCTGGATGGCGGGCGTTTTTGGCGGCAACACCTGGGGCGATGGATTTCGTAGCCTTTTGTCGTTCTAGATATTCGTATACCTGTATTTTCTTCCAACGAATCTCTTTGCCGGTTTTGTCGAAGAACGATCTTTCGGAAGATCCGATCTCGATTTGCAGGGTGTGTTCGTACACTTCGTCTCGAGAGAAAACCTTTCGGACCAACCAGTATGTTTGTCGCTCGAAACAATCTGTCTTCGTTCCCTCGAAGTAGGAGTCGTGTTGTCGTAGTACTCTTTCTAGCCCCGCCGTAGTCTAAACAGTGCTCGTTTCACCTGTTGGCGATTGGAGGACGATGCGTGTGGAATGGTTGGTGGTTCAGAAGCCGAGAATGCTGTATCGGCCGGCTATTGCCCCTACTTTGTTTGTATCCGTATTGCGGAGAGCATTTTCCACAAGCAGTTGGGATTGTCTTTGTTTTTTGATGTATGCTGTGGCTTCTGCGAAACTGTCTTGCAGAGCTTCGATCTCCTTTTTGCGTAGTTCTGTAGAGTTGTCTGGTTCGAAGAGAGTGGGGAGGTTCGATATAGCGGCGAGGCAGTTGGTGCATCAGTTGTGTCTGTCCTTGGGTTCCGGGCAGTAGTCGTCAGCGAGAACGATTAGGAGTTTACCTGCTGTGGGTAGAAATTGGTTGGGTGGGTAGATGTATATGAAATCGACTTTTTAGCCGTCTTCTACGAATTGGCGAAAGCACAACACATAGAGTTCGAGAAACTGGTATCGCTCGTAGAAGGTGTTGTAAAGGTCAAAATAATGATTTTCATTTATTTCACTTATAATGGCTCAATTGGTTTAGGAAGTGAACATTTTAGTTAATAATATTTCCACAATGTTACCATTTCATATTGCACAAATATTCTGCAACATTAATTAGTAGTAATGGATAAAAGGTTTATCTCTATTTCATAGTTTTTTGGAATGCCACATTTCATTTTTGATGAAGTGCTCATTTTATGTCAACCTTAAGATGAGGGGAGATAATTTCTTGGGGGACAAAATGACCATGTGGTTTGTGCTGCAAGCACATGTGACACAGGCAGGACTCATGAGGGTCTAAAGTAATGGTAAGCCAAATGTTATTAACTTATTTTACAATTCATTTGGAGGAATTTAATGCATTTTCTTAACTTGTACCAAACAATAAGATAATTTTTTTTCATAATTTAGGCTTTATAGCTATTTTGGACTTGACTTGTGGAAATTGGCTTTGACTTCAAAATTTATACTCAAGTATTCTTTTGGCCTAAAGTTTGGTATGAAAAATGTTTGAAATATTAAGCTTGCTGTTTATTCAATGTAATTAAGATACTGGTTTTGCACATGGTATTGTGAAAGTTTTCAAGTTTGTTTGTACTACAATTTACATTGTCCAAAATGTTTGTCACTATATTGTAGATGTGTAAGTTTAGGGAACATGTTGACCATATACTTAATTATATTTTTTCAATTCTCTTACAGTCAATCTAATGTTTAAAACTTAGACTCAAGAATAAGAATAAATGAAGAAACAAGAATTCTAGTTTGTTATCAACATAGCATTGACATTACTAGACTTAGGAATTGGATCAAGAAAATATGACAGATAATAAGGACAAAATAGGAAAAAGACAAGACAAAAGAAGTTAGCAGGATAAGGGCATGTCATATGCAACTGAAACAAAAGGTAAGCGGATACAAGGTATTTTCCGCCAGCTTGAAAGAGATTTTGACCACATCAACCTAGTAATTGCTACTGGAGTTGTGACTAAAAACACAATTGAGGATGTTCGGCGAGGAATATGCATCTTGGCTTTTCCTCTATAACACCCTGTATGATGTCAGAGATGAGTATAGACAATTATTGAAAGAGCCTGAATTAACCCAGTTTGAAGAGGAGAGTAGGTCTCAAGATAAAATCCTTTCATCCATTAAGACAGCCATTGAGCAGTTTTCATGAAGCATGGATCAATCCAAAGTCAAAGTGAATATTCTTTATTCCCCAGTCGTTCTAGTAAAAGGTCTGGCTCTTGTAGAACCGGTCTGTCACCTTTGGCCAGTACTATTTCTTCATCAATCCTACTTGAAAGGCAGAGACAAGCAGAACTTCAAGCTAAAGTAAAAGCCCTCAGAGAAAAACAAAAGCTTAATCAGGCTAAATTAGAAATTAAGATGAAGGAGGAGGAGCTGGAGTTGAGAACACAATTAGAGATTTCCGAGGCCAGGTCAAAGGTATTGGATGTTTATGACAATGATCAGGATGATAAAGAATTCTGACAGAAAATATGTGACACTTGAGAAATGTAGTGTTGATCCTGAAAGCCAAATATC